TAAAGTTCAATACATTTAACTTGGTCACAAACATCAAAGGGAAACATAGACTTGAGACAACTTTTAAAAATTTAGAAATCTAGTAATTCCAAATTCCTCTTATGTGGAATATACACAGGCTTTGCTTAAAAAATTTATCAAAATTTAAATATTTACAGGCCAGCGCCGCGGCTCACTAGGCTAATCCTCCACCTTGCGGCGCCGGCACACCGGGTTCTAGTCCCGGTTGGGGCGCCGGATTCTGTCCCGGTTGCCCCTCTTCCAGGCCAGCTCTCTGCTGTGGCCAAGGAGTGCAGTGGAGGATGGCCCAAGTGCTTGGGCCCTGCACCCCATGGGAGACCAGGAGAAGCACCTGGCTCCTGCCTTCGGATAGGCGCGGTGCGCCGGCCGTGGCGGCCATTGGAGGGTGAACCAATGGCAAAGGAAGACCTTTCTCTCTGTCTCTCTCTCTCACTGTCCACTCTGCCTGTTAAAAAAAAAAAAAAAAATTTAAATATTTACAAATTATTTTACTGTTTACAAGATAGTATGCCCAATATTTTAATCCCTTTAAGAATCTTCTAAGGCTGACCCTATCATATATAGCTAACAGGGAAATTAAGGATCAAAAATTTGAAAAATCCATCCAGTGCTATTCATCTAGCAGAATGTAGGGCTCAACCTTAAATCTAAATCCTCCAACTCCAATCCCCAAACTCTTTCCAATGAATTGTGGCATTTTGAAAATTCTACAAAGAACATTAAACAAAGAAATAGGATTCTACTTTTAAAGTAGCATACCAGTTCTAAATTCAACTCAACCTCCTCAAATATATATCAAAAACATATCTTACAAGGCATGGTACCAGAGACTAAACCTTTTATTTAGGGTCAGCGTTGTGGTGTTCTGGGTTATATCACTGCCTGCAATGCCAGATCCCATGAACACCAGTTTGAGTCCCAGCTGCTCCACTTCAGATTCAGCTTCCTCATAATGTGCCTGAGAAGGTAGCAGAAGATGGCCCAAGTACTTGGCCTGCCACCCACGTGGGAGACCAAGATGGAAGTCCTGACGCATGGCTTCAGTCTGGCCCAGCCCTGACCACTGCAGTCATTTGGGAAATGAACCAGAGGATGAAGATCTCTTTCTCTCTGTCTCTCTCTCCCTCTCTCTGCACCTTTCAAACAAATTTAAGATTTATTTTTTATTTCTTTGAAAGGCAGAATTACAGAGAAGGTGAGACAGGTATCTTCTAACCTCTGGTTCACTCCCCAAATGGCTGCAACATTTGGGGCTAGGCCAGGCTGAAGTCAGGAGCCTGGAGCTTCCTCCTAGTCTCCCACATGGTGCAGGGGTGCAAGTATCTGGGCCATCCTCTGCCACTTTCCCAGGCATATTAGCAAGGAGCTGGATCGGAAGTGCAGCAGCTTGGTCTTGAACCAGTGTCATGTGGGAAGCTGGCATCACAGGCAGCAGCTTTAATCACTATGCCACAACACCGGCCCCTAAATTAAATCTTTCAGAAAAAAATTGATTAAACTGGGGGTCAGCATTCTGGCACAGTGAGTTAAGCTGACAGCTGCAATGCTGGCATCCCAGCTGCTCTACTTCCCATCCAGCTCCCTGTTAATTGTGCCTGGGAAAGCAGAGGAAGATGATCCAAGTGCTTGGGTCTCTGCCATTCATATGGAAGACCCAGACAGAGTTCCAGACTCCTGGTTTTTCCTGGTCCAGACCCTGCTGTTACAGCCATCTGGGGAGTAAATCAGCAGATAAAAGATCTCTCTCTCTCCTTCTAACTCTGCCTTTCAAAAAAAAAAAAAAAAAAAACAAACAAAACACTAAATGAGACAACCACTGCTCAACATTTTATGACATTCTTAAAGACATAAATACAAGACATTTACACTTCATATAAGCATTCAATAAAATTTTTATAAATTTATAAGTATACCACAAGTAGCATGTCTTTGTATCTTGTTTAAGGACATTAAAATTGTTTGGTTTATGTGGATTTAATAATAGTATCATGGATTATATTTGTTCTTTGTCTCCATTTCCTGTCAGAGATCCTAAAACCCTTAGAATTTCCAGAGTGACAGGAATTATCTTTTGTTACTCACTAGGAGCCCCTTTTAATCATGCTTGAGTTTAAGCTACTGAGGGAACTTAGGGCATGGCCCTCTAAGACAGCCTCAGGATGGGACTACTCACCAGCAAGACGAAGTAATTAGGTGAGTGGATCTTTCAGCCCACCCCATCACACTTTGGAAATGAGGGTAGCTAGAAATTAAGCTCCATTAAAAACTCTTAAACTGCTATTTGATGAGTTTTAGGATCAATGAACATGGTGAAGATGTGAGGTGTTGGTACTGAGAGAGAGAAGGAAGCTCCACATGCCATCCCCCCTCCCGCCCCAGCCCCATACATTGCCAAATGTATTACTTCACCTGGGTGCTCATCTGTATCCTCTGTAATACCCTTTATCATAAACCAGTAAGCATAAGCAAAGAATTTCCCTGAGTTCTGTGAGCTTCCTAGCAAATTATCCAATCAAGGAGAACCATGGGAATACCAATGTACAGTCAATCCATCAGAACACATCACAATACAGTATCTGTGATTAGCATCTAAAGCAGAGGCAGTTTTTTGGCAGTCTTCAAGTAAATAGTGTCAGAATCTAATTGAGTGAGTACACACTCAGCTGGTGTCTACTGCAAAACTGATGGTTGAGGAAAAACTCAGATACACGTAGTGTTACGAGTGAAGGAAAAACTCTGATACACCAAGGTCAGAAGTAAAGTATGTGAGTAGAAAAAAGAGTTTGGCTTTTCCTATTTCTTATAGGTATTATGGTTAATTTTTTTAGGAGAATCCTCATTATTCTAAGAAACATACTAAGGGGCCGGCACTGTGGTGCAGCGGGTTAAAGCCCTGGCCTGAAGCACCAGCATCCCATATGGGTGCCAGTTCGAGTCCCGGCTGTTCCACTTACAATCCAGCTCTCTGCTATGGCCTGGGAAAGCAGTGGAAGATGGCCCAAGTCCTCGGGCCACTGCACCATATGGGAGACCAGGAAGGAGCTCCTGGCTTCTGGCTTTGGACTGGCACAGCTCTGGCCATTGCAGCCGACTGGAGAGTGAATCAGCGGATGGAAGACCCCCCTCTGTCTGTCTCTCTCTGCATCTCTTCTCTCTGTGTAATTCTTTCAAATAAATAAATAAATCTTTAAGAAAAAAAAAAAAAGAAAGAAAGAAAGAAACATACTAAAAGGAATGCGTTGTGCTGAAGGGGTTAAGCCACTGCTTATGATACCAGCTAGCATCCCATTTTGGAGTCCAGGCTACCCTGCTTCCATTCCAGCTTCCTGCTAGTGTGCCTGGGAATGCAGCAGATAATGTTCCAAGTACTTGAGTCCCTGCCATCTAACTAGGAGACCTGGATGGAGCTCCTGGCTTTGGCCTGGTCCAGCCCTAGCTATTGCAGGCATTTGGGGAATGAACCAGCAGATAGTTATCTCTGAGATGTCTCACCCTCTCTCACCTTATATTTCAAACAAACTGTCACCTTATATTTCTGTCACCTTATATTTCAAACAAACAAATAAATATTTTTTAAAAAAGAACACACCAGAGCTAAAACTGTGTACAGTGGGTTAAAGCCCTGGCCTGCAGTGCCAGCATATCATACGGGCTCCAGTTCAAGTTCTGGCTGCTCCACTTTCAACCCAGCTCCCTGCTAGTGTGCCTGGGAAAGCAGCAGAGGATGGCCCAAGTACTTGGGCCCCTGCACCCACATGGGAGACCCAGAGGAAGCTCCTGGCTCTTGGCTTCAGATCGACTCAGCTCCAGCTGTCATGGCCATTTGGGGAGTGAACCATTGGAAGACCGGAAGACCCCTCTCTTGTCTCTACCTCTCTCTGTAACTCTTCCAAATAAATAAAATAAATCTTAAATTAAAAAAAAGGACACCAAAATATTTATGGATGAAATGACATATCCAGGATTTGCTTGAAAATTCTCTAACACTGGGAGAGTCGATGGAAATAACACTTGTGTTGAATTGTTATAGTGGATGAATATGAATGAGAGGTACATAGTATAGTTCATGACTATACTTTGGTGTTTAAAATTTCACATAATTACAAAAGTCTTTTTAAAAAAAACAGTGTCTGCAGATAGCTGTCAAGAATTCTTAACACTAAAAAATAATTTTCTTACAAAGATCAAAATTATTTCATGTCAAGCTCAGTGCCCAAACACTAGATATTGCTGCTATACAATTTACAATTTTAAAACCAAAAGTGGCAAGTACCATAATAATAATAATAATAATTTAAATAACAGTTTTTCCAAGAATGCTGTCAGTCTGATTCCTAGCCCTTTCTGCTCTATCGGGTTATACCTACTCCTTTTCTAACGTAAAAATGATCTGAATCAGAGCCATGGAAAGCAAGAGTTCAGTCTCTTTGAACGACCCTGAGGCAGTACCTAGAATTGGCAACCATCTGCTACACAGGGCAGTCTGGAAAGTAAAGCCTTCATTATGTGTCTGATACAACTCATTAAAGCAGGGATTCAACAGCAGCAGCCACAGTCACTGTATGTCCCAATTTTCTATACTGTCTGGGTCAACATTCAGTGGTGTATACAGCTCTGAGAGCCACCGCTGGCCCAGCCTTCCAAATACTGGTTCCGCTGTAAGCAGGAAAGAAAAAAATGAAACGAGAGTCAGATAGAGGCGGAGGGAGAGGCAATAAACTGCTATTCTGATTCCAACAAATTGAGAATCCTTGTTTGTTCACAGAATACACTTTATAGAATTTCAGTAATCAGATCTCTGATTATACTTTGTTGCAAACTATGTTTAAAAAAAGAAAAATTCCTTCAGATTCTGCTTCCAAAGGAACCAGCACATACAGTATTTTAACAATTTTGAAACATTTTTACTGTCTTTTTTTTACTTATATAAACTATATACAGTATTTACACTAATAAAAGGGCAAATATGTTTTTCTTACCCAGTGTTTTCCGACTTCTTTCCACCGCTGTTCTTCGAGTTTGCTCAAACATCGCTTCCAAGTCAAATGTGCGGGCTTTTTTCCCTAAAAACAGGAGGAAGTGGCAGACAGTGATTGTCTTGCAATAAGCTGGCCAAATTTTACATACTCAATACTTACTGACTTATCAATAACCACTTTATCTAATTTATAGCAAGTTGCAAGATAACCATAAGATATCAAAGAAAAGCTGAGATCACAGAGAATGGTTAATGAAATGTCATCACTAAGTGCCGTTAACCAGCCGACTTCCCCGCCCTACTCTAATTTATTGAAATCCATAGCCCTCTAAACAACATTGGTGTGGTAGGAAGAAAGAAGAATGTCCATACCTTAACCCTTAAAACTTGTGAAATGTCAGAGTACATGGTAAAAGGGACTCTGCAGGTATAATTAAGCTTTTAGACAATGGCAGAAGATACCCAAAGCATGAGAAGGACTGGGGGCTCTATAGTTGGCTTGAGGATGAAAAGAGGACCATGAAGAGCAAGGCAGATACCTTAAGGAGCTAACACACGGTCTGACAACCAGGAAAGAGACCACAGCCCTGCTACAAGGAACTAATCAGCATGCAATGATTCTCCCACACACACAGACACACGGCCTCCAGGTAAGAGCCTAGGACTGCTGACACCTTGATTTCAGCCGTCACCTGAAGCAGATAAATCAACACAGCTCACCTAGACTTAACGATCTCTTATAGAATTCTGGTAACAAATCTTTTATGTTTTTCAGCTGCTAAATTTGTGATACTTTACTTCAGCATCAACAAAGAAAACAAAATGATAATAAAATCTTTACAACATTATCTTAATCATAATGAACCAAATACTGAATGTACAAATTAAAGCAACAGAACCAGGCCTGGAGGTGGGCATCTGGAACAGTGGTTAGGACATCTCTGGGTTACCTGCATCCCATATCAGAGTGTCAGGCTCAGGTACCAGCTCCTCTGCTTCCTATGCTAAGTCTTGCTAATGTGCACCCTGGGAGGCAGCAGATGATGGCTTACATGGTTGGGCCCTTGCCACCCACATGAGAGATCCAGACTGAATTCCAGGCTGGCTGTTGCAAGCATCTGGGGAGTGAAACAGTAGATGGAAGATCTCTCTCCATCTGTCTCTGTCTCTCTACCTCTCAAATGAAAGAAAATAAACTTGAAAAGCAAAGAAGTATGCTTGATACCCAATACCTTTTTCAAAACTCTTAAAACATTTCCCTAATTGGCATAAATATATACACCATGCCTTTCTGACTCTTGAACAGAGGAATGAGGTACTGGAATGAAGGATTTAAAAACATACCAAGTTACATCTGAGCACAGCCAAGGCCAAGAGGTATAAATTCTCAAAAGGCCTCAAACATGCAAATGCAATGTTTATGATCAATAGAGTTAATACACAATGCTCAAAACAAGACACCAAGACCTTGAGAAAAGGTTCAGGAAATGTAGGAAGAATCATGTTTGAATGAATAGCACTTACAACTTCCAAATACAAAGTAGAAAGAGAAAACATTTTTCTAGTACTGCATTAGCAAAATTTTCACTGGTTTTTCATCTTTTCAAATATCTACCCTGGAGCTGGCACTGCCATGGGTAAAGCCGCCACCTGCAATGCCAACATCTTTCACATACACTGGTGCAAGACCTGGGTGCTCTATTTCAAATCCCGCTCCCTGTGAACAGCCTGGGTAAGTGTAGAAGGTAGTCCCAGTGCCTGGGCCCCTGCACCCACAAGGAAGACCAAGAAGCAGCTCCTGGCTCCAGCCTGACCCAGCTCTGGCTTTTGCAGCCATTTGAGAAGTGAACCTGCAGAGGGAACATCAATCTCTGTCTCCTCTCTTCCCTTTTAACCCTGCCTTTCAATAAGTAAATAATCTTAAAAACAAAGATAATATAAAATATCTAATCTGTGTTGGTAGAGATATGGTAAAAATGCTACTCTTATATACTACTGATTTTAGAATCAATTGAAACATGTCAATCACTAATGGTAATGAGTATCAAGAAGCTTTAAGGGGCCAGCGCCATGGCTCACTTGGTTAATCCTCACCTTTGGGGCCAGCATCCCATATGGGCGCCAGATTCTAGTCCTGGTTGTTCCTCTTCCAGTCCAGCTCTCTGCTATGGCCCAGGAGGGCAGTGGAGGATAGCCCAAGTGCTGGGGCCCTGCACCCACATGGGAGACCAAGAAGTAGCACCTAGCTCCTGGCTTCGGATCAGTGCAGTGCCAGCTGTGGCGGCCACTTGGGGGGTGAACCAACGGAAGGAAGAACTTTCTGTCTGTCTCTCTTTCTCTGTCTATAACTCTACCTGTCAAATAAAATATATATATATATATACACACACACACTCAGAGGCCGGCACCACAGCTCACTAGGCTAATGCTCCGCCTGCGGTGCCGGCACACCGGGTTCTAGTCCCGGTCGGGGCGCCAGATTCTGTCCTGGTTGCCCCTCTTCCAGGCCAGCTCTCTGCTGTGGCCTGGGAGTGCAGTGGAGGATGGCCCAAGTGCTTGGGCCCTGCACCCGCATGGGAGACCAGGAGAAGCACCTGGCTCCTGGCTTCGGATCAGCGCGGTGCGCCGGCTGCAGAGCGCAGGCCTCGGCGGCCATTGGAGGGTGAACCAACGGCAAAGGAAGACCTTTCTCTCTGTCTCTCTCTCTCACTGTCCACTCTGCCTGTCAGGAAAAAAAAAAAAAAAAAAAGACTTATATACATACTCAGAGCCGGCACTGTGGCATAGCAGGTAAAGCCACTGCCTACAGTGCCAGCATTCCATATGGTCACCAGTTCAGGTCCTGGCTGCTCCACTTCTGATTCAACTCTCTACTATGGGAAATCAGTAAAGGATGGCCCAAGTCCTTGGGCCTCTGCACCCACGTGGGAGACCCAGAAGAAGCTCCTGGATCTTGGCTGTGGATCGGCACAACTCCAGCCATTGTGGCCAACTGAGGAGTGAACCAGCAGATGAAAGACCTCTCTTTCTCTGCAACTCTGCCTTTCAAATAAATAAGTCTTTAAAAAAAATAAAATATACACACCCAACTTTTTAGTTACTTTTTAATGTTTATATCTAAATAAAATTGTCTTTCTTTTAGAAATCTACTCTGGAAATACACAGAAAAATCTTTGTGTAGAAATAAAACCTATTCAGGGGAGAACATCTAGCCTAGCAGTCAAGACTCCACCTCTGGCTCAAGTGCCTGGATTCCTGCTGCCCTCATGGGAGACCTGGAGTGAGTTCCCAGGTTCTAGCTTCAGCTCTGACCCAGGCCCAGCTGTTGGAAACCAATGGATGAAAGCATTACTGTTAAAAGTTAAAATAAGAAGATATTTAGGGAGAAACTAAAAATATTACAAGGGGTCGGCACTGTGGCACAGCAGGTAAAGCCGCCGCCTGCAGTGCGGGCATTCCAAATGGGCACCAGTTCAAGTCTTGGCTGCTCCACTGCTCTGCTATGGCCTGGGAAAGCAGTGGAGGATGGCCCAAGACCATGGATCCCTGCACTCGTGTGGGAGACCCGGAAGAAGCTCCTGGCTCCAGAATGGCACAGCTCCGGCCATTGTGGCCAACTGGGGAGTGAACCAGAGGATGGAAGACCTCTCTGGGCCAGCACCACGGCTCACTAGGTTAATTCTCCTCCTGCGGTGCCGGCACCCCGGGTTCTAGTCCCAGTTGGGGCGCTGGATCCTGTCCCGGTTGCTGCTCTTCCTGTCCAGCTCTCTGCTGTGGCCTGGGAGTACAGTGGAGGATGGCCCAGGTCCTTGGGCCCTGCACCCGCATGGGAGACCAGGAAGAAGCTCCTGGCTCCTGGCTTCGGATCAGTGCAGCGCGCCAGCCGTAACGGCCACTTGTGGGGGTGAACCAATGGAAAAAAGAAGACCTTTCTCTCTGTCTCTCTCTCTCTGACTCTGCCTGTCAAAAAATAAATCAATTAATTAATTAAATAAATAAAAGACCTCTCTCTCTCTTTCTCTGCCTCTCCTTCTCTGTAACTGACTTTAAAATAAACCTTTAAAAAATTAAAATAAAAATATTACAAATTATGATGACTCTATTAGTCTACAATTCCACTTTTAGAAAACTTCTAAAAATATAGGGAGGGCCTGCGCTGTAGCAGAGCAAGTAAACCCACCGCCTGCAGTGCTAGCATCCCATATGAGCGCCAGAGTCCGGCTGCTCCACTTCCAATCCAAATCTCTGTAGCCTGGGAAAGCAGTAGAAGGCCCACATCCCTTAGCCCCTAAACCCACAAGGGAGACTCAGGGGAAGCTCCTGGCTTCAGATCAACCCAGCTCCAGCCACTGTGGGCCTTTGGGGAGTGAACCAGCAGATGGAAGACCTCTTTCTCTCTATCTGCTTCTGCCTCTGCAACTCTGCCTTTCAAATAAATAAATAAATCTTAAAAAAAAAAAAAATGCGGTAAGCCTCAAAATACTGTGCTTAGGAAATAATATAAACTTGTCCACAGTAATAGTACTAATTTTTTAAATACATAAGACTGAAAACAATTTAAAAATTTAAGATTTATTTATTCATTGAAAAGCACAGAACAGAGAGAGAGGGAAAAACGGATCTTTCATCCCCCGGTTCAATCCCCAAATGGCCACAATAGCCAGATCTGTGCCAGGCGAAAGCTAGGCGCTCTATTCTGGTCTCATACATGGGTGTTGAGGCCAAGTACTTGGGCCCTCTTCTGCTGCCTTCCCAGGCACATTAGCAGGAAGCTGGATGGGAAGCGGAGCACCGAGGCGTCAGCATCCATCACAAGCTGTGGTTTACCCTGCTGTACAACAACCACGACCCCACAAATTAAAGTCTCCATCTGTAGGACATGAAATTGGGTCAGTTTACCTCCTTCTTTGTAATGCATTTGTGTTTCTCTAGACTTCCTACTGATAAATGTCATTTTTAAAATTAAAGGGGAAAACTTGGAAAGAACTTAAACAAAAATAAGCATTAAAATTACTCTTTTGTAGATGTAACCACCTAGAACATTAAAAAAAAAAAAAATGTGGCTCCAAAGTAAGCATTTAGCCTGGCAGTTAAGACATCCACCTCCTGAATCAGAATCCCTGGTTCAATGCCGGGCTCGGGATCCTGATGAGCTTCCTGCTGATGCACACTCTGGGAGACAGGTGGTGGCTCCAGCGGTTGGGTTCCTGCCACCCATTTACAAGATCGACATGGGTTCCCAGTAAAGGCATTCGGGAAATGAACCAGCAAACTGTTCACACTCGATCTCTCTCGACCTCTTGCACAATACTTATGTTTACATATACTGCTGCATTGCTCAAGTCATGAACTGAATGAATGAATGAATGAATGAAATGGGAGGGCACAAACTTCCATTTGATTTTTACGGAGGCTAACGTTAACATGTGACTACATCTGTATGAGGCTTTCTTCATTCCTTCATAACATGTTTCCCACTAGAATCCACAGACTGAAGTCAACACTGTGGAGGAGAAAGACTTGAATCAAAAACTACTGAACAGCCATTACAATTTCACTCAGCGACCCGTTCATTACCCAAAGAGTCTAAGGGCTACTCAGTCCTTAGCTGTCAGTCTAAAAACGCGGCGCCAGCCCTCTCCACCGGGGTCACAAAAGCAATCTTTCTGTCTCTTTAGGCTTCTCGTGTCACCTGAGCTAGTCGCAAGAGACGCATGTCAGAAGACGAATGAGGAACTGTGTCGAGAAACTACGAGGTCTACACTGCACCCAAACTAATTCCGAGCTGCCCCAGCTTAAGGTGCGAAGCAGTAATGACGGCTCCGCCCGGCGTAGTCACTCACCGAACCCCGTGAAGCCCATGGTGACGGCCAGCTGCGGGTCAGGTCCTGACGCGTCTGAGCCTGTCACTGGGGTAAAAGAGAAAGCAGGCCTCGTTAGTGCGGCGCCAGGGGCTGCCTCAGTACTGACGACACCGCCCGTGACCGTGCGACCGAACCCACCTTCGCTGGGCCCCGAGCTCTCCATGGCCGCTGAACCAGCAACAGCAGCACTCTAAATGATGCTGGGAGCTCCCAGAGAACCCGGGAGGAAGTACCGCCTCCAAGCGTCAGCGCCGCCGCCAGCGCCAAGAGCGGCATCCTCCACCGAGGGAGAGAGATGTTGGCGCAGCGCCGCCCTAGTGCGCGGGCGGGGAAGTGCTGACGGGGGTGCACCCTTCGCAATCCACCCGGGGGAAAAACCTGTTTATGTAACACCTCTTGCTTTTAAGAAACGAGATTACTGCAAAGAGAATTTCTACAGAGAAACTTATTATCTCCTTATCTTTTCTTTTTATCCTTCTCCATGGAAAACCCACAATTTTCCAGACGTTTAAAATATTTTAATTTATTCATTTACTTTTTTTTAGATTTATTTGTTTATTTGAAAGTCAGATTTACACAGAGAGAGGAGAGGCAGAGAGACAGAGGTCTTCCATCCGCTGGTTCACTCCCTAGTTGGCCGAAATGGCCGGAGCTGTGTGGATCTGAAACCGGGAAGGGAGCCAGGAGCGTCTTCCGGGTCTTCCCATGTGGGTGCAGGGGCCCAAGGACTTGGTCCACCTTCCACTGCTTTCCTAGGCCATAGCAGAGAGCTGGATCGGAAGAGGAGCAGCCGGGACTAGAACCAGCACCTATATGGAATGCTGGCACTGTAAGCGGCAGCTTTACCCGCTATGCCACAGCACCCGCCCCTCATTTACTTATCTGTTTAAGCAGAGAGGGACAGAGTTCCCATCTACAGGTTCATTCTGCAAGCAGTCCAGAACTCAATCCAGGTATCCCACATGGCAGACAGGGACCCAAGTCCTTAGACATCATCTGCTGCCAACCAGGGTGCACATTAGCAAAAAGCTGGAACTGGAAGTGGTGCCAGATGCTATAATATTGGATGCTGGTGACCCAGTGGGTGTCTTAACTAATGTCCCAAATGCACATCCCAATTCTCCATTCTTTGAGTGTATTTTAAGAAAGAAATGAGTATCTACTTCATGACTGAGGATAACAAAGAAAGAAACCAAAAAGATCTGAGTAGGTAAAGCAGTTGTTAGAAAATGCTCAAAAGCTCATGTGCTTAACCCAAGAATCTCATCAACTATTAACTATGCTTGATAACAGATAGATAAATGGTTCCCAAAGCACTTAATTCACATATTTATTATACTTTCAATTCATATTGGTTGTGGTTTATTTACAGCTTGATTCTATGAATTAATGGCATATTTTTATTCTTGTATATCTGAAGTCCAGGGAAACTATATATACTCCTAACACATGTTAATGAATGGAAATATTTTCATAGTTACTAATTAACCCCACTGCTAATCTTAGCCTTCTATCCCAATTGATGCTTTCCTATACACTCTAAATGATAATGATCAAGTCTAGTATCATTTGAATTGCTCTTAGAATAAAATGAAAAATTATCAGCATAGCCTCCAAAGTATTTTTTGCCTTTCCAGATTCATCTTCTGTTATTTTCCACCTTATCAGCCTCCTTTAAGTTCTATATGCAGCCTCAGAACATGGTATCCTGAAAACTCTGACTCCACTGATTTCCATGCCCTTGGATCCACCGTACTCATTTTTCATTCTACTTGCTATTGTAAACATTTACAAATCTTTGTAGACCTTCCTCAACTAAGGTCCTTCTATCTATTGTGAAATTCAGTACTTTTCATGCATAGTATAATGTCTGGGTAGACGTCCAATAAATACATTTTTGTAAAGATTTATTTATTTTCTTTTTTAAGATTTCATTTATTGCCTGCTCTGCGGCTCACTTGGCTAATCCTCTGCCTGCGGCACTGGCACCCCGAGTTCTAGTCCCGGTAGGGGCACCGGATTCTGTCCCGGTTGCCCCTCTTCCAGTCCAGCTGTCTGCTGTGGCCTGGGATGAGTCTGAGCCTGTCACTGGGGTAAGTGGAGGATGGCCCAGGTCTGTGGGCCCTGCACCCACATGGGAGACCAGAAGGAAGCATCTGGCTACTGCCTTCTGATCGACACAGTGTGCTGGCCGTAGTGGCCATTTTGGGGGGTGAACCAATGGAAGGAAGGCCTTTTCTCTCTCTCTCTCTCTCTCTCTCTCTCTCTCTCTCTCTCTCTCACTGTCTAACTCTGCCTGTCAAAATAAATAAATAAATAATTTTTTTAAAAAGATTTCATTTATTTATTGGAGAGACAGGGTCACAGACAGAAAGGGACAGAGAGAAAGGTCCTCCATCCACTGGTTCACTCCCCCAAAAAGTCTCAACGGCTGGAGCTGAGCCGATCCGAAGCCAGGCTCCAAGAGCTTCTTCTGGCTCCCCTACATGGATGCAGGGGCCCAAGCACTTGTGCCATCTTGCACTGCTTTCCCAGATAAGCAGAGAGTTGGATCAGAAGAGGAGCCACAGGGACACAAACCAGCACCATAAGAGATACTGGCACAGCAGGCAGGGACTTAGCTCACTATGCCACAGCATTGCATTGGCCCCTATGTAATTTTTTTTTTTGACAGGCAGAGTGGACAGTGAGAGAGAGAGAGAGACAGAGAGAAAGGTCTTCCTTTGCCATTGGTTCACCCTCCAATGGCCGCCACGGCCAGAGCGCCGCGCTGATCCGATGGAAGGAGCCAAGTGCTTCTCCTGGTCTCCCATGGGGTGCAGGGCCCAAGCACTTGGGCCATCCTCCACTGCACTCCCGGGCCACAGCAGAGAGCTGGCCTGGAAGAGGGGCAACCGGGACAGAATCCAGCGCCCCAACCTGGACTAGAACCTGGTGTGCCGGCACCGCAAGGCGGAGGATTAGCCTAGTGAGCCGCAGCGCCAGCCTCCTATGTACTTTCAAAGTCAGAGTTACAAAGGGAGAAAGATCTTACATCCACTCTCCGATGGCTGCAATGGCCAGTGCTAGGCTAGGTCTAAACCAGAAGGTGCCAGGAACTTCATCTGGGTCTTCCAAGTGGGTGGCAGGGGCTCATACATTTGGACCATCTTCTGCTGCTTTTCCCAGGCAGGGAGCTGGATCAGAAGTAGAGCAGCTAGGACTCGAACTGGCACCCATATGGGAAGTCAGTGCTGTAGACAATGGTCTTACCCATTATACCGCAATGCCAGCCCCTCAATAAATATTTGTTAAATTAGTGAATGAATAAAAGAAAGTAGTCTTAAAGGCAAAAGCTAGTCCTTTTTCATATAGGATGTTATAAAATTTGAGGTACTAGGGGCTTGTAATGTGGTGTAGCAGGTAAAGCAACCACCTGCAATGCCGGAAGAAGTTCCTGGCTCCTAGCTTTGGATCTGCGCAGTAGAGCCATTGCAGCCATCTGGGGAGTGAACCAGCAGATGGAAGATCTCTCTCTCCCCCACCCCCTCCTCTGCCTCTGCCTCTCTGTAACTCTGCCTTTCAAATACATAAATAAATCTTTTTTTTTTTAACAGGCAGAGTGGACAGTGAGAGAGAGAGAGACAGAGAGAAAGGTCTTCCTTTGCCGTTGGTTCACCCTCCAATGGCCCCACGGCCGGCGCGCTGCAGCCGGCGCACCACGCTGATCCGAAGGCAGGAGCCAGGTGCTTCTCCTGGTCTCCCATGGGGTGCAGGGTCCAAGCACTTGAGCCATCCTCCACTGCACTCCCGGGCCACAGCAGAGAGCTGGCCTGGAAGAGGGGCAACCAGGACAGAATCCGGTGCCCCGACCGGGACTAGAGCCCGGTGTGCCGGCACCGCTAGGTGGAGGATTAGCCTATTGAGCCGCGGCGCCGGCCCATAAATAAATTTTTTAAAAATTTTGAGATAATAAAGTTTGGTTTCATCTCAAGAGATTACTGAAACACAAAATACTGAATATAAATACAAAACTTGAACTTCAATAAGTCTAATTCATTGTGACTTTAACAGATTAAATTATTAATGCCACTCTTTCCTGAGGAAAGCACGCACTTACATACTGGACTAGAACTTTAAGAATATAGTTCACTATGTGACCCATATCTTCCCCAAGCTTATTGAATAATTATTTCAACTCCTCAATAATCGAGGACTGGGGCCAGACATTATGGCGTAGTTGGTAAGCTGCCACTTAGGATGCCTACATCCGGTATCAGAGTGCCGATTCAAGTTCCAGCTGCTCTGCTTCTAGTCCAGCTCCCAGTTAATGCCCGTGGGAAGCAGTTTCCTTCTACCTACAAGGAAGACTTAGATGGAGTTCTAGGCTCCTGGCCTTGGCCTAGCCCAGCCCAGAGGTTGTAGACATTTAGGGATTGAACCAGAAGATGAAACGTCTCTCTCTCTCTCTCTCTCTCTCTCTCTCTCTCTCTCTCTCTTTTTCTCTTTCTCTCACTGCATCTCAAATAAAATAAATAAAAATATTCAAGGACTTGTGGGCAAAAGTTTGAGATGATGTCCTAAACTTTAAACTTCAAAGGGCTGAGAAAAACAAAGTGGAAGATAAATATGATCAACCAGTGGGAACAGATACTCATGATCATTTAAAAAAAATGACAAATTGTATTTCTGATAGAGAATGAAGGCAATAACTACAGTACTGACAACCTCTGTGGTAGACCAAATCTTTTCTGCTTGTTTTTGTATGACACATCTTCATAATCAAAATTAGTAAGAATAAAGAGAAACTTTGATTTTCTTGGAGCAAAGTGAATTTATTTATTAATTGAATATTCAAGAGGCATAATGTTAAGTAAACTGCTTCAAGAACCATAGTATGTGGGTTTTGATAATGTAACCTTGGGTGAGTTACTTAGTCTCTCTGGGCTTTAACTTTTTAATTGTTAAGTGAATAATTTTTTTTTATTTGACAGGTAGAGTTTTAGACAGTGAGAGAGAGAGAGAGAGAGAGACAGACAGACAGAGAGAAAAGTCTTCCTTCTGTTGGTTCACCCCCCAAATGGCCACTACGGCTGGTGCAGTGCTGCACCGATCTGAAACCAGGAGCCAGGTGCTTCTTCCTGGTCTCCCATGTGGGTGCAGGGGCCATCCTCCGTTGCCCTCCCAGGCCACAGCAGAGAGCTGGACTGGAAGAGAGCAACCGGGACTAGAAATGGCGCCCATATGGGATGCTGGCACCACAAGTGGAGGATTAACCTAGTGAGCCATGGCACCAGCCCAAGTGAATAATTTTTAATAGAAGCTACACATCATAGGTTTTTCTGCTGACTGAATGAATTAATCATGATAAATCAACCAGAATAATGGCTGGCATATATTGCACACCCAATGAGTGCTGGCCATTGTCAAGTGCCAGATGCTAATGAGATTGGTAGAGACACAGAACAGAGTCCCTGATCTTGCCGAATTTCTGTATTAATGAAGAGGGTTATTTCTCATTGCACCTACCCATGGGAGCTAGATAGTGAAACGAGAAACACTGCAGTGACGCTCACATTGTTGCCTGCAGACTCCCTGGATGCTGATCAGATCAAAGCTAGCTTCACATGATACCAAGACACAATTTACCTTTTCACTCTACTGACACTTGCACTGATGATGCAAAAGCAACAGTGGTGTTAAAAGATAACCTGTGGGTCAAGAAAATTTCAGACTTTATTGGAACAAACAGTGACTCATGAAATGGGCTGCCCCAGACACTCAGGGCTCCACCAAAGGGGCACAAGGAAAAGAATTTCCAAGAGTGAACCAAAGAAAATAGTTAATTGGCTAAGCGCTAACATTAGCTTTATTTGGGTCATTTCAAAGGAAAGTCCTTAGAGATCTGGTGCTTTCTGATTGGTTCAAATAAAGAGAACGTCCCTAGTTAGGGGCCAGTTTATATTTCTAATTGGTGCAAAATATGATTGTTAGGGTTTGATTGGCTTACGTAGGAACCCAAGGTCCTGGAGGCAACTCAGTCTAACAGCCTTCCAATTAATTAAACATTGAGTAAAGCTCCAGGTGGCTCAGCATACGTAAAGGCAGTGGCATGAAAACTGTAGTATTCAATGCATCCCTCACTGTACATATCCAACATAAGCAAAACCATTTTCCCCTAGGAACATCCTTAAGGAAATCATCTATTAATTTTATTGAAACTTGAAACTTGTTTGCCTTTTTAATGCTCAGTATGACAATATGAGAAGTACTCATAAAGTACTTCTGCCACATTTAAGAGTATGACAGTCATTTAAAAGAAAACCACTTGTAATTGAATTTTTAGCTTTTCATGGAACAACATTTTGACTAGAAAGAATGGCACTTAAAATACAGCTATTTAGATGTATTTTGCAAACATTTTCTTGAAAATCAATGAATTAGTCACGTCAGGGAAAATAATTGACGGTTCTCGGTGCCTATGATAAAATCAGAGCTTTCTTTTTATTATTTTATTTGAGAGGCAGAGGCAGAGAGACAGGGAAGACACCTTGTTGATTTTAAATTTCACATTGCAAAGAACAAATATTCACAGTGTGTGTGTGTGTGTGTGTTAAGATTTACTTACTTATTTGAAAGGCAGAGTTACAGACAGAGAGGGAGAGACAGAGTGAAAGGTCTTCCATCTGCTGGTTCACTTCCCAAAGGGTCACAACAGCTGATGAGTTGATCCAAAGCCAGGAGCCAGGAACTTCTTGTGTGTTTCCCACACAGGCCCAGGGACCCAAACACTGTGTCATCTTACACTGCCTTCCCAGGACATAGCAGAGAGCTAAATTGGAAGAGGAGCAGCTGGGACTCAAGCCAGTGCCTGTATAGGATGCTGACGCTGCACTATGCCACGTGCCGCACATACCCGCCACACCAGTGTTTTTAAAGGGCAATCAAAGGGTGCCAGTACTGTGGCATAGTAGACTAAGCCTTCACCTGCAGCACCAGGATCCCAAATGGGTGCCAATTCATATATATATACACATATATATACATATATATAATATATATATGTATATAGATACACACACATATATATAAACACAGAGCAAGTACAGATATGAGAACCCAGATCTCATTAAATACAAAACTAAAAGAGATTTGTAAAAATGTGAAATATCATTCTTCTAACATTTTAGTTTCAGAAACTATAGTGATTTCTCATAAAATTGTGTTATTTATATGACTGTGGGTTAGGTTTTTTCATACTTGTAAATGAATTTTTAAATTTTCATTTTATGAGTTAACAAATATTAATAAAATATAACTCTTACAAATCATAAGCCCTTTGGAATTCTGAATAATTTTTAAGGGTATCAGGAAGTCCTGAGACCAAAAAGTTTTAGAATCTCTATTCTGGAGAAGCCAACTTTTCCTTTAAAGAGCTGGAAAGTTAACACCAGGTTTTGTGGCCTTGTGGTCCATGAAGCCACTACTCAGCGTGGCTGCTGTGATGGAAAGCAGCCATGTGCAATATGTAAATGAATAGCAGCAGTGACATAACACCCTTGGGAGCCTTGTTCCTTCCCAGCACTATTAGACAAACATTACTAGATTGTCCAGTTGGTGGAGTTGAAAACTTTCAATTGTTTATACTGTTACAAATCAAAAACAGAATATTAGATCATCTCATTTCAATGTGCGATCTACCAAATAAAAATTGACAGCTGGAGACCAAACTACCTATTTATACACCGATAGTAAAATTTATTCTAGTATATGAGTATTTGTTATGAGGTCAAATTTTAGACTAGTAACACAGAACTTTTTAATATTCACAAATTTAGTCAAGCCTTTTATTTGAGGAAGTAAAAATGAAAATCAAATTGCAAAGATCCAATTTATTTTGTTACTGATTTGCTAGATTATGAAGAATCTAACTAGATGATGCTTACATAGGTGACACTTCAAGAGAGCCTCAGGGCCATTGCTGTGGCACAGTGGGCTACGCCACCAGCAACAGTGATCAGCTCTATGAGCTCATGTCCTGGCTGCACCACTTCCCTAAGTGACCAGGGAAAAGCAGAGGAAAAATGGCCCACATGGCTTGGGCCCATTTGGAGAGTGAACGGATGGAAGCTCTCTCTATCTCTGCCTCTACCTCTCTGCAACTCTGCCTTTCAAGGGAAGAAAGCAAAGAAAGGAAAGAAGAGTGCCTTGATTTATGCCCTCAAGTTGCCTTGGAGGAACAAAGCCTCCTTAGCCAGCTCCCGCTCCTTTCCCTACTGCACTAGGAGCATTATAGTGTTGCACTTTAAAGCTATTTGTGTTCGTGTGTGAAGCCCCTTGAAGACAAAATACATTATCAATCAGTTTCATACACCCAGCAACAGGTACAGTGCCTGACAAACTAGGAATCCAATTTTTCACAAGCACTGGGTATTGGGAGCCTGTTATACCAGTCCCTGTCGGGAGTGCTCGGAATAAAAAAGATGGAATAGAATGTCTGCCACCTTTTGACAATGGAAAAGTAGAGCAGCAGCATCCGACCTCACACAGGGAAAGCAAGCCTCCAGACACGTAGCGTTTCACCAGAACAGACCACAAAGCCAAAGAAAATTGCGCAAGTAGAAAACCCTACACTCCTAAGTCCATGAGGAATACCGTGGAATTATGGTTTACATGTCAACTGTTTGACAATCGCTAACTATACTGGGAAGAGACGTTAATTGAAGCGTCAAAGTCCTTGATGCGCGGCCCACTCTAACAGCTGCCGTTGCGGGATTCGGCCTTGCAGAGCCCGAGCCCAACTCCTCTCACGTGCTCAAATCCACCGGAACCCCAGCAGCCCCCACGGCTCGCCTGCACTACCCGTTACCTACTTCCCGCCTTCCCGCTCCCTCCTTCCTCCCTATCCCACCCACCCCCGCCCCGCCCCGCCCCTTCTCCCCCAGGCCCTCCCCTCTCCTTTTCCCCCTTTCTTCCGTCCGACCCTAGACAACCTCCGCTTGTTCCCTTCCTCCCTCACTCCAAAATCCTCATTCTCCACGTCTCGAAAGTATCTCCCACCCCCTAGCTCCATCCCCAACGTCCATCTCTCGGAACAACTTCCGCCCAACTCCATAACGGCGTCTCCCAGTTCCCCGCCAGGTGGACCGGAAGTACGTCATGACGAGGCGCCGGAGCGCTCGTTTGGCGCGCGCGCCGTTAGCGGCGGGGCTGTGCTAATTTCTTGGGTTTTCTGTCAATTTTCTTTGGTTTTTGATTTTTTTCGGACTTGTATACTTACAATTTTGGAGATGCCGTCTTCTTTGCTTGGCGCGGTGATGCCGGCTTCCACATCGGCTGCAGCCCTGCAGGAAGCTCTGGAGAACGCGGGGCGACTTATCGACAGGCAATTGCAAGAAGACCGCATGTATCCGGACCTTTCCGAGCTTCTCATGGTGTCCGCCCCAAGTGAGTGATGGGTGCCCATTAGGTCACCCTTCTTTCTCAGACAGAAAGACCCCCGCCTGCTTCTCTAATCCTGGTCCTTATCCTCAGTTGGTCCTGGTGAGGACATCCCGAGATTTAGGGCGCTGTTTTGCTCTATCTTTGAAGACCCCCAGTCTATTTTCAATCTTCCGTCCTCACTTTCTTCTTTGTAGATTCTTAAGACGGCAAGAGTGAAGGCGAATCCCCAGTTGAAGCTGAACGAGGCGAAGATCCCAACCCAAATGTGCCTTTTGGTGCTCCCAGATGCAAAGAATTTCCTGATCAAAATCGGGAATCAAAATCTCATTGTTGTTCATTCCTTGAGTTAATATTTCAGTGAATAAGAAAGGCACACAAGGTTATATTGGAAGATTTACTATAATTTCTAAAAGATATACTTTGTTATGTAGAGTAAGTATAACATGAAGTGATGAGAGATGCTAGAACTACCAGTGGAATGGGTGCCGGTTCCGGTCCCGGCTGCTCCACTTCCGATCCAGCTCTCTGCTATGGCCTGGGAAAGCAGTAGAAAATCGCCCAAGTCCTTGGGACCCTGAACCCGCGGGGGAGACCCAGGAGAAGCTCCTGGCTCCTGGCTCTGGATCGGCGCAGCCAATTGGGGAGTTAGGGAGTGAACCAGTGGATGGAAGACCTCTCTCTCTGCCTCTTCTCTCTCTGCGTAACTCTGACTTTCAAATAAATAAATAAGTCTTAAAAAACAAAAAACAAAAAAACAAAACAAAAAAAACTACCAATGGAATAAAGGAAGAGAACAGGGAGTTCAACAGTGCTAGTGAACAGGGAGGGGAAGTTAGAGTACTTTTGTTGGTCCACAGAAATGGGGTGATTGGAAAGGTTAATAGTTTTAAATTATAACCAGTTTTTCTAGGCTGATGGAATTGCATCAGTTAGAAAAAAGTGACCCCTTCGTGAGATGGAAATTGAAGAAAAGCAGAGAAGTGTAGGAAAGAGATGAGATTTTTGGTAAGCAAGAACCCATAAAAGCTATCTAAGACAGTGTATGCAAGGCGAACCAAAAAGATTCTTCTGTTGATATATGAAAATTGTTCATCGGTAGACTTGTCATTAGAGAAATGATTAAAACAGAGGTAGTATTTACTTTTGACAGCTACTTACCATTGAATTCGTCTTAGGAGACCAGATTTCCTGTTAGTAACTGCCATCCTGACATCATTACTTGCTTTGGCTGTCTGCTTTGAAAGCAAGATGTAAGTTAGTACGTTCTGGTCTTACTGTACATCTCATCCCTTTACACACTTCTACCTGGTCAACCCAATCTCTCTCTTTTGTGTTTTTCTTGAAGTCTTGCTTCAGTAGCACAGAATTTAAAATGCTTTCCCTAAGAAGCTCCCTTTTCAGAATTTTACATTTTTTTTTTTAAATATTTCATTTGAGAGGTAGAGTCACAGACAGAGGTAGAGAGAGAGAAGTCTTCCATCCGCTGGTTCTCTCACCAAATGGCCACAGTGGCTAGAGCCGGGCCAGGCAGAAGCCAGGAGCTTTTTCCAGATCTCCCATGTGGGTGCAGGGGCACAAGCACCTGGACCATCTTCCACTGCTTTCCCAGGCACATTAGCGGGGAGCTGGATCGGAAGAGGAGCAGCCGGGACTCGAACCAGCCACATGTGGGATGCCAGCACTGCAGGAGGCGGCTTTACCTGCTATGCCACAGCACCGGCCCCTCTACCTCTTTCTTAATTCTGCCTTTCAAATAAATAAATACTTTTTTAAAAAGGAAATTATTTCTGATTATTTTATTTGAGAAACAGACTTCCCATCTGCAGATTCACTCCCAAAATCTATAATTTCTAGAATGTTCTTTCTAATTTACCTGACAGATTTCTTCCAGACTCCTTGTGAAAGTCTTCTGTTTTTCTTTGAAGTATTTTTCAGTGATTCCCATGTTCACTAAAATTAATTTCCTCTTTCACTTCCCACTGCCATTTAAAATATGCAGTATTTTATTAAAATTGTATTTTAGAATGAAATACAGATTTGCTTTACAAAGGATCCATTGGAGAAGGAGTGAACAGTGTTACAAATGAAATATGATTGAGTCTTACTGGTAATTGTTGAAGTTGGGTTATCTGTACATAGAAATGAGTTGCATATTTCTCCTATTTTTGTGTGTTCTTTAAATTTTCATTATTCAAAAATTGTTTTGTATGTCAGTTCCTCCTAACATCTAGATTCCTAAAAAGATGCCTGGGATGATTATGTCATCAGTCAGATCTACAGCACAGCTTCAGGACCAGGGAGGACAAGCTGAGGAGACCAGCTATCTGCCCTTCATGACCTGAGTCTTAAGAGAAGGAATGCCTGCTGAGAGCGTTTTATAAAACTCTCTGTGGCTTTTCTCCCCAATAAAACAGTCCTTATGTTAGCATTTGTTTTTGTTATATTTGTGTGAAGGAGAAGTCTAGAGGGAAAAGGCATGGACTGTTTTAATCTGAAAATGTTTAAATGGGAAAGACAATAAGCTGTTTTCCCCCATCTTTTTTTGCCCAAGGTTAGTTGATCTACAAATTTCTACACAGTTTTATAAATGCTTTCCATTTTAAGATTAATAAAATAATAGAAAAACACTAAGCTACTGTGGAGTAAGTTGCTGTAAAAGATAACCTTCTGAGGTTAACTATGGAATTTTTTAGGGCAATTGTTGTTAAGATGCTGCTTAGGAGACCAGCATCCCATTTCAGAGGGCTGGTTGAGTCCTGGCTGATCTGCTGTATTTTGTTTTGTTTTAAGATTGATTTATTGGGACCGGTGCCTTGGCACCATGGCATAGTAGGTTAAGCGCGCCCACCTTTATGTTAAGCGCCAGCATCCTTTATGGGCACTGAGTCCCAGAGTTACAGAGAAAGAGAAAGAGAGGTCTTCCATCTGCTGTTTCACTCCCCAGATGGCCGCAACAGCCAGAGCTGAGCCGATCTGAAGCCAGGAGCCTGACGTTTCCTTTTGGTCTAGGAGCTCTCCTTTATATTGAGGGGCTCAAGCACTTGGGCCACCTTCATTGCTTTCCCAGGCCCTTAACAGGGAGTTGGATTGGAAGTGGAGCAGCAGGGATTCAAACCAGCACCCATGTGGGATGCTGGTACCACAGGCAGAGCTTAACCTACTATGCCACAGCTCCAGCCCAGCTCTGCTTCTGATCCAGCTTCCCGATAGTGCACCTGGGAAGGCAGGTGCTTGGGCCCCTGCCACTCTGGTGGGAGACCCAGATGGAGTTCTAGGCTCCTGATTTTGCCCTGGCTCAGCCCTGGCTGTTGAAGGCATTTGGGGATTGAACCAGTGGATGGATGATTCTTTGTCTCTACTTCACTATACCTTTCAAATAAATCATTTAAAAAAATCATTTGCAGGGATGAAGTACTTGATCATTTAAAAAATGGAATTTCTCAGGCCTACTTTGTGTGTGTCAGCTAGAATGACTTTATTTTCTCTGTCTCTGTGGAACTGTCTCCTGCACCATGTTTTATGGCTTGTAATGCTTCTCTTTGCCCAACTGATGAGCAGTGTATTATTACAAATACTTTCTTTTCTTTCTTTTTTTTTTTCAGACAGTCCCACCGTTTCTGGCATGTCAGATATGGATTATCCTCTCCAAGGACCAGGTTTGCTCTCGGTACCCAATCTTCCAGAGATCAGTTCCATCCGAAGAGTTCCTCTCCCACCTGAACTTGTCGAACAGTTTGGACGTATCCTATTAGCTTTTATTTAACTCTGTGAAAAATGGTGTTTTCATTACTGGAATTCTTATTTTGTGTTTAATTGCTGTATTTTGTGTAAGTTCATTTAAGGGTTTTATTTGAAGTATGTTTAAGTGTATGAATGGCTTGCTATTTTATTAAATTTTAGACTGATTGTGATGTTTAAAATCAAGTTTAAGTCAAAAGTTATTGAAGCAAATTTATGAAAAATGAGACTGAGCCATTTCTACCTTACATCCACACTACCTCAGATATGCAGTGTAACTGCATGATGGGCGTATTCCCTCCTATCAGCAGAGCTTGGCTTACCATTGACAGTGACATTTTCATGTGGAACTTTGAGGATGGGTATGTATTTAAGGCTTTACTGTGATTAGAATTTAAACAAACATTGTAGCCAGTGTCCCACTCATTAGAAGCTTCCTGGTTTATCTTTCATTCATTAGCATCTGGATCAGTACTTCTAAATATGCATGCCAGTCATCTAGGGATGTTCAAATATGATTTCCATTTTAGTAGTTCTCAGTGAGGCCCAAGAGCCTTCCTTTACAAGCTTGCTCTCTTGAGTAGTAAAGATCTAGGTCCCAAGCTCTAACCCCGTAGTAAAGATAGTACTAGTGATTTTTTCAGAGATTTCACATTTTTTTAAGACATCTCTTTTCCTTGCATTTCTTTTGAGTGGGCCTCTGATAACTTATTGAAGTGACTCAATAGATTTGCTTTTTTGTTTGTGTATTTTTCATGGCCTTAGGTAGGTCTTTATCCATGGTCTTTAGAATAAAACAATTGGGTATACTGGCTTACTTTTTCATTATATTCCTTCTCTAAATTTATTTAACCTTTAAAGAGCATGTGAGATGCAACTTTGTTTTCTTTATATGTGTAACATGTTTTCTTCAATTATTTACAGAGGAGACCTTGCCTATTTTGATGGACTTAGTGAGACTATTCTTGCTGTGGGGCTTGTGAAACCAAAAGCTGGTAAGAAGTAAAATTATACAGATAAATAGTTGAGTTTCCAAATGAAGTTTTGTTCCAAATTGCTTATAATTACATATATATAAGGGATTGGGGCTATTTTCTGGTTAATTCTCTTCAATGGTATGAGTCTGCCTTCTTAAATGTTAAACAATGTTCTGGAATTTTATTATGCTTACTTTTTACAACTCTTTATTGGCTTACCTGGAGGGTTATTTATTTATTTATTTATTTATTTATTTTTGCATTATAGATTTTTCATCAATTACTGAATTTAGAGTAAAAACCCTGCCACCTTAGCAATTTTTAAGTGTAAATTTCAGTAATATTAAATATGTAAACACTGTTCTGCAACTATCATCACTGTCCATGTCGAACTCTTTATCTTGCAAACTGAAGCTCTGCCCATTGAACTCTTGTTCCTCTTTGCTCCAACCCTTTACAACTACCATTCTACTTTTTGGCTCCATGAATTTGACTCCTAGGTTCTCATTTAAATGGAGTCATACAGTTTTTGTGATTTTTTTTTTTTGACTGGCTTATTTCATTTAGCATATATCCTCAAGATATAGCCGTGTTGTAACATGTATCAGCATTTACTTTTGAGGGCTGAATAAAAGTACATTGTATATAGATGCTACTTTTTGATTAATCTTCAGTTCATGGATATGTGGATTACTTTTACCTTTCAGATATTACGAATAATGAATGTTGCTATGAACATGGATGTGAAAGTATAAGTCTTATATTTTAATGAACTGAAACTATTTAAAATGTAACTTTTTAAATGCCATTAAATACTGAAGTGATTGCTATTGAAGTGATTGTTTCCTGAAGTGGCTCTTTTCTACTGCTATTTACTTATATAAATCATCATGCATTAACATCAGAAGTAAATGGATTCAAACATTTTATATACTATTTAATCAGTAGTTCGTAATGAAAAACTATGTTCTGTTTAAATTATGAATCTTTTTTTCTAAAAATAATTCCTACATTGTGTCTACTTTAAGGGATCTTTCAACCTCATGTACGACACCTCCTGGTTTTGGCAACCCCTGTGGATATAGTAATCCTTGGACTCAGCTATGCTAATTTGCAGACAGGTATGGCAGCCCACATGTTATTTATTGGTTTAATTTTATTTATTTATTTATTTGAAAGTCAGAGTTACAGAGAGAAGGAGAGACAGAGAATGAGATTTTCCATCTGCTGGATCACTCCCCAAATGGCTGCAATGGCCAGGGCTGAGCCAGGCCAAAGCTGGGAGCCAGGAGCTTCTTTTGGGTCTCATGCAGGTGCAGGGACCCAAGCACTTGGGCCATTTTCCGCAGCTTTCCCAGGCACAGCAGGGATCAGGAATGGAAGTGGAGCATCCAGAACTTGAACTGGCACCTATATGGGATGCCAGCATTGTAGGTGGCTGCTTAACCAGCTATGCCACAATGCTGTCCCCCATGTTATGTTTTTTAAAACAATACGTTGACAATAAGTAGTCTTATTAAAAACTAATCTGTGCCTTCCTAGACACTGGCACTGTGCTCTTGGGACCTTCCAATCATCAGAATCATGGGCCAAACAAACCTCTGGGTTTTATAAAGTACCCAGCATTGGGTATTTTGCTGTAGCAACATGAAATGAGTTCATCCAAGAGCCAAACTCAGTGTCTTATTCTCAGTGGGTCTTCATTGAGTCCTGGCAGGCATTCAAGGAGCTGCTGCTTGAGAAAGATAGAGAAGAATCCATAAACATTTAATGACTGGGTCAGTGAGAGGTTTTGTTGTAAACGTGGCATTTCCAAAGGCAGGGAAGCTGAGAGTGGCTGGGGCGTGGTCTCACACTGTGGGCCCTGTGACCTAGGAACTGGACGTCTGTGTGTGTGTGTCTGCCAGGTTGTCAGACCAGCAGTGCAATTCAGTGCCTTCTCTGGGGCTTGATTGATCAGGAAGAAGGGGTTTCTGAAAATTATTTAAACTAAATGTTAAGATATCAGATTCCACCCCTCTGGACAGTGCTGGAAAAATCCCAGAAAGATGCTGCCTTTTTGGGGCCTTGTTTGTCTTCTATCTGGGAGGGCAATTAAACACCAACCAGATAGGAAAGTACTTTTCAGATATACTGTTGATTCCTTAAAGTAATAAGGTAAGAAAGATTTTGAGCAGGAAATGTAAATAACTTACTGTAAGATTTCTATATTGTTAATCTATTTCTGAATGGTTTTCTTGCCCTCTGTAGATCTTTTGTGGGAGAAGGGGACAAAACAAAAACTATAAAATTAAAAAAAAAAACTAATCTGGGTGAAATGCTTGATTCCAGTGACTCAATTGAATAATTATTTCTATCAAATCTTCAGGCTCTTTCTTGAAATTTAATAATTTGGAATTATTTTTTATGTAATGTTTTACTACACATTTTATATATTTATATATGTGTACTATAGTACTATAGTTTCTATTTAACTTGAATTATCAGATTATTTGTATCAGACTTGTACTAATTCAAAATATTGACACTTTCAAGTAAGAATTTAGTAGGAATGAATTCTGAAGATACTACAAAGATCATTTTTTTAACCTTGAAAAAGCTAATAATTATTGTATTCTTTCTTTTAAAAAATTAGGTTCTGGAATTCTTAATGACAGTATGTCTGGTGGGATGCAGTTGCTTCCAGATCCTTTATACTCTCTTCCCACTGATAATACATACCTTTTAACAATAACTTCCACTGATAATGGCAGAATTTTCTTGGCTGGGAAGGATGGCTGTTTATATGAAGTAGCATACCAAGTAAGTCTGACATGCATAAACTTTTTACCCTCTCTCTTGTTTTGACTAACTATTTTGTGATTTGTTTGAGAGATAGAGTGCTCCTATCCTGTGTTTCACTTTCCAAATGCTTCAAAAGGCCAGTACTGGCTGAGGTAAAACTAGGAGGTGGGAATTCATCCACTTCTCTCACATGGGTGTCTGGTAATCAACTATGTGAGCCATCACCTGCTTCCTCCCAAGATGTACATTGGTGGAAATCTGGAAACAGGAGCAGAGCAGGGATGTGAACCCAGGTCCTCTGAAACAGGATCTGAGCATCTTTTTTTTTTTTTTTTTTTTGAAAGAGTTACTGAGAGAGAGGTCTTCCTTCCACTGGTTCACTCCCCAGATGGCCACGTGGGCCAGGAGCTTCTTCCCAAGCATTTGGTCCCTCCTCTGCTTTCCCAGACACATAAGCAGGCAGCTGGATTGGAAGTGCAGTAGCCGGGACTTGAACTCCTTTCCCTCTCTGTTGATGAAAAAAGATGGGCTTGTTTTTGTATTCTGATATAAAGACATTTATATATACTAGTGGAAAGTAATCAAGCATAAAATTAAACCTGTAGTCTTCAGTGATTACACCATGAAAATTAAATCCAGTATTCTTCCCAGAGGGACAAACCGTTATCAATTCTTTGCATGTCTTTATAGACTGTGATATATGCATTGATGTATGTGTATATATAAATATTACATATTTTTTGTGTATACACACACAAATGCATAGTTTATTTCTGCAAATTATGCTTTAATAGGATTACTGGTTATGTTTTGAGTCTCAGTTGGATTTTGAAATAATTATGGCCCTTTTTAAAAAAAAAAAATTTATTTGAAAGAGTTAATAAGGAGGAGAGACAGAGATATCTTCCATATGCTGCTTAAGACACCTAATGGCATCATGGTTGGGGCTGGACCAATATGAAGCCAGGAGCCTGGAGCTTCTTCCAGGTTTCCAACATGGGTGCAGGCATCTGAGGATTTGGGCCATTTTCTACTGCTTTCCCAGGAGCGTGACTAAGGGAGCTGCATGGGAAGTGCAGAGCTCATGTGGGATGCCACCACTGCAGGCCATGGCTCACCCTGCTGCGCCATGTTGCCTACCTTCATAATTATGTTTTGAAAGTCCTTGTACTTGGTAGTTATTTTTAATTCTGAGTCTAAAATAAATAATTAAATTTGAATAATAAGCCTTACTTTGTTTACAATCATTGGTATATCATGAAGATTTGAAAATTTTTGTAAATATGGGTATATAGTAGTTGTTATGACAACTTGTTTTACTTTCACAAGTCATCTTTCTATTTTTCTCTTTTAAGGCAGAAGCAGGTTGGTTTAGCCAGCGATGTAGGAAAATAAACCACTCGAAGAGTTCACTTTCTTTTCTTGTTCCTTCCTTACTGCAATTCACATTCTCAGAAGATGGTAAGTAAAACATTTGTCCTAACTTTTTTTTTAAGATGTATTTATTTATTTATTTGTAAGGCAGAGTTGCAGAGAGAGTTGAGGAGACAGAGAGAAAGATCATCCATCCTCTGGTTCACTTCCCAGATGGCCCCAATGGCCAGGGCTGGGCCAGGCTGAAGCCAGAGCCAAGAGTTTAATCCAGATCTCCCATGTGAGTACAGGGGCCCAAGCACTTGGGCCATCTTCTGCTTTCCCAGATGCGTTAGCAGGGAGCTGGATTGGAAATGGAACAGCCAGCACACTAACCAGTGCCCACATGGGATGCTGGCATTAAGGTGTCAGTTTCACCTGGTATGCCACAAGGCTGGCTCCACAAATTGTCATTCTTAATCAGAATTGTTTTGTTTTAAAGATTTATTTATTTGAAAGGCAGAGTTACTAGAGAAGGAGAGACGGAGAGAGAGCTTTCTATCTGCTAGTTCACTGTCAGGAGCCAGGAATTCCATCTGGGGTTCCTATATGGGAACAGTGGCCCAAGTATTGGGCCATCCTCTGCAGCTTTCCCAGGGGCATTACCAGGGAGGTGGATCACTAGTGGAACACCCGGAAATTGAACCAGAGCTCATATTTAATGCCAGCATTGCAGGCAGCAGCTTAACCCACTGTGCCACAATGCTGGCCACAGAATTGTTTTCATATTTAAAAAAATTTTTTTGTATTTATTTTCATCTACTTGAAAGGTAGAGTGACCCATATAGGAAAGCGAAAGAACTCCTTTTTTTTGTTTGTTTGTTTTTTTTTTTTTTGGTAGAATTTGAGACAGAGAGACAGAGAGAAAGGTCTTCCTTCTGTTGGTTCACCCCCCAAATGGCCACTGCCGCTGGCACAGTGCTGCGCCAATCCGAAACCAGGAGCCAGGTGCTTCTTCCTGGTCTCCCATGTGGGTGCAGAAGCCCAAGTACTTGGGCCATCCTCCACTGCCCTCCCAGGCCACAGCAGAGAGCTGGACTGGAAGAGAGAAACCGGGACTAGAACTCGGTGCCCATGTGGGATGCCGGCGCCGCAGGCAGATTAACCAAGTGAGACGTGGGGCTGGCCCCCCCCTTTTTTTTTTTCTTAAAGATACATTTATTCATTTGAAAATCAAAGTTATACAGAGAGAAATAGAGGTAGAGAGAGAAAGAGAGGTCTTTCATCCACTGGTTCACTCCTCAGTTGGCAGCAGTACCGGAGCCATGCTGATCTGATGCCAAGAGCCAGGAGCTTCTCCTAGATCTCCCACGTGGGTGCAAGGGCCCAAGGACTTGGGATATGTTCTACTGCTTTCCCAGGCCATAGCAGAGAGCTGGATCGGAAGTAGAGCAGTTGGGACTTGAACCAGCACCCATATGTGATGCCGGCACTGTAGGTGGCGGTTTTACCCGCTACACCATAGCGCCGGCCCTGAGAGAAAGAACTCTTCTATCCACTGGTTTACTCCCCACATGTCTACATCAGCTGGAGCTGGATAAGTCCAAAGCCCGGAGCTCAGGCCTCCTATGCGGGTTGCGGGGCCCAAGTACATAGGTCCTCATCTAGTGTCCGCCAGGACTTATTAGTAGGAAACTGAATTGGAAGCAGAGTAGCCAGGACTCAAGCTGATACTCATATAGGGTGCAGGCATTGCAAGTGGCGACTTAACTCACTGTGCCACAATACTTGCTCATTGTCACATTAAATAGCAATTTTTATAAACTCATCAGGTCTTTTAAAGGGGGAAGAATTTATAAAACAAGGAGAACGTATGGATTTTATCTAAAAGTTACTTATTGTCTATAAATGTAACATGATAGAACATATATTGAAACAGCTACACATATTTAAACCAAAGTATGTGTATATGTGAGAGAGGAAGATATTCAGACATCTAATATATGCTCTGCCTGGTCTACAAAAAATTTGCAGTATAAAAAGAACATATTTGCTTCTATATATTACTTCCAGTTATTAAACAGCTTTTTCAAAAGGAGTTGTTTTATAAGCATACAGGTGAAAAAAGTTCTTTTTTTTTTTTTTTTTTTTTTTTTTGACAGGCAGAGTTAGAGAGAGACAGACAGAGAGAAAAGTCTTCTTTTTTCCGTTGGTTCACCCCCCAAATGGCCGCTGCGGCCGGCGCACTGCGCCTATCCAAAGCCAGGAGCCAGGTGCTTCCTGCTGGACTCCCATGTGAGTGCAGGGCCCAAGGGCCTGGGCCATCCTCCACTGCCTTCCCGGGCCACAGCAGAGAGCTGGCCTGGAAGACGAGCAATAGGGACAGAATCCGACACCCCGACTGGGACTAGAACCCAGGGTGCCAGTGCCGCAGGTAGAGGATTGGCCTAGTGAGCTGCAGTGCCGGCCAGTGAAAAAATTCTTAAGCAGAATCCTTGTCATATATGAAGTTTTGTTGTATTTCTGTAGATTGAGGGAATAAATATGAGTTGACCAAAAAAATTGATTTATCACTAAAATTAAACAGATATTGCCCAAAACTAACTTAATGCTTCTATTTCAAATAAAGTAATCTTTTGGCAATGAAAGAAGTACCTAAATTAAAAAAAAAAAAAAAAAGAATATATCTGAGTTTTTGATGAACTGTGTGATTTACACTGATCAAATAATTATAAAATGCTTTGGTAAAATAAGATATATACACCTGAAAATGTTGATAGGATGAATTTTTAAATTATTTTCCTTTGAGGCTGATGCTGTGGTGTATCAGGTAAAGCTGCTGCCTGCAGTGCTGGCATCCCATACGGGTACTGGTTCGAGTCCCATTTGCTCCCATTTCATATGCAGCTCCCTGCTCATGCCCCTGGGAAAGCAGTGCAGGATGGCCCAAGTGCTTGGGCTCCCACAACTCAAGTAGGAGACCCAGATGAAGCTCCTGGCTCTTAGCTTTGACCTGGCCCACACCTGGTGTTTGTGGCCATTTGGGGAGTCAGTGGAAGACTTGTCTCTCTAATTCTGCCTTTCAAATAAATAAATTTTTTTAAAAAATTCTCTTCCTTCACACAATAAAGTATTAAGTAAAATGATATGAATGTAGTTATTTTATATGTTTCTAGCTTTTATTACATTCTTTAAAGACTGCAGATTGAAGAAGTAATCTAGAAATTGTTTTTTGGTTTGGTTTAACATCTGTTTACGAAAAAAAGAACTTACTTTTGACGCTCTTAACCCAATGACAGTGTCTGACATCTGTTTTTCATGTGTTCTTGTGTCTGAATGTTTGTGGCTTGGGCCTTATACATATAGGGCTTAACTACACAATGAGAGACAGGAATACCACTGAATGCAGAGTTCTAATTTAGCAACTTGAATCTGGTATAAGTGGCTACTGTGTTCAATTTATTAATTCTTGGATTGTTTTTCTTTGTCTTTCTTTTAGATCCTATTGTTCAAATTGCTATAGATAATTCTAGAAATATTTTATATACACGATCGGAGAAAGGTGTAATACAGGTAAGTATTAATATACTACCATTTAAGAGTGAAAAAAAATCCCTCATTTTGTTGCTTTGTTTTAGTTTTTGTTTTTGATTTGACAGACAGAGAGACAAAGACATTCAGTCAGATAGAGGTAGCAGTCATTCACTGGATCATTCCTGATACGACTGCACCTAGGATAGGTCCAGGTCAAAAGCAGGAGCCTAGAACTCAACCTGCATACTTCATCTTAGTTGGTAGGGACCCAAGCACTTTTGCCATCACTTGTTGCTTCCCAGGGTACATACTAGCAGAAAGTAAGAACCTAGGTTGCAGTTTTTTGTTTGTTTGTTTTTGTTTTTGTTTGATAGGCAGAGTGGACAGTGGGAGAGAGAGACAGAGAGAAAGGTCTTCCTTTGCCGTTGGTTCGCCCCCCAATGGCCACCGCTGCCGGCGCACCACGCTGATCCGAAGGCAGGAGCCAGGTGCTTCTCCTGGTCTCCCATGCGGGTGCAGGGCCCAAGCACTTGGGCCATCCTCCACTGCACTCCTGGGCCAGAGCAGGGAGCTGTACAGGAAGAGGAGCGACCAGGAAAGAATCTGGCGCCCTGACCGGGACTAGAACCCAGTGTGCCAGCGCCGCAGGCGGAGGATTAGCCTATTGAGCTGTGGTGCCGGCCACCTAGGTTGTGTTTTAAATGATATTCCAAATCCCTATTTTTAAGGAAGAATATTCATAATATCCATTCTTCTTTCCTGTGAATTGTGTGTTTATTTAAAAAAAAAAAACACTTTTTTCTATTTATTTATTTGAAAGGCAGAGTTAGAGAGATGCAGAGACAGAAAGAAAGGTCTTTCACCTGCTGGTTCACTCCCCAGATGGCCGCAATGGCCAGAATCTGTGCCGATCTGAAGCCAGAAGCCAAGAGCTTTTTCCAGGTTTCTGGCACAGGTGAAGGGGCCCAAGGATTTGTGCCATCCTTTATGGCTTTCCCAGGCCATAGCAGGGAATGGGATCTGAGTGGAGCAGCCACGACTCAAACCAGTGCCCACATGTATGCCAACAATGCAGGCATTGGCTTCACCCACTACGCCACAGTGCCAGCCCCTCCAAACCACTTTTTATGGCTCCTTTTAATGAAATTTCAAATCTCTGAGGTTGGCATATCTCTAGCAATTAATAAAATTAAAGTATCCTCAAAAATTTTTTATTTGACATAATGTGTATAGTATATAAACATGTTTAAGTAAGAAGGATTTTTTATTTATAGGTTTATGATTTGGGCCATGATGGACAAGGAATGAGCAGAGTTGCCTCAGTTTCACAGAATGCTATTGTCTCTGCTGCCGGAAACATTGCTAGGTAAATATGGCAGTTGATTATAAGACATTTCATTTGTAGGTATAATTATACTCTTTGTGTATAGCATGCTAAAATTATTCCCTCTTCAAAATATATCTAGAAGGTAAAAACATTGAAAATGATAATAATTTAGGTTTTGTTTGAAACAGGTGTGAAAGGCAGCTTGTATGTTTTACCTGGAACTTTAAGTTTAGTTGATCTGTTTCAGGGATCCTGACTAAGATGCGATGAGTCTGAAAACACTGCATCTCTTTTTAACTGTTCATCCTTTTGTTTTTTGAAGATTGACTTATTTGAAAGGCAGAATTACAGAGAGGCAGAGATAGGTCATCCCTCCGCTGGTTTACTCCTCAAATGCTTACAATGGCCAGAGTTGGGCCAGTCTGGAGCCAGGAGCCTGTAACTTCTGGGTCTCTCATGTGGGTGCAGAGGCCAAGGACTTGGGCCATCTTCCGCTGGTTTCCCAGGCACATTTGCAGATGAGCTGGATGAAAGTGGAGCAGGACCCGAACCAACACCCAGAGGGGATATTGGCACTGTAGGCAATATCTACCCACTCTGCCACAGCACCAGCCCTAACTACCCACCCTTTTAATGGGCCTACGTGGTACAGTTTGATTTGTTTTATTATTTACACGAATGAAAAATGTAATATATCATGATTGTAGTGTCTTCTTTTTATAGATAAAGAAACTAAACTAAGAGGTGTTCTGATTTGTCTGATTTCTAACTGCTGAAACCCAACCTGGAAGCCAAGTCTTTAAACACTTGACCCTGCTTCTTGCATGTATACCAACTGCCTTGTCCAGCTACAGACTTTGTTTCCTTATAGTAAAGGCCTCAGATTTTCAGCTTTTGTTGTCTGTGTGCTGCAATCAGCTATCTAAAAATCAACATGTTTCCTTTTGCTCTTTAGTGGCAAAATAATTCTGAAGACAAAAAGTAGAAAACAGAGGATTTTGTTTTTTCCCCCAACTTTATCTTGGAAATTTGTTCAAATCCACAGATAAATTGAAAGAAATAATGAAAAAGTCTGATACACCTTTTATCTAATGTCACCATTTGGGGCCAGCGCTGTGGCATAGCGGGTAAAGCTACCACCTGCAATTCTAGCATCCATATGGGCACTGATTTCAAGTCTCAGCTGTTCCACTTCCAATCCAGTTCTCTGGGATGGAAAACAGTAGATGATGGCCCAAGTGCTTGGGCCTCTGTACCCATGTGGGAGGCCCAGAAGAATTTCCTGGCTCCTGGCTCTAAATCGGCCCATTGTGGCCATTTGGGGAGTGAACCAGCAGATGGAAGATCTCTCTCTGTGTCTCTCTGCCTCTCTGTAACTCCACCTTTCAAATAAATAATCTTTAAAAAAAAAAAATAAAGTTACCATTTGTTAAGATTTTAAAGTTTTATTTTGTTTATTTGAAAGGCAGAGTTAGAGAGAGAGATACAGAGATAAAGGTCTTCCATCCTCTGGTTTGCTCCCCTAATGGCCACAATGACTGGGGGCAAACCAGTCAGGAGCCACGAGCCAGGAGCTTCTTTTGGGTCTCCCACGTGGGTGCAGAGGCCATCTTCCATTGCTTTCCCACAGACATTAGCAGGGAGCTGGATCGAAAGTGGAGCAGCTGGTACTTGAACCAGTGCTGATATAGGAGGCTGACACCGCCGGCATGGGCTATAAGTTACTTCACAGCGCCAGCCCCCGCTTTGACCTCTTAAGTCTCTTATGTAAGCACGGTAGAAAATTAACAGTAAGTCTGTAACATTGCCTAGTAATGATCACACCATATAAAAATTTCCCAGTATTCCCCCAAATCTTCTATGGCTGTTTTTCCATTTTTCTCCAGTTAACAGAGCTTAAGTATGCCATCAGTCTAGTTTCTGCTATAGAACAGCCTCCTCACCAGCTTTACTTTTTATAATGTTGACATTTGGGAGAGAGAGGCAAAAGAATTATTTATAGCTTGTCCCAGTTTTTTTAAAAGGATTTTTTTTATTTATTTGAAAGACAGAGTGACACAGAGGGAGAAACATGTAAGAGAGATCTTCCATCCACTCATTAATTCCCCAAAATCCTACAACAGTCAGGATTGGGCCAGGCTAAAGTCAGGGGCCAGGAACTTTATCCACGTTTCCCATGTGGGTGGCAGGAACTCAAGTACTTGGGGTGCCCCTCAGGGGCATTAGCAGGAAACTATATTGAAAACTGAATATCTGGGAATCAACCTTGCTTTACACTGTGGAATGTAGGCATTCAAAACGGTAGCTTAACCTGCTGTGCCACAACATCTGCCCCATCCCAATTTCTGAATTTCTCTTTTTCTTTATTATAGATTCTCAGTAATATTTTCTTAAAACCAGTATTAAGATGATGGAAGCTTCTTAGTGCATTGTGTCAAAAAGCACATAGTATCAGTTTTCCCGCTTTTTTGTTTGTTTGTTTGTTTGGCAGTCACAGTGGACAGTGAGAGAGAGAGAGACAGAGAGAAAGGTCTTCCTTTGCCGTTGGTTTACCCTCTAATGGCTGCTGCGGCCGGTGGGCTGTAGCCGGCGCACCGTACTGATCCGAAGGCAGGAGCCAGGTACTTATCCTGGTCTCCCATGGGGTGCAGGGCCCAAGCACTTGGGCCATCCTCCACTGCACTCCTGGGCCACAGCAGAGAGCTGGCCTGGAAGAGGGGCAACAAGGACAGAATCCGGCGCCCCAACCAGGATTAGAACCCGGTGTGCCGGCACTGCAGGCAGAGGATTAGCCTATTGAGCCGTGGCGCCAGCCCAGTTTTCCCACTTTTGAACGCTTGGTTAAGGTGGTGGTCACCAAATCTCTCCCATTTAAGGATCCATTTTCCCCCTTTTTAATTAGTAACGATCTTTTTTTTTTTTTTTTAAAGATTTATTTATTTATTTGAAAGTCAGAGTTGCACAGAGAGAGAGAGAGAGATCTTCCATTTCCCTAGTTCACTCCCCAGTTGGCCGCAGCTGCACTCATCCGAAGCCAGGAGCTTCTTCCGGGTCTCCCACGTAGACACAGGGGTCCAAAGACTTGGGCCATCTTCAACTGCTTTCCCAGGCCACAGCAGAGAGCTGGATTGGAAGTGGAACAGCCGAGTCTCAAACCGGCACCAGGGCGTTAACCCGCTGCGCCACAGCGCCGGCCCCAGTAACGATCTTTACAATGATTATTTGGTACTCTGAGAACATTTGTTTACCACCCACCATTTGCCTAATACTTTTAGTCTTTTAAGATAACTTTTGTTCAATAATGAAGTTAATCTTAAAAATATTAATGCAAACTACACATTCAGGGAGTTTGTACCAGCTCTTGCTGATGTTCTATTACCTTCCTAAAAGGTTAGTCTTAAATTATTTTAGCTCATTTAGACATGTAAAAATCTTGATGGAAAGTATTTCTCATAATTTAGAAGACACATCTTTAAAATACAGTTTAGTTTTTTTCCTTTCTTTTAGGACCATTGATCGTTCTGTTTTTAAGCCAATTGTTCAAATAGCAGTGATTGAAAATTCTGAATCACTGGACTGTCAGTTACTGGCTGTCACTCATGCAGGTATGTTTTCTCCATATCAGTATATCTACTGTTGTCTTTTTGGAATCCTTAGATTTGGAAATTTATGGTTGGAAATGTTTTTACTTCCATAATAGCTATCAAGCCATATTAATAATTCATAAAATTAAGCCTTTTGAAGATAGGAAGATTTGTGTCCTCCGTTTCCTGATTTTATAGCATGAAAGGTAGAGTGCCTCAGATTTAATGACCGAGCCCGAACTGGAGCAGTCTCCTTTGATTTGTTCCATGTTCCTCTGAAAATGTGTTGTTTCAACTCTAATTCCAAGTAACACCTTTCTTTTCTTTTTTTTAATTAATTAATTAATTAATTTGAAAGTCGGAGTTACAGAGGAGAGGCAGAAAGAAAGAGAGGTCTTCCATCTAATGGTTCATTCCCTAGTTGGCTACAACGGCCAGAACTGCGATGATCCGGAGCCAGGAGCTTCTTCTGGGTCTCCCACATGGATGCAGGGGCCCAAGGACTTGGGCCATCTTTCACTGCTGTCCCAGGCCATAGCAGAGAGTGAGATCGGAAGTGGAGCAGCCGGGTCTCGAACCGGCGCCCGTATGGGTTGCTGGAGCTTCAGACCAGGGCGTTAACCCAGTGCACCACAGCACCAGCCCCCATTTTCTTAGAATTGTTTCTCAGCTGGTACTTTAGATGACAATTTAAGATCAGTTAGGAAAGTGGTATATGGTTTTAACAGAGTTCTGAGTTTCTATATAGCATTGCTTTAATACATATGTACCTCAGATGCTTTGTTTTCTGTTACTGATAAATAATTTTACCCCATCGTCAGGTGTTCGATTATATTTTAGCACTTGTCCGTTCAGACAGCCGTTAGCACGTCCTAACACACTGACACTAGTTCACGTCCGCTTACCTCCTGGATTCTCAGCATCTTCGACAGTGGAAAAGCCCTCCAAAGTACATAAAGCCCTTTATAGCAAAGGTAAGTTAAGAAATTCTATCAGATTTTAGGAAGTTAAGAAATATTATCAGATTTTAGGTGAGATTCTTAAATTTTCTAAAATTTTAAGGCATTTTGAGGCATTTAAAAATAATTAATAAACAAATGTTCTAATAAAGTTGGAAATTTTTGATTTTTATCCAGTGTTCTTTTTCTATACTAACATATTTTGAGTATTTTTCAATTGGTGTGTATATTAAAACCCCATTTTTAAATACAACTATTTAATTATGATTTAATTTTAGCTTGTTATTAGCTTTGTTTTTGAACGCTCTTGTTAAATTCAGTATTATACAGCTTATAATACATGGCTTTGTGAACTCATCCTTTAAAATAGAAAAACTCAATGACTTTTCTTCATTTGATCTTAGCCAAAAGGCCAAAAAACAATCAGACTTTTTCTAATACTATGTCAGTGTCTATGGATGTGTAGAATTCTGCATGCAACAGTGAAAAATTGTGATGACAGACTTTTCCGGATTCATAATTAAGGTTTTTTTTTTTAATATTTTAAATACTTGCTTATTTGAAAAGCCAAGTTATAGAGACAGAGATTTTTTTTCTGTTTGTTTACTCTCCAAGTATCCACAATTGGTGGGGCTGGGCTAGACTGAAACTAGGAGCCAGGAGTTTTTTCCAGGTCTCTAATGTGGATGCAGGGACCCAAGCTCTTGGGCCATCTTTCACTGCTTTCTCCTGGTGCATTAGCAGGGAGCTGGATTGGAAGTAGGGTAGCCAGGACTTGAACTGGCACCCATATGGGATGCCAGTTCTTCAGGTAGCTTAACCTGCTATGCCACAATGCCTGAGCTTGACAGTGACAGGAGTCCAAGTACATGGGCCATCTTCTGCTGCCTGTGCGGGTGCTATAATAGGAAGCTGGATTGCAGGTGCAGTGGTTGGGACTCCAGACTCCCATATGGGCTGCTGGTATAGCAAGCCTCAGCTTAACTCACTGTGCTACAAGTCCAGCCTGAGGCCTTTAATCCGTTTTGAATAAATTTTTATAAGTCTTACGAGATGGGGGTTTGGTTTTATTATTTACCTGTGGATATCCACTTTCTGAGCATCATTTGTTGAAAAAAGTATTTTTTCCCCATTGTATTTGTTTGGCACCGTTTTCTCAAATGAATTGACCATTAACTGTGTGAGTTCTGTCTAGAATCTCAATTCTTTTTCTTGCACTACCATGATGAGTCTTCAGAAGATTTCATAGGAAATATATATTACGAAAAACAATGCATTTATTTCTAGATTTTTTTTATACCTAAATATTTGTTAATTTCAATTTTAAAAAACTTTCTGAAGTACCCTTACATGTCCTCATGCCAGTAACATGCAGTCTTGATTACTATTGCTTTGTATAAGTTTTGAAATTGTTTTAAGATTACTTGGCTATTCTGAATCTTGCATTTCCATATGAATTTTAGGATCTACTTGTCAATTTCTGTAAAAAAGGCAGTTGGGATTTTTAGAATTTAATTTTTTTGATCACTTTAGAAATTATAGCCATCTTAACTATGTTAAGTCACAGTTGTCTTTTTATTTAGGTCTCCTTTAATTTCTTTCAGTGATGTGTATACACTGTACAGTCTTGCTTCTTTGTTAGATTATTCCTAAGTATTTTTATTCTTTTGGATACTATTCATTTATTTGATACTATAACAAAAAAAAAGTCAGTTTGAAAACTAGAAATGTATTCAGGACAAAATACTGTGGTTTTTAATTGTGTTTTCATACAATATATTGCATTTTTCAAACTCTAAGATGCTAAAAGTGAATAAACATCTTTTGCTGCTTTGATGTAAACTCAACTTTTCGTAGTCCAATTGTATGCTTTATTAATTAATTATGCTCTCAGCTAAAACCATCTAGAGGGTCATTACTGGTACCACTAAAGTCAGAGAGGGCATATTAGGCTGGAGGAGCTGCAATTGATCGTGTGACAGTAAATTTCTAAATCAGACTGTATTACCTAGTTTTTGCTGAGACTGATTCTTTGGTACTTTTTCTCTGTTATTCCACTAGTATCTTCATCATTTTTATTTTTTCTGTGTTTTAATTATTACTGTACTTATACTCTATTTCATTGAATATTTAATATCCATTGATTGTAAGTCACAGTATTTTTTATTTACTAAATTAATTTTTATTATGTTGGTAAGTAAATTGATGAACGTATTGATTGTAAAATATATCCTAATTTAAGAAATTTGAATTGGTAAAAAATGAGGGGGGTTCCTTCTGAAAGAAATATAGAATCAGCTCAAGAATACTTAATGACTCTGCTCTACCCTTGTTTACATGTTCTTTGAGAGAATTTAATTTTGCTTATAAGTTTGTTAAAAAGATTGATGAGCATAAATTTATTAAGACTAATATTATTAATGCTATTAAGGATGCATATTATTTGACACTGTTTAATAAAATTGTATATGTGAAACTTTTAGGTATTCTACTAATGGCAGCTTCAGAAAATGAGGATAATGACATTTTATGGTGTGTCAATCATGATACATTTCCATTCCAAAAGCCAATGATGGAAACCCAGGTACGTTATCCTGAGAGTTCTAATCTTTCATATAATGTTAAGTAAAGACTAATAGCATAAGGAGCTTTATATTTTAATTACTACTGTCTGCTTTTGTATTAGCTTTTTTATCACTACGCTGAAATACATGAGGAAACTATCTTTGTAAAAAGCAGAGGTTTATTTAGCTCATAGTTTTGGAGGTTCATGTCCAGACAGGGCAGCTCCATTGGTGTGGGCTATGATGAGGGCAACAGTGTTGGAGTAAGGAGCGCAGACGTAGAAAGAACCAAATGGCAAGCGAGGAAGCAGAGATGGAGGCTGGCGATGCTCAGCGTTTATAAACAACCCTTTCACAAGGACTACCTTCCAAGGCCACACCCCTAGTGTTCTAAGGACCTCCCAGTAGGTCTACCTTTCAGTCATCATAATTCCACCATTAATGGCACTAAGCCATTAATTTATGAGTTTGTAGTTTAAAGTCTTCTATGTGTTTGGGAGCCAAATCATTTCCATGTCATCGCAATTTATATTATTTGGCTAAAAATCATACTTTAAAAATATATCCTATTTGTTTTCACTCTGTCAGATTAGCAGTTATTATGGTCATCATTTAAAACATCTTTAAAGAAAATATTGGACCTTTTTTTAAATGTCTTTAATAATATACATGAAAATACATGTGTGTTTTCTGAAATGATCACTATCCTATTTAAATATATAACCATCCCGTTTTAGTTATAACTTAGAATTAGTCTGTAATTTTACCTATATATATAAATTTCTTTTGTACATTGTAACAATTTACAGTTTAAATGGTACATTGAACCCTACCTGAGAGAATTACTAACATTTTTCGTGTTTTATCTTTCTTCTTGATACACAGACACACAGTTTTGTTTTAAAAGCAAATATGAGTACCACCATATACCCCATGAAGTCAGTGTAGTTATCCTGGGAGAGGGGCAAGGCTGCCATGAACACACCCATGGGATCCACTTGGGCCTCCCAGTCCTACTCCCAAACCCACCAGGAGCTTGGGGGGAAGGCCTCACTCTGCTTCCTTTTGGTGTCCTGCTCACCTCTGACTTCTAGGTATCCCTGCAAAGTCCCCAGAGGCTGGAGATCAAACCAGATATACCACCCCCCACTGGAGTGTGAATGTTGGGTGCTCTATTTTGGTTTCAGCTGTCACTGACTGCTTTCTAATTATTCTCAAACTTGAGCCCTTCTAATGAAATGCATAGAAAAAGTTGTGCAGGAAAACCCAACTTCTAGGGTTGGAGTTGAGAGTGTGGTTTGAATGAGCTTCAGCAAATTTATGACTTGCTTCATGGAATTGGCATAATAGATAGGTAAGGAAATAAAGGGATTTTTTTGTTCGTTTTTTGATTTAAAGATTTATTTATTTATTTATTTGAAAGGCATAGTTAGAGAGAGAAGCTCTTCCATCCTCTGGTCCATTTCCCAAATAGCTGCAAAAGCTGGGGCTGGGCCAGTCCAAATCCAGGAGCCAGGAGCCATGAGCTTCATTTAGGTCTCCCACATGGGTGCCAGGGATCCAAGGACATAGGCCATCTTCTACCGCCTTTCCAGGCACAATAGCAGGGAGCTGGATTGGAAGTGGAGCAACCAGGACTTCAACTGGAGCCCACATAGAATACAGGTGGCAGCTTAACCCACTGTGCCACAATTACTAGCCCCAAGGGGTGCTTCTCTCTTTCCTTTATTCTTTGAACTTTTACTAAATATCTTCTGCTGTGATAGTGAGGATTTAGAACTCAATAAGAATACTGTTGAGAATGCTGCCCTGAGGATATAGGTTTGGTGGGGGTGAGGTTGGGAGATAGGGTAGGAATAGTACCATGGTTTGAACTCTAACTTCACCTCCTCAAAGTTGTGGAGCACAGGATTCAATGTGTTCTTGGCTTTCTAATTCCTCATTTGTAATTCTAATAATAGTACCTACTTTTATGGAGTTGTGGGACTAAATGAATTCCTAAGTATAAAGCACTCAGTAGTGCCTTACAAACAGAAAGCACTTGATAAATCTTAACATTTTTCTTAAAAACTATACGTCATATTATTTCATTTCTGTAATGCTCAAGTTCTCAAAGATACGGACTTTAGTTTAAAAATATAAAGAAACAAACATAGTTTATGAACTTTGATTAAGTCCTAGGTTCCAAAAACAGCTTTAAAGACACTGGGGACAACAGAGGAAATTTTATGTTAACTAAACATTCCTTTATATTAGGGAATTATTACTTTTTTTTTTTTTTGACAGGGAGAGTGGATAGTGAGAGAGAGAGACAGAGAGAAAGGTCTTCCTTTTGCCATTGGTTCACCCTACAATGGCCGCCACGGCCGGCGCACTGCGCTGATCCGAAGCCAGGAGCCAGGTGTTTCTCCTGGTCTCCCTGGGGTGCAGGGCCCAAGCACTTGGGCCATCCTCCACTGCCTTCCCGGGCCACAGCAGAGAGCTGGCCTGAAAGAGGGACAACCGGGAAAGAATCTGGCTCCCTGACCAGGACTAGAACCCGGTGTGCCGGCGCCACTAGGTGGAGGATTAGCCTATTGAGCCACGGCGCCGGCCGGAATTATTACATTGTTAAGTGTTATAATGATACTGCATAAGAATATAAAACATATATAAGAATAATGCATACTATATTCTAAATCTATTGGGATATTTGAAATTATATAATGAAGTTTTCTTTTTAATATTTATTTATTCATTTGAACGGCAGAGTTACAGAGGAGCAGGGGCAGAGAGAAGAGTCTTCCATCTGCTGTTTGACTCCCCAAATGGCTGCAACAACCAGAGCTGGGCCGATCTGAAGCCAGGAACTTGTGGGTCTCCCACCTTGTGCAGGGGCCCAAGTGCTTGGGCCATCTTCTACTGCTTTCCCAGGCCATAAGCAGATAGCGGAATCAGAAGTGGAGCAGCCAGGACTTGAACCGGCACCCATATGGGATGCTGGCATTGCAGGCTGCGGCTTTAGCTGCTATGCCGAAGCACCGACCCCTGAAGTATTTCAGACTAAAATACTTTTTTAAAACAAATGATGGGGAGCCGGTGCATGCCTTAGAGGGTAAAGCCGCAGCCTGCAGTGTCAGTATCCCATATGGGTGCCGGTTCAAGTCCTGACTGCTCCACTTCTGATTCCGCTATCTGCTTATGGCCTGGGAAAGCAGTAGAAGATGGCCCAAGCACCTGGGCACCTGCACCCTTGTGGGAGACCCAGAAGAAGCTCCTTCCTTCTGGCTTCAGATTGGCCCAGCTCTGGCCATTGAAGCCATTTGGGGAGTGAACCAGCAGATGGAAGACTTTGTCTTTCTCTTTTTCTTTTCTCTTTCTCTATCTCTTTGCCTCTTAGTAACTCTGCCTTTAAAATAAATATGTAAATCCTTTTTTTAAAAAAAGAAATGATAGTAGCTTAGAAAAGAAATATAACTTCACAAGAGAATAAAAGGTTATGTGCCAATAAATATGAATATTAAACCTACAAATATAGATTATTCTTATCTTGGAAATATGGAAGATAACCATTCTTTAGTTGTTGATAGAATAGTAAATAATTTAGTAAATAATGTTTGTATTTATCTTTTAAAAAAATTATGTATTTATTTGAAAGGCAGAGTTACAGAGAGACAGAGAGGTATTCCATCCACTGATTCACTTCCCAGATGGCCCCAATGGATCAAGCTACGTCAATACGGAGCCAGGAGCTTCTTTGACGTCTTTGATGCAGGTGTAGGGGCTCAGGGACTTGGACCATCTTTTACTACGCAAGTGGAGCAGCCAGGACTTGAACCAGCACTCATGTGGGAAGCCAGCACTGCAGGTGGCGGCCTTACCAGCTACTCCACAGTGCTGGCCCCTACATTCATTCTAAGAATAGTTTGCTTTTGTCCTCTACTGTGAGAAGTTTAGTAGTATCAAGTACTTGATTAAAAGAATTGGATACTAGGGGGCTGGTATTATGGCGTAATGGGTAAAGCTACAATCTGCAATGCCAGCATCCCATATGGGTGTCTGTTTGTGTCCCGGCTGCTCCACTTTTGATCCAGTTTCCTGCAAATGCACCTGGGAAAGCAGCGGAAGATGGCCCAAGTACCTGGACCCCTGCACCCAGTTGAGAGACCCAGGAAAAGCTTCTGGTTCCTGGCTTGCCTGGCCCAGCACCAGTTATTGCAGCCATTTGGAGAGTGAGCTGGCAAATGGAAGGTCTCTCTCTCCTTCTCTTTCTGCAACTCTGCCTTTCAAATAAATAAATAGAATCTTCAAAAACAAATTGGATAGTAAAAATTAAATGCATACTTTTGAGAACATTCATACTGATGTATTACTAATATATTGAATCTAGATTTCCTTACAGATTGGGTTTGTATTTTGTGTTCTTTTTATGAAGCTTTTGCTTTGCATAACTTAAATCAGATGGGTAAAATGTTTATTTCTCTTACATAGATGACAACCCGTGTTGATGGTCATTCCTGGGCTCTTTCTGCAATAGATGAATTGAAAGTAGACAAGATAATTACACCGTTAAATAAGGATCATATTCCAATAACTGACTCACCAGTGGTTGTGCAGCAGCACATGTTACCTCCAAAGAAATTTGTTCTCCTCTCAGCACAGGTACGTACATATCTGCTGTAGTGGAAAGAGAAGCAATATTTAATGATTTTTTCAAATATTCTGAAGTAGTCAGTTAATAGAATCATTTTCTTAAGTGGTTAGGAATGTTTCCTTTTAGAATATTCTTAAGGAATAGTTAATAAATGCCAAAAATGCTAAGTGCTACAAAAGGAACTATCTTTTCTTTTTTTTTTTTTTTAATATTTATTTATTTATTTGAAAGTCAGAGTTACACAGAGAGAGGAGAGGCAGAGAGAGAGAAAGAGAGAGGTCTTCCATCTGCTGGTTTACTCTTCAAATGGCCACAATGGCCAGAGCTGTGCCGATCCGAAGCCAGGAGCCAGGAGCTTCTTCTGGGTCTCCCATGCAGGTGCAGGGGCCCAAGAACTTGAGCTGTCTTTTGCTACTTTCCCAGGCCATAGTAGAGAGCTGAATTGGAAGTGAAGCAGCCGGGTCTCAAACTGGCGCCCATATGGGATGCCAGCCCTTCAGGCAAGGGTGTTAACCCACTGCACCACAGCGCCAGCCCCAGGAACATTCTTCGCTAAAGTAGCATTTCTTTTTTTTTTTTTTTTTTTTTTTTTTTTTAATTTTTTTTATTATTATTTTTGACAGGCAGAGTGGACAGTGAAAGAGAGAGACAGAGAGAAAGGTCTTCCTTTGCTGTTGGTTCACCCTCCAATGGCTGCCGCGGAAGGCGCACTGCGGCCAGCGCACCGCGCTGATCCGATGGCAGGAGCCAGGTACTTATCCTGGTCTCCCATGGGGTGCAGGGCCCAAGCACTTGGGCCATCCTCCACTGCACTCCCTGGCCACAGCAGAGAGCTGGCCTGGAAGAGGGGCAACCGGGAAAGAATCCGGCACCCCTACCGGGGCTAGAACCCCGTGTGCCAGCGCCGCAAGGCGGAGGATTAGCCTAGTGAGCCGCGGTGCCGGCTTAAAGTAGCATTTCTGACATTTGTGTTTCACAACATTAAGTGGACTAAAAGGTGATTTTTATTTCTAACAACAACCAAGTATTTCTTATAACTCTTTTTGCTTTTAAAAAATTTTAGTATTTTATACTTTTTTAATAGTAATGCTTTAAAGAAATTCAAATGGTATAATAGGCAGTAAAAGCTTCCAGTCCAGGTACTTTTCCTCTAGATGTCCATAATATCAGTATCTGTGAATCCTCCCAAAGATGTGTTATGGATATGCAAGCAAGAGATAGTATGATATTTACACTATTGTATGCTCTGCCTTCTTTTAGAAATAATATGTATGTATGTATGTATTTTAAAAGCAGAGTATTAGAGAAGGAGGGAGCAAGGGATGTCTTCTATCCACTGGTTCACCCCCCTAATAACTGCAGCATTCTGGGCTGGGCCAGGCTGAAGCCAAGAGCCAGGAACTCCATCCAGATCTCTTAGATAACTGGCAGGGACCCAAATACTTGAGCCATCATCCGCTGCCTTCCCAGGTACATTAGCAGGAGGCTGGGTCAGAAGCCCAGCAGCCAAGACTCAAACCACAGTTCCAATGTGGGATGCTAATGTCCAAATGTTAGATTAACCCACTGTACCACAATGCTGACCTCGTCCTCTTTGCTTTTTATATTTCAAAAATATATTTTGGAGATCTTTTTATATTAGTTTATGAAGTTTTTTCTCATTCTATTTTACATTTGAAAGATATTCCTTTGTATGCAAATGCCATATTGAATTAGACCTCCCTCTGTTAATGGATTATCTCTTGCAATTTAAAGTACCATCTTGGGGCAGGCATTTGCCGTAGTAGTTAAGATGCTTGTTAAGATACCTGTAGGGGCCAGCATTGTTGTGGAGTAGGTAAAGCTGCTGCCTGTGACACTGGCATCCCATATGTGTGCCTGTTTGTGTCCCAGCTACTCTACTCCCTGCTTTTGCATCTGAGGAAAGCAGTTGGAAGATGGCCCGAGTACTTGGGCCCCTGTCATCTACGTGTGAGACCTAGAAGAAGCTCCTGGCTTCAACCTGGCCCAGCCCTAGCTGTTGTGGACATTTGGGGAGTGAACCAGTGGGTGGAGGACCACTCTTTCTGTCTCCCTCTGTCTGCAACTTTGCCTTTCAAATCAATCAAATCTTTGAAAAAAGAATATCTGTAATTTACATTAAAATGCATTTGTTCTATTCCTAGCTCTGGCCCCTTGTTCTAGATTTTTCACAGTGTCTGGTAGGCAGAGATGATGGCACAAGTAGTTTCCTGTCACCCAAGTGACAGCCTCAGTGATGGCTGTTTTGTAGGCATTTGAGGAGTAAATCAGCAAATGTGGCTCTCATTCTGTTTCTGTTTCTCTGCCTCTTACTTTAAAAAAAGAAGTTTTTTTAATGTTTCCTCACTATGAGATTTATGAAAAGATTTATTCTTAACTAAAAATTAAGAATTTATTAAGAATTATTAAGTTAATTCTTAATTAAGAGTTAAATTCATAATTTCTTCTGTTGTAATTTAATTTGTTCTTTAAATCTTTGATCTGCTTGGAATTTATCCTGTTATAAGGTATAGATTTGGATCCAACTTTATTTTTTTCTAAATGTGCATAGTACAAGTATGCTATGTTAATAATCTAACTCTAATCCAGCGGTTTGAGGGGTAACTTTGGGGAAAGGGCACAATGTTTTCTTCTCTTTTTTAAAAAAATATTTTGTTTGTTAAATAAATAAATCTTTTAAAAAAAGATTTTATTTATTTATTTGAGAGGTAGAGTTATAGTCAGAGAGAGGGAGAGACAGAGAAAGGTCTTCCATCTGCTGATTCACTCCCCACATGGCTGCAGTGGCCGTAGCAGAGCCAGTAAAAAGCTAGGAGTTTCTTCTGGGTCTCCCACGCTGGTGCAGAGGCCCAAGCACTTGGACCATCTTCTGCTGCTTTCCCAGGCCATAGAAGAGAGCTGGATTGTTAGAGGAGCAGCCAGGACACGAACCAGCGCCCATGTGAGATGTCAACACCTCAAGCAGAGGCTTAGCCTACTGCATCAGAGTGCCAACCTACAATGTTTTCTTATAAAATCTTCTCTATGAATATGTAAGTTAGTGTAGGTTTCCAGTTGAAATATAGATGTTCTTTTTGACTAATTAGTTTATATTCTTTATTTTTGTTGTTGTTGTTTATTTTGTTAAATGAGATAGCAGAGAAAGTTGCTACTAGCCAAGCTTGGAAAATCTATTACTTGTTTTCTTTGTTTTTATAATTTCTTAGGGGAGTCTCATGTTTCACAAACTTAGACCTGTAGATCAACTGAGGCATTTACTTGTGAGTAACGTGGGTGGAGATGGAGAAGAAATTGAAAGATTCTTTAAATTACATCAGGTAATTATACTTTCTTAATGTGATATTTTAAATAATGAAACAGTGGAAATGGTAGTTAAACTTAATGTAAGTTGAGACTAAAATATTGTAATAAACAGGTGATTTTATCAGTCTTTATGTCTACATGACTCTGTATTCTGACATTTCGAGCGAGGTTAATGTTATAAACTTAAACTGTCAGAGTTTTATTCTCTGTTGTTGATAAATTCTTTTTACAGTATGCTGATAGTCTTGTATTCAAGTTTTGTGATAAATGCATTTTTATTAAAAGCACAAGACCTTTCCAGCTAAGCCTTTTGTGCTTACTGATCTGAGAAATGATTTTGAGATAATAGTTGGAGACATTTAGTGTTTCAAAGCTATAACTAAAAATTATGAGGCAATACTGTGAATATTTATTGTAAAAGAATGAATTTCAGATCTAAGTTAAATACACAGACTCTAGATTGAAACCATTTGTGTTAAAAATCCCAGTGCCACTAGGGTAAATTACATACATTGTCTGAGATTCAGAGAATGTTAATGTTACAACAGTATGTGATGTGAGGCTTAATATGCACTCAACTCTAAAAATGGTGCCTGACTCTGACTAATGACAGGTACTCAAAAGATGTTAGCTCTTTCTATGGTTTTCTAAAATGTAGAGAAAAAAATTAGATAGCCAGCAACTAAATCAGAAACTAGATGAGAAGTAAGCATGCTTTACTAGTACTGCTTGTGATGAACTTTAAAATCAGTATTGTTAATTTGTAATAGCAGCTGATTTCAGTCAGCAGCTATTTACTGACCAGCTTCTCATTGCTAGGCACAGACAGAAACACTGGATGCAGCACTAAACAAACCTTCTTTTGCGATATTTGTTAATTTTGGAGGTGATAGTTCTTTTTTCTTTTAACTAGGAAGACCAGGCTTGTGCAACATGCCTTATCCTTGCTTGCTCTACTGCTGCCTGTGACAGAGAAGTATCTGCTTGGGCTACTCGAGCTTTCTTCAGGTGTGTGAGGTTTTCTGTGTACTGCACCATTCTTTTTTTTAAATGGTTGCATTGGGGAGCTGGTGGTGTCATGATGTAGTAGGTAAAGCTTCAATTTGCACTAACTCAAGCTGTTGCAGCCATTGGGGAGTGAACCAGTGGATGAAAGGTGTGTCTGTCTCTCTCTCTCTCTCTCTCTCTCTCCCCTTCTCTCTCTCTCTCTGTAACTCTGCCTTTCAAATAAATAAATAAATTTTCTTTAAAAAATGTTCTTTTAAAAAAATAAATAAATAAGAAATGGATGTCGATGATATTGTGATAGTCGAAGGTCTGGTCCAATAATTGAGGGACTATGTAGGCAAATTGCTCAAATTCATTTTCAAAATGTTGAAGTCTGGAAAGATTATAATGCTAGTAGACATATACACATTATTCTCTCTGTGGTTTCTGATCTTAACTTCTGTGTCTACCTCATTTACTATCTGATCTCTGTTTTTTGCTTCTTCCAACACTAAATCTAGTTTGTATTAGTGTTCCATTAGTATTGAGGGATTCTGAATCATTGTAAGGAAATTTGGTATCCATGAGATTTTAAAGTTTTATTTATTTGAAAGAGTGAGAGAGAGGGAAAATAAGAACTTCCATTCACTGGATCATTCTCCTAAATGCCTGTAACCACCAGGGCTGGACCAGGCCAAAGCCAGGAGCCAGGAACTCCATCCGAGTCTCCCTTGGGTGGCAGGAGGCTAAGCACTGGAGCCATTATCTGCTACCTCCCAGGCTCATTTTCAGGAAGCTGGATTGGAAGAAGAGTAGCCAGGACTCAGACTGGCACTCCATCATGGAATACAGCTTTTCTAAGCAGTGGCTTAACATACAGTTTTTTGTTTGTTTTTTGTTTTGTTTTGTTTTGTTTTGTTTTTTTGACAGGCAGAGTTAGACAGTGAGAGAGAGAGACAGAGAAAAAGGTTTTCCTTCCGTTGGTTCACCCCCTAAATGGCTGCTGATCCAAAGCCATGAGCCGGGTGCTTCCTCCTGGTCTCCCATGCAGGTGCAAGGCCCAAGCACTTGGGCCATCCTCCACTGCCCTCCCGGGCCACAGCAGAGAGCTGGACTGGAAGAGGAGCAACCAGGACAGAATCCGGTGCACCAACCAGGACTAGAACACAGGGTGCTGGCGCCACAGGTGGAGGATTAGCCTAGAGAGCCGTGGCGCCGGCCAACATACAGTATTAAAAAATTATTTTCTGAAACACCATGTAACCATAATGTAGTATGAAAAATTGCAGTGCCATTCACTCATGAATTTCATGCATTGCAGATCTCTTTTTAGAAGTTACCGGAGTCCTTTATAGTTCGTCCTAGGAGCAATATCAAGTCAACATTTAGTGAATATGTATTTATAATGTGTCTTAATACATATATTTTGCTGTCAGCACTAGACTTTAAAGTCTGTAATGTTTAAAATCTTTATTTGGAAACTGAGCAAGACTAGGAACAATTCCACCTTTTATAATGGACAGTTTTACTGAATAAACACAGCCTCTGTTGTCATACAAACAGGTATGGTGGTGAAGCGCAGATGAGATTTCCAACCTCTCTTCCACCTCCAAGTAATGTTGGTCCCATCTTGGGGTCTCCTGTCTATTCTAGTGAGTATGAAATACTGAAATGAAGTTGCTTCTAATGCAGTTTGAATATTGGAAACTTTTTATATTTCAGTCAGTAAAGCTTTTGATTGTGTTTTAGTTGTTACTACTGTATTATTGGTAAATCTACAGAGTCTGACGTAGAAAATTGATGATTTTATTAACATTGAAACCTTAATGTGTGCTAGCATGCATAATATGTACATAGTAGTATTTATAGAACTCATTTGGTGTTGACTCAAGGTGAGAGAGATGAGTGACTTGATGAAAAGAAACTCCCATATTTTGTTTTCCCAAGTGGGAAGTATTACAGAATGGGGATAAGATGAGTCCCTAATTCCTGACTATTGTGGGTGATAGCACTCCTCACTTTTAGGCTTAAAAAGAGCTTATGAGTTTAATTTTGATTAGACTGAAAAGACTGGAAGGTGATTTTATAAATCTTCATGTTCTTGTTCCTTTTCTTAGGTTCTCCTGCTCCTAGTGGTAGTCCTTATCCAAATCCATCCTTTTTAGGAACACCATCTCAAGGTACCTCTTTTTTTTGTTTTGTTTTTGATTGCTAATTCTGATCTTTTTGAAAAGCTAACATTATGTGTCATTATCTGTCATGCTTAGTGTGAAAATTACTAACTTGCCATCTTCCCTTGAAAATAAGTGTCATTTAGTAGAAGTGATATCTGAGCAAGTATTTTCTGGCCCTGATTTCCTTTACCTCAGATCTCTAATAACATACCCAGAAAGCCCCTTTTGTGGGTGCCAGAATTTAATTGGGTGCTAAAATATGTAGTATCAGTTCTGTTTTACCCCCAGCATTAGGAGCAGCGTTTACAAGCTTTCTTCCCTTTTTATTCTGTATTGTCAGCACTTGAAAATATCTGCAGGCACCCACCTAAGTTTCTTATTACCAAGAAGAACATATTAAGTATCATTTTAGTCCATGAGTTTTGTAAGTGGCCCCACCTTTCTGTCCATATGCAACTTGAGTTATAGATAATTTTGAATTTTTAGGGTTATATTTGAATAAATTTTTTTTTCTATGTGTGTGCAAGGTATACAGCCTCCTGCTATGTCAACTCCAGTGTGTGCTGTGGGAACCCCTGCAACTCAGGCCGCCAGTATGAGTTGTATGACTGGACCAGAGATTGTGTACTCTGGAAAGCACAATGGTATCTGCATATACTTTTCTCGAATCATGGGGTAAGTTTTTCATGAAACAATTAACTGTTGCTTACATTGCTCTGCTTTGAGTAGTGAAATATGTTTAAAGTTGGGACAGTTTATTTCCAAAATTTTACTTTAGACTTAGTTCACTTTTCCACTGATGAGATTGTTTTCTGTCATTCAGCCTTTTTATTATCTATCTGCATTCATTGAGGTATTTTATTTGAGAATATTCATGGTCTCAAAATGTATATGTGTACATATTAACATATAGTATTCTTAGCACCACAATTAACTCAAGGACATGTGTCTATAGATCAGCTGGGCAGTTCTGATCTTCTGAGCTCACTTATGCATAGACACTCAGCTCTGAGGTTCAAGAGTGATGTGTTTGTCTTGGCTAGAATCTCACATGTTGGGCAATATTTATTGACTGATCTGGAATCGCCTCAGCTAAGACAGCTTGAGCTGTTTTTCACATGGTCTCCTATCTCCAGCTGGCCAGCCAAGGATAATTCACTTGGTGGTGTCAGGGCTCCATGAAAAACATGTCTTGATGCCAAGGCTCAGAACTGGTCTACCATTCACTTTTCTGCCACATTCACTTGGCCAGAGGGAAGTCTCAGATCCAGCCCAGATTTGGAATGTGGGAAATAGATTTGAGCTCCTTGAAGGAGAGACAAAGGGAATATGTATAGGATAGGACAAAGAATTGTGGCCATTTTTTTCTAACCTGTCTATCATACCTAATTAGCTCTCCTATCTAGTAAATCTGAGGAATATCCTTTCATCACATTTGCTTAAAAATGTGTAACAATGCAGTACCTCTTTTTGTCTTTGATTGATTGATTGATTTGAAAGGCAGAGTGACAGAGGGACAAAGAGACAAAGAGATCTTCCATTCTCTGGCTCACTCCCCAAATGGCTGCAATGGCTATGGCTGGACCAAGCCAAAGCCTGAAGCATAGCACTAGTCCATCCAGATTTCCCACGTGGGTGATAGGGCCCAGGTTCTTAGATCATCCTCCAGTGCTTCCAGCACATCAACAGGGAGCACAATAGCCAAGACTCTAGCCAGTGCTCAGATAGGGGATGCCAGCATTGCAGGTAGGGGCTTATGCCATTGCACCACAACACTAGCCCCAAAAACTTCTTTTTAAATTTACTTGAAAGGGATTCACTACATATATTAATTGATTTTATGCATTTATAGCACAATCCATTAAAATATTTTTTGTTTCAGAAACATCTGGGATGCTAGCTTAGTTGTGGAGAGAGTATTCAAGAGTGGCAACAGAGAGATCACTGCGGTAAGTGTGTTTATTACTGTGATTTTTATATAACCAGTTGATGGTATAAATAATTTATTAGGTTGATTCACATTTCCCAATGCTACTACAAAGATGCAGTGATTTTTCTTTTATGTACATTTGTGTCCAACAAACTATCTACCCCCTTTTTGTCTGTTGCTTATTAATTATCTGATCATTTGTAAATTTCTTAATATTTTAGAGCCTGATATCTCACTTTAAAATAAGACTGTTGTATCTTACTCATAAGTTTGTTGAAGGATAAATAAAGTCATTGGTCAAAATTTACTACTTAATACTTCGGCTTATACACACAAAAATTTCGTGGACCCAACCCGAATCTCCTTGTATTGGCATATTCTCCAGACTGTTTTAAGAAAACATCTTGTAGAACCTTGTACTGGGGCCAGCACTGTGGTGTAGTGAGTAAAATTGCTACTTGCAGTGCCAGCTCCAGTCCAGCTCCCTGTTAATGCACCTGGGAAAGCAGCAGAGGATGACGCAAGTCCTTGGGACCCTGCCCCTGGATGAAGCTGCTGGCTCCTGCCTTAGGCTTGACACAGCCATGGCCCTTGCGGCCGTTTAAAGAGTGAACTAACAGGCCGGCGCCGTGGCTCAATAGGCTAATCCTCCACCTTGCGGCGCCGGCACACCGGGTTCTAGTCCCGGTTGGGGCGCCGGATTCTGTCCCGGTTGCCCCTCTTCCAGGCCAGCTCTCTGCTATGGCCAGGGAGTGCAGTGGAGGATGGCCCAGGTGCTTGGGCCCTGCACCCCATGGGAGACCAGGAAAAAGCACCTGGCTCCTGGCTCCTGCCAGGATCAGCGCGGTGCGCCGGCTGCAGCGGCGGCCATTGGAGGGTGAACCAACGGCAAAGGAAGACCTTTCTCTCTGTCTCTCTCTCTCACTGTCCACTCTGCCTGTCAAAAAAAAAAAAAAAAAAAAAAAAAAAAAAAAAAAGAGTGAACTAACAGATGGAAGACATTCTCTCTCTCTCTCTCTCTCTCTCTCTCTCTGCACCTTTAACTTTCTCTCTCAAATAAATAAATGAATCTTTAAAAAAAAATACTTTATGTTATTACAAATTCAAGTAGTAACTTCCTTTTTTAATCTAGAATACAAATATGATTTATAAAATTGTCTCCCTTTAAAATGAAAAGATACCAAATATTTTTAACTATGATACCCTTTAATTTTTTTATCCTTCCTAATTTTCTCTTTTTAAGAGGTTTTATTTACTCTATGTATGTGAAAGAGAGGAGTTATCTCCCATTCGCTCGTTCACTCTGCAAATGCCCACAAGAACCTGGACTGGGCCAGGTCAAATCCAGGAGCTAGGAATTCAGTTTGGGTCTCTTATGTGAGTGGCAGGGAGCCAGTTACTTGAGCCTTTACCTACTGCCTCCCATTAGCAGGAAACTAATCAGGAGCGGAGTTGGCTCTTAAATCAAGGCACTCTTAGATAGGATGCAGATGGCCCACGGTGCCCATATACTCTTTTTTTTTTCCTGTTTTTTTTTTAAAAGATATATTTATTTGAAAGGCAGAGTTACAGAGAGACAGAGGCAGAGAGAGGTCTTCTATCCACTGGTTCACTTCCCAGATGGTCACATGGCCGGAGCTGCACCAATGGGAAGCTAGGAGCCAGGAGCTTCTTCCAGGTCTCCCACATGGGTGCAGGGGTCCAAGGACTTGGGCCATCTTCTACGGCTTTCCCAGGCCACAGCAGAGAGCTGGATTGAGCAGCTGGGACTCAAGCCAGCACCCATGTGTGATGCCAGTGCTGCAGGCAGAGGCTTAGCCCGCTACACCACAGTGCCAGTCCTGCCCATATACTCTTTTAAAGAATGCATTTCTTTTTTTTTTTTAAGATTTATTTTATATATTTGAAAGAAAAAGTTAATTAGAGAGGTATTCTATCTGCTTGTTCACACCCCAAATGGCCACAGTGACCAGAGCTGAGGTAATCCGAAGCCAGGAGATTCTTCTGGGTCTCCTTACATGGGTGTAGTGGCCCAAGGACTTGGCCTGTCCTCCGCTGCTTTCCCAGGTGCATTACCAGGAAGCTGGATCAGAAGTGGAGCAGCCAAGACTTGAGCCAGCACTCATATGAGATGCCTACACTGCAGACAAGGGCTTTAACGTGCTGCATCACAACTCCAGCTCCAAGAACACACTTGTAGTAAGAGGAAAGTATTTACCTAACACAGTGTGTGATTCCATTTGTATGAGATTCAGGAGCAGAAAAACTCAATCTAGTAGTAAAAGTAAGACGTGACACTTCAGAGATGGGAGGACCACTAACTACAATGGGGCATCAAGAAGCTTCCTTGGGTGTTGGAGTTACTCTGTGTTGTGATCTGGGCTGTGACCATTATCACATGGAAAGCAGTGAAGATGTTGATTTTCTATTTGCATCAGTCTTTTTGAAACATGAGGGGAAGGTTATGTTTCCTTTATTGCCCTTTATTCTAGTTAGCAAGTGAGAATTGATCATAAGAAACAATTATTTAGGGATGGTGCTGTGGTACAGCAGGTTAAAGCTCCAGCCTACAGCACTACAGCACCAGCATCCCATATGGGTGCCAGTTTGAGTCCTGGCTGGCTGCTCCTTTTCCCTTTTTTTTTTTTTTTTTTTTTTGACAGGCAGAGTGGACAGTGAGAGAGAGAGACAGAAAGAAAGGTCTTCCTTTTGCTGTCGGTTCACCCTCCAATGGCCGCCACAGCTGGCGCGCTGCGGCCGGTGCACCGCGCTGATCCGATAGCAGGAGCCAGGTGCTTTTCCTGGTCTCCCATGGGGTGCAGGGGCCATGCTCCACTGCACTCCCTGGCCACAGCAGAGAGCTGGCCTGGAAGAGGGGCAACCGGGACAGAATCCGGCACCCCGACCGGGACTAGAACCTGGTGTGCCGGCGCCGCTAGGCAGAGGATTAGCCTATTGAGCCGTGGCACCGGCCCTGCTCCTTTTCTGATCAAGCTCTCTGTTGTGGCCTGGGAAAGCAGTAGAAGATGGCCCAAGTGCTTGGACCCCTGCACCCGTGTGGGAGACCCAGAAGAGGCTCCTGGCTCTTAGCTTCGGATCAGCTCAGTTCTGGCTGTTACAGTCATTTGGGGAGTGAACCAGTGGAATGGAGGACCTCTCTCTGGATCTACCTCTCTCTGTAATTCTGTCTTTCAAATAAATAAAACAAATCTTTTAAAAAAAGAAAAGCAACAATTGTTTATAAATATAGAATACCTTATATTCAGTTATATTTATAGAGTATCTTCTTTATGTATGTTTTCTCAGTGTTTCTAAATGATCATTCTTACAGATCGAAAGTAGTGTTCCTTGCCAGCTGCTGGAATCAGTGTTGCAGGAATTAAAAGGTTTGCAAGAATTTCTAGACCGAAACTCCCAGTTTGCTGGAGGACCATTAGGAAATCCAAAGTAAGACTAAATAATGTTCATTTATTTGTTTTTTTCATTTACATTGTGTTTTTTTAAAATGTAATTCACGTACCATAAAATTAATCCTTTTAAATTCTAGGTTACTGTGTTTTAGTATATTCACAAGGTTATGCAACCATTACTACTGCAGAACTCCAGAATCTTCATGACAAAGAAACCCTGTGCCCATTAGCACACACTAACCATTTTTCCTCTTCCTGTCCCTGGCAACCACTAAGCTTTTCTCTGTCACTGTAAATCTGTCTGTTCTGTATATTTTGGAAATACACGCTATGTAACCTTTTCTGTCTGGCTTCTTTCCCTTAGCATAATGTTTTCCAGGTTCAAATGTTGTAGCATGAACCACTACTTCCTTTGATTTCTCAGTTCATCAGTTGATTGTTCTTTGGGGTGTTTCAGCTTTCTGGCTATTATGAATAATGCAATTTTGAGTGTTCCTATAAAGGTTTTTTATGGACATATACTTAAGATGGACATTTTAAAATTGTAAAAAAGTACATATTATGGGGCTGGCACTGTGGCATAGCAAGTAAAACCGCTGCCTGCTGGCATCCCATATGAGCACCAGTTCAAATCCTGGCTGTTCCACTTCCAGTCCAGCTGTCTGATATGGCCTGGGAAAGCAGTAAAGGATAGCCCAAGTCCTTGGGCCCTTGCATGCATGTGGGAGTCCCAGAAGAAACTCTTGGCTTCTGGCTTTGGATTGGCACAGCTCCAGCCATTAGGGCCATTTGGGGAGTGAACCAGCAGATGGAAGACTTACCTACCTACCTCTCTCTCTCTCTCTCTCTCTCTCTCTATATATATATATATATATATATATCTGTAACTCTGCCTTCAGATAAATAAATAAAAATCTTAAAAAATACATACTACTGGCCAGCGCCATGGCTCACTTGGCTAATCCTCCACCTGTGGCGCTGGCACCCTGGGTTCTAGTCCCAGCTGGGGCACCGGGTACTAGTCCCGGTTGCTCCTCTTCCAGTCCATCTTTCTGCTGTGAAACGAAAGGGCAGCGGAGGATGGCCCAAGTGCTTGGGTCCCTGCCACCCGCATGGGAGACCGGGAGGAAGCACCTGGCTCCTGGCTTTGTATTGGCCCAGCGCTGGCCGTGGTGACCCTTAGGGGAGTAAACCAACAGAAGGAAGACCTTTCTCTCTGCCTCTCTCTCATTGTCTTTAACTCTCTCTCTGTCTCTCTCACTGTCTAACTCTGCCTGTTAAAAAAATAATAATAATACATACTACTAAAAATAATGTGAATATATAAAAATTTAAAAAGAATTGATAAATATGAATATATAATCATTTACCATGTATAAATATATCTGTCTTTAAAAGCAAAAAGAGCATGTAAGTAGCTATACTTTTATGTGATATTGTTTGTATCCTTTAGAATGTTCCAAACCAATGGGAAAATTTACCTTATTTTTGTTAATGGTTACATATATGCAAGTGTTTGATGATATAACTTCCTACTCATAAAAAGCTAATTTGTATTTCTTGATATTATGAAAAAGGTATAGTGTTTGTTTACTTGTTTGGCAATCTTCAAATGAATTTTTGTAGAATTGTTCCATTTGAGTGCTTTTTGAATGTTAAAATGTAGTATCTGGTTGTTTCCTGAGAAGATTATATAAACTTTCTTTATTTCTAATATTTAGAACACTTTGGCTGGTGCTGTGGCTCAATAGGCTAATCCTTTTATTTATTTATTTGATAAATCAGTATATATAGAGAGAGAAACAAGCCAGGGTTAGGGAGGTTGTTCCTGGCTGCTAGTTCACATCCCAAATGCCTGCTTTGGCCGAAGTTAGACCATGGACAAACCCAGGCCTCCCACATAGTGATAAGGACCCAACTATTTAAGCCAATACGTGTGTCTCCCAGGGTATGTATTACCAGGGAGCTGAAGTCACCAGAGTAATTATACTATGTTGTACCTCAGATCAAGTCTCATCTCCACTCCTGATTCTAGCTCCTGCTGTGCACCCTGGGATGCTGTAGTAATTATTCAGGTTCTTGGGTCCCTGCCACCCGTATGGGAAACCTGGATGGAGTTCTGGATTTCCAGTTTCAGCCCAGCCCAGCCCTGGCTGTTACCTGCATTTGGAGAGTGAACTAGCAAATAAGATCAATACCTCCCATCCCCCATCTGACAACTTTATATAAATAAACATTTTTAACAAGACTCAGGGGGTAGGCATTAGGTGCAGTGGTTAGAGATGCCTCTTAGGAGAGTCACATCCCATATGGAATTCATGGTTCACTTTATGACTCTTCTGCTTCCAGTCCAGCTTCCTGTTAATGTGTACTCTGGGAGGCAGCAGGTGATCACTCAACCTGGATCCCTACCATCCATTTGGGAGACCCTGATTGAGATTTGGCTTTCTGATTTTTGACTTAGCCCAGGCCCAGCTATTGTGGCTATTTGGGGTGTAGACCAGTAGTTGAAAGATCTTTTTCTCACTTTGCCTCTGTTGTTTAAATAAATAATTGAAAAATGAAAAGACTTAGCTTTGATAAATTTTCTTCTGTTGCTTCTTTTGTATTCCATCTGTTTCATTCTCTAGTATTCACTACTGTTGTCAATCATTTGACTAGCTCAAATGATTTTTTAAGTACATTTGTTTAGTCTCTCTGATATGATTTTTTTCCTTGGCATTGTAGTTTTTATTTCATGAACTCTTTCTTTTCTTTTCTTTTTAAGATTTATATATTTATTTGAAAGGCAGAGTTACAGAGAGGCAGAGAGAAAGAGGTCTTCCATCCTCTGGTTCATTTCCCAGATGGCCACAGTGGCCAGAGCTGAGCCGATCTAAGCCATGAGCTTCTGCATCTCTCATGTGGGTGCAGGAGCCCAAGGACTTGGGCCATCTTCCACTGCTTTCCTGGGTCATAGCAGAGAGCTGTATCAGATGTGGAGCAGACGGGACTTGAACTGTTGCCTACCAGTATTGTAGGCTGTGGCTTTACCCACTATGCCACAGCACCAGTCCCCATGAACTCTTTCTTATTTTCACATATTTCATTTTTTATGGAAAAGAGCACTTCTGATGGGTTATACTTTTTCTTTTTTTTTTTTTAAGATTAAATTATACATGTTGAATTGTTAAGCTGTATGGTAAATGAGTTATATCTCAATAAAGTTGTCAGAAAGCCACACACACATATTCTGCAATTTTTGTTTCAGTACTACTGCCAAAGTACAACAAAGGCTGATGGGATTCATGCGTCCTGAAAATGGAAATTCCCAGCAAATGCAACAGGAGCTACAGAGGAAGTTTCATGGTACTTTATTCCATTTTAATTAGTTAAATGTATATGACCCCAGAAAAGAGTTTTATTACTTGAATAGGAAACAGTGGACTTTGCTAGGATGTAATTTGCCTGATAACATTGAATGTTTTTATTAAAATATCATTGATATGATGGGAAAGTGGGATAATCTTGAATATCAGATGCTTCCAAAACTGTTTTAGTCCATACATTTTTGTATTTTCCTCCGCCAAGAAACAAACACACCTTTTCTCTTTATGAACATTATTTGTGATAGTGAATTACATGTATCACAAATTTTAGCATTTTAACATTTTGGCAATTTTAAGTGTTTAGCTGAGTTGCATTTGATATATTTACATTGTTGTGCAGCCATCACCAACACTTGTCTCCAAACTTTTCTTATCTTGCAGAAATGAAACTCTGTATGCCTAAAACAGTAACTCCCCATTTTACCTTTAGCCCCAAACCATGACAACTGCCATTCTACTTTCTATCTCTGTGAATTTAACTCTGTGATTCTCCCTATAAATAAAATCATACAGTATAGGTTCTTTTTTTTTTTTAATGATTTATATATTGAGGCCTGTGCTTGGTGTAGTCGGTAAAACTTCTGCCTGCAGTGCTGGCATTTCATATGGGTGCTGGTTTGAAACCTGGCTACTCCTCTTCCAATCTAGCTCTCTGCTATCGCTTGGGAAAGTGGTGGAAGATGGCCCAAGTCCTTGGTCCCCTGCACCCATGTGTGAGACTGGGAAAAAGCTCCTGGCTCTTGGCTTCAGATCAGCTCAGCTCCAGCCTTTGCGGCCATCTGAGGAGTGAACCAACAGATGGAAGACCTCTCTGCCTCTGCCTCTCCGTAACTCTGCCTCTCAAATAATAAATAAATCTTTATTTTTTAATTTTTTAAATAAATCTTTTCAAAAAATTATTTATTTATTGGAAAGGCAGAGTTACAGATAGAGAAGAAGATACCAGAAGCTGCTTCTGGGTCTCCCACATGTGTGTAGGGTCCCAAGCATTTGGACCATTTTCCTTTGCTTTCTGAGGTACGTTATCAGGGAGCTGTATCAGAAGTAGAGCAGCTGGGACTCGAACTGACGTCCATATGGGATGCCAGCTCTGCAGGTGGAGGATTAACCTAGTATGCCATAGCACTGACCCCAATATTTGTTCTTTTGTTTCTTCCTCTTTTTTTTGAAGATTATTTATTTGAAAGTCAGAGTTACACAGAGAGGGAAGGAGAGGCAGAGAGAGAGGTCTTCCATCCACTGATTTGACTCCCCAGTTGGCCTCAATGGCTGAATCTGTGCTGATCCGAAGCCAGAAGCTTCTTCTGGATCTCCCACGTGGGTGCAGGGGCCTGAGGACTTGGGCCATCTTGTACTGCTTTCCCAGGCCATAACAGAGAGCTGGATCAGAAATGGAGCAGCCAGGATTTGAACCGGCACCCATATGGGATGCTGTCACTGCAGGAGGTGGCTTTACCCGCTACGGCACAGCGCTGGTCCCCCAGTATTTGTTCTTTTGTGATTGTTTAGGTTCAGTTATCAGTCTGTCTTCAGGGATTATCTGTGGTAAATCATGTGTCACAATTTCCTTTTTTAAGGCTGAGTAATACGTATTTACATGTATGTAGATGCCACACTTTATTAAATTCCTCTCTTGATGGACACTGCATTACTGCTACCTTTTGGCTATTGTGAATAATGCTGTAAACATAAATGTACAAAAATCCAAGTTTCTGCTTTTAGTTCTGTTTATATACTCAACAGTGGAATTGCTGAATATCATGTTAATTCTATTAAATGTTTGAGAAACTGCCATGCTGTTTTCCATAGTAGCTGCACAATTTTGCATTCCCTGTAGCAGTACCTTCTAGTTTCTCACACATTTACCAGCATTTTCTGAGGTTTGTTAAATAATCATTCTGATGGGCTTGAGTGGTGGTATCTCATTGTAATTCTGATTTGCATTTTCCTAATGATTAATGACTCACCTTTTTTCAGAAGTATGAATATGAATCAAGTATTTGTCTGTATTTACTATCTATTTTAAATAGTAACAAAGAAAGAGCAAGGACACTGAAAGTCCCTATAACCATCAATTATTCAAAATATGAATTATAATAATACTTGCATTCATTTTTGTGTCACTCAGTTGTTTAATGTTCTTTTTCATTCATTTGTTACATCCAATATTTTTGCTAATAGAGCTTTCTTAATTATGACCTACTCCTTAATTTTTGGTCCATGCTACTTTCTTCCCTCCTACTGGCCATAGTTTTCTATTTGCCATTTTGAAAGTCCTTTTTTGAGAACTGCTAGTGATGCTTGAGTAAGGCCTTGGCATTGGTGAAGGTTTACACAGTTTGGTGTAAGGCCTTCAGTGAGTCATTTCAAGGCATTGGTAAGGATTTACACAAATGGGTGCATTTACATTGAAACAGCCTCTTTGGTGGTTCATATCTGATGAAAGGTGGAAATGCATGCACCCTCCTAAGGCCAGCAGCGTCATGTCTAGGTATACGTCCTTGAGGAGATTTAAATTATTTTTCCCTCAGTGGGAAATACATTTAACATTAAGACTTAGATGTGTAAAAACTTACATAACTGAAACAAAATTCCTGAAATAACTCTCCCTGTTTTATACTCCGATATTTTTTTTTCCTGTTCTTCTTATTGAAGAAGTAGTGGGAAAGCTATCATGACAAACTAAATTGATATGACCTGTCAATGCATGTTAATCCAGGACTTGAAAAACTCATTCCAGGCCCAACATTGTGGCATAATAGGTTAAGCCACCACCTGTGGTGCCAGCATTCCTTATGGGTACCAGTTTCCAGTCCCAGATGTTCTACTTCCAATCCAGCTCCCTACAAATGTGCCTGGAAAGGCAACGGAAGATTGCCCAAGTAGTCCCTGCACCCATGTGGGAGACCCAGATGAAGCTTCTGGCTTCTGGGTTCAATCTAGTGCAGCCATTGCAGCCATTTGGGAAGTGAACCAGTGGATGAACAATATCTCTCTCTGTGTCTCTCTTTGTCTCTGTAGCTGTGTCTTTTAAATAAGATAAATAAATCTTAAAAAAAAAGAAAAACTCATTCCTAGAGAAACTTGACTGTTCGAGGAGACCTTTTTTAAGGATACTTATTGAATTATTTTTTGGTAACAAAACACTGGAAACAATCTAAATGACCTTCAGGAGGGAAATGGGCCAAACTGTGGTATATTTACATGATAGAACACTCAGCCATGAAAATTTAAAATTTATATTTATTGGTATGTATAGACTGGGACATTTAACTCAGTGGATAAAGCACAGTGCAGTTGTTAAAAGCACAGTAATATCTTTATATTTGTATATACATAGACAAACACTCAAACACATTTAAGTGTAACAAGAGGTTAAAAACATGAATATAACAACTGATGATTACTGTTGCTTTTAACAGGGATAAGGAGAACAAAAGGAATTTAAGCTGTAAGATAGTATTTATTTGAAGCAAAGCAAACAACTCATGTCCTTTCTTCATTTTTAAGATTTATTTGAAAGGCAGAATGACAGAGAGAGGTCTTACATTCATTGAATAGCTCCCCAAATGGCCGCAACAGCTGAAGTCAGGAGCCAGGCGCTCCATCCAGGTCTCCCCACATTAGTGACAAGGGCCCAAGGTATTAAGCTATCCTCACCTACCTCCAAGGTGCATTAGTAGGGAGCTGCATTGGAAGCAGAGCAGCTGAGACCATCTGGTGCTCCAGTATGGGATACTAGTGTCATAGGTGGCAGCTTAACCTGCACCACAACACCAGTCTTTTCTTTTTTGCTTTTTAAAACTGTGGTGCAGTGGGTAATGTCACTGCCTGCAGTGCCAGCATCCCGTAAGGGTGCCAGTTTGAGACTCAGCTACCCCACTTCCAATCCAGCTCTCTGCTGTGATCTGGGAATGCAGTAGAAGATGGCCCAAGTCCTTGTGGGAGACCCAGAAGAAGCTCCTGGCTTCTGGCTTTGGATTGGTTCAGCTCCAGACAGTGCGGCCATCTAGGGAGTGAACCAACGGATAGAAGACTACCCCCCGCCCCCACCACCTTTCAAATAAATAAGTGAAATCTTTTTTAAAAAAACTGTGTTACTTTTATAAAATTTCTTTAATTGTGTTTTATCTTTAGAGGCTCAACTGAGTGAAAAGGTTTCACTTCAGGCAATCCAGCAGTTGGTTCGAAAATCCTACCAGGCTCTGGCTTTATGGAAACTTCTTTGTGAACATCAGTTTACTCTCATTGTGGGAGAACTTCAGAAGGTAGGATTTTTTTCTTTGTTTTAAGATCTGTTAATGCTACAAGCAATGTTGTTTTCTTTGGCATGCTTTTTCATCTTACACTTGGACTTGGGAGGGATTATTTTGGTTACAGTAGATTCAGTATATCATAGCAAGATGCACTAAAGTATGATAACTTGAGAGAATCATATGGTCAACTCCGCAAGCTTCTGCAGTATATGAGAACTTCTTAGTGGTATGTGAGAGAACTCTTAACTTTATTTATTTATTTAAAATATATTTTTAAAATTTATTTGGCAGATAGAGTTAGACAGTGAGAGAGACAAAGATCTTCCTTCTGTTGGTTCACCCCCCAAGTGGCCGCTATGGAGACTAAGAAGAAGCTCCTGGCTCCTGGCTTGAATCTGACCAGCTCCAGGCATTTCAGCCATTTGGGAAGTGAATCAGTGGATGGAAGACCTCTCTGTCTGTAACTGCCGTCTCAAATAAATAAATTAAATCTAAATAGAAAAGAAAAAAAGATGTTTCTCATAGGAAATGACCAGTTTATATTTCTTTTACTGGCCTCAATAAAATCCTCTTGCTTATTTACGTATTTGAGAGTTAGAGTTACAGAGAGAGGAGAAACAGAAAGATCTTCCATATGGGATGCTGCAGGCAGTGGCTTAACCCACTTCACCTCAACACCAGCCCTACCTCATATGTCTTCTATCAAATGGATGTTAAGTCTATGTAGGCTTAGTTGGGTTCAGATCCATTTATTTCAGAAAGAATAGTATACTTCACAGTAAGGCTTTTTTCTTTCAACTATTAGGAGATACAAACTGTTCAGTTGTCCTAATTTATAATAAGACTAACAATATTTAGAATTAAGTGGTGCCGGCGCCGTGGCTCACTAGGCTAATCCTCTGCCTGCTGCGCCAGCACCCTGGGTTCTAGTCCCAGCTGGGGCACTGGTTCTCTCCCGGTTGCTCCTCTTCTAGTCCAGCTCTCTGCTGTGGCCCAGGAAGGGCAGTGGGAGGGATGACCTAAAGGGCTTTGGGCCCCTGCCACCCGCCATGGGGAGAGCAGGAGGAAAGCAACCTGGCTCCCTGGCTTTCGGGATTGGCGTAGCAAACCAGCTGTAGCGGCCATCTGGGGGGTGAACCAAGGGGAAAAGGAAGACCTTTTTCTGTCTCTCTCACTGTCTAACTCTCCGTATCAAAAAAATAAAAAAAATAATAATAAAAAAATAAAAAATAATAAATAAATAAATAAAAATATTTAAGTGGTATTATTACCTGAGTTCATTATAAAATTTTCTTTATCCTGTATGACTGTTTGATTGCCCAGAAGTGCTTAATTCTTGACTCTTCACCACTTTTTTTTTTTTTTTTTTTTTTTTTTTGACAGGCAGAGTTAGACAGTGAGATAGGGAGACAGAGAAAGGTCTTCCTTCCATTGGTTCACCCCCCAATGGCCACTACAGCCGTCACGCTGCGCCAATCTGAAGCCAGGAGCCAGGTGCTTCCTCCTGGTCTCCCATGGGGGTACAGGGCCCAAACACTTGGGCCATCCTCCACTGCCCTCCCGGGCCACAGCAGAGAGCTGGACTGGAAGAGGGGCAACTGGGACAGAATCCGGCACCCCAACCGGAACTAGAACCCCGGGTGCCAGCGCCACAGGTGGAAGATTAGCCTATTGAGCCGCGGCGCCAGCCCACCACTTTTTAAAGTTAAAAGTCCTCTGGTTTCCAGCAGTGCCTGAGGAGTGGTTTTGGGTTTTTTGTTGACAGTTTTTTCTTTTAAACATACACTTTGTTTTCCTTTTTTAAAATTCAAGCTAATGGCCGGCACCACGGCTCACTAGGCTAATCCTCCGCCTTGCGGCGCTGGCACACCGGGTTCTAGTCCCGGTCGGGGCGCCGGATTCTGTCCCGGTTGCCCCTCTTCCAGGCCAGCTCCCTGCTGTGGCCAGGGAGTGCAGTGGAGGATGGCCCAGGTGCTTGGGCCCTGCACCCCATGGGAGACCAGGAGAAGTACCTGGCTCCTGCGATAGGATCAGTGCGGTGCACCGGCCGCAGTGCGCCAGCCGCGGCGGCCATTGGAGGGTGAACCAACGGCAAAGGAAGACCTTTCTCTCTGTCTCTCTCTCTCACTGTCCACTCTGCCTGTCAAAAAAAAAAAAAAAAAAAAAAAAAAAAAAAAGTGGTGAAGAGTCAAGAATTAAGCACTTCTGGGCAATCAAACAGTCATACAGGATAAAGAAAATTTTATAATGAACTCAGGTAATAATACCACTTAAATATTTTTATTTATTTATTTATTTATTTATTTTGCTGTTGGTTCACCCTCCAATGGCTGCCGTGGCCGGCGTGCTGCGGCTGGTGCACCGCGCTAATCTGAAGCCAGGTGCTTCTCCTGGTCTCCCATGGGGTGCAGGGCCCAAGCATTTGGGCAATCCTCCACTGCACTCCCTGGCCACAGCAGAGAGCTGGCCTGGAAGAGGGGCAACCGGGACAGAATCCGGTGCCCCGACCGGGACTAGAACCCGATGTGCCGGCGCCGCAAGGCGGAGGATTAGCCTAGTGAGCTGCGGCGCCGGCCGCATCTTTTTATTTCTATAAATTTATGGTTTTAGTTTTAAAATTTAACAACTTTTTTAAAGACTTATTTATTTATTTGAAAGGCAGAGTTACAGAGAAGCAAAGGCAGACAGAGGGAAAGGTCTTTCCTCCAGTGCTTCACTCCCCAAATGGCCGTAATGGCCAGAACTGAATAGATCAGGAGCCAGGAGCTTTTCTGGGTCTCCCATGTGGGTGCAGGAGCCCAAGGACTTGGGCCATCTTCTCCTGCTTCCTAGGCCATAGCAGAGAGCTGGATTGGAAGTGGAGCAACTGAAACTCGAACTGATGCCCATATGGGATGCCAGCACTAGCAGGCAGTGGCTTTACCCATTGTGCCACAGCATTGGCCCCTAATGTAACAGCATTTAAAGCTCCACTTTTAATAAGCAGATTTGTTCAAAGGCAGATAAAAACCAATGTTGAATAATAAAATTCAAACATTACTAAGGGACAATATGATACAAACCCAAGGTTTTTTAATGTAACCCAATGATTCTTATTTCCTAGGTACGACTAAAGGTTAGGAGGTGTGGCTTTAATTTTGGCTCTACTTGGGCTTTACTCTGCTCGTTTGTAAAGTAAGAGGTTTGGAGTAGACCTACTCTGGGTGATTTTTTAACTCTGATTTTTATAAAGCTTGCAAACATTTGTTTCTATAATGTATATCTTTTTAATTATAATGTCTATCCTATGTTATTTTAATAATTCATCATTTTGTGTGGAAGTAAATATATCTATAAATTAAAGGATTTTCTCCTAATACTCCTAGGAATTTCAAGAGCAGCTGAAAATCACTACCTTTAAAGATCTGGTTATCAGGGACAAAGAACTCACTGGGGCATTAATTGCTTCTCTGATCAACTGCTACATCAGAGACAACGCTGCTGTTGATGGCATTAGTTTGCACTTGCAGGATATCTGCCCCCTTCTGTATAGCACTGATGATGCTGTGTGTTCTAAGGTATGAGGTTTTGTTACCTGTTTCAATATTTCCTCTGGGAAGTGTTCTTGGGAACTGTCTTGTTTTACTTAATATATGACCTTGCGTAGACATCTTCATTACCCCTGGCCTTAGAAGTGTAAGAAGAGTTGGAATGGAATACTTAGTTTGTTTTTTTTTTTTTTAGGTTTATTTATTTATTTGAAAGTCAGAGTTACACAGAGAGAGGAGAGAGGCAGAGAGAGAGAGAGAGAGGTCTTCCATCCGCTGGTTCACTCCCCAGTTGGCTGCAATGACCGGAGCAGCGCCGATCTGAAGCCAAGAGCCAGGAGCTTCTTCTAGGTCTCCCACGCGGGTGCAGGGGCCCAATCACTGGGGCCATCTTGTACTGCTCTCCCAGGCCATAGCAGAGAGCTGGATGGGAAGTGGAGCAGCCAGGTTTTGAACCGGCAGTTCATATGGGATGCTGGCGCTTCAGGCCAGGGTGTTAACCCACTGCACCACAGCGCCAGCCCCAGAATACTTAGTTTCTTAAAATTCATGTAAACTCTAAGCTTTTCATCAAGAATCTTTTTATAATATTTCTCAGACATACTTAAAAAGATAAAGTTTACAAATTAAGGAAAATCACTGTGAAATTAAGGAAAATTGATAATTAAAGAACCAGTTTCTCTCCTTAGAAATTAAGGAAAATCAGTAAAACTTTTAGTAACTCTGTATTGAAATAGAGTTAATGGGGCAATTTTTATTGATCCTTTCCTACAGGTGGAAAAAAAATAAATCAGTATCACACGGACTGCCTGCTGACCAATAATGTATTGACTAGGCAAGAGAATTGCCAGACAAAAGCTATCTTGCTTAACGTATTTGTGAGAGGAATTAAGAATAGCTAGGATTTTTTGGTCAGAAATTTTTCTGCCTAAAGTTAAGAAGAAGTAAGTTTTGTAGAGTTTTTATTTTTAATGGAAATAAACATATAAATGTAGACATACTCTAAGATTTATATTGACAGCATCATCTATCTGCTTAATTTGATATCTTTCAACTTTTTATCATCTCTTCTAGGCAAATGAGCTTCTCCAGCGTTCCCGACAAGTTCAGAATAAGACAGAAAAGGAAAGGATGTTAAGGGAATCATTAAAAGAATACCAAAAAATCAGCAATCAAGTGGACCTTTCCAGTGTTTGTGCTCAGTATCGACAAGGTGAGAAACAAAAAATTTGTCACGTCTTTTACTTAGAGGATAAATGACAGTATATGAATGAAGAAAGGTAATGGTTAAGAGTTCCACAGTAGTGACCCAAGTGATACGATGTAAGAGTTCACTTTATGGGCCGGCACCATGGCATAGCAGGTAAAGCAGCCAGTTGTATCTGTTAGAGTGTTGCCTTGATTGATTAAAGTGCTTAACAATTTTTTATTCTTTTTTTTATTTTTAAGAGATTTCTTTGTTTAAAAGGTCGTTACAGAGAGGGAGAGACAGAAGGATAGAGATCTTCGGTGCTCTGGTTCACTCCCCAAATGGCTACACCAACTGGGGCTGAGTGAGGCTGAAGCCAGGAGCCAGCAACTCCATCTGTGTCTCCATCGGGGGTCATACCAGTACTGGGGCTATCTTTTGCTTCTTTCCCAAGCACATTAACAAGGAACTGGATCAGATGTGGATCAACCTAGATTCGAACCAGACCTAATCTTAGAGAGGAGACAGACAGAGCTCCCATCCACTGGTTCATTCCCCAAGTACCCATAATGGCAGGGCTGGGCCAGGTTGAAACCAGGAACCAGGAATTAGATTTGTGTCTTCTATGCAGGTGGCAGCACCCAAACTTGAGCAGTCACCTGCAACTTCCCACGATGTACCTTAGCAGGCAACTTTGACAGGACTAGGAAAAGCATTGGAAGATAGCCTGAGTGCTTGGGTCCCTGCCATCCACTTGGGAGACCAGATGGAGTTCCTGGTTTCTAACTTTACATGGACCTGGCCGGCGCCTCGGCTCACTAGGCTAATCCTCTGCCTTGCGGCGCCGGCACACCGGGTTCTAGTCCTGGTCGGGGCGCCGGATTCTGTCCCGGTTGCCCCTCTTCCAGGCCAGCTCTCTGCTGTGGCCAAGGAGTGCAGTGGAGGATGGCCCAAGAACTTGGGCCCTGCACCCCATGGGAGACCAGGATAAGTACCTGGCTCCTGCCATCGGATCAGCGTGGTGTGCAGGCCGCAGCAGCCATTGGAGGGTGAACCAATGGCAAAGGAAGACCTTTCTGTCTGTCTCTCTCTCACTGTCCACTCTGCCTGTCAAATAAATAAATAAATAAATAAATGAAAAAAAACTTTACATGGACCTAACCCCAACCATTGCACACATTTGAGGAGTGAACCAGCAGATGGAAGATTCTCTATCTCTCCCTATCTCTGTAACGCTGCCTTTTGAATAAACAAAATAATTGTTTAAGAGGGAAATCTTTTATGCTGTCATTTCTAGAGTGATGTACAGTAGAGACATAATTGACTGTTATTTTTATGTGCCAGCTAAGAAAAAGTTTATCCAGTTTGGCAATGTGCTGTAAGTTGTACCTTTTCTTTATCATTAGTGCGTTTTTATGAGGGTGTAGTGGAACTTTCTCTAACTGCTGCAGAGAAAAAAGATCCTCAGGGTCTTGGACTTCATTTCTATAAACATGGAGAACCAGAAGAAGACATAGTAGGACTTCAGGCTTTCCAAGAAAGGTGAGTCCTGAAACCTTAATAAATTGACAGCTTTATGGATACAGACTTTTGTTTGTGTAAAGTTTTGATTTTTAGTCTTAGAGAATTAATATTTCCATATAACTCTTCCAAAACGGAATTATGCTTTCTTTTTTTTTTTTTTTTTTTTTTTTTTTTTTTTGATAGGCAGAGTGGACAGTGAGAGAGAGAGACAGAGAGAAAAGAGAAAGGTCTTCCTTTGCCGTTGGTTCACCCTCCAATGGCTGCCGCGGCCTGCGCGCTGCGGCCGGCGCACTGCGCTGATCCGATGGCAGGAGCCAGGAGCCAGGTGCTTTTCCTGGTCTCCCATGGGATGCAGGGCCCAAGCACCTGGGCCATCCTCCACTGCACTCCCTGGCCACAGCAGAGGGCTGGCCTGGAAGAGGGGCAACCGGGACAGAATCCGGCGCCCCGACCGGGACTAGAACCCGGTGTGCCGGCGCCGCTAGGCGGAGGATTAGCCTAGTGAGCCGCGGCGCCGGCTATGCTTTCATTTAAAAATAGCTTTTTGTTTTATCTGAATTCAGATTATAGTTCTTAGCCTAGGGATAAAATTGTAGTCTGATGAAAACTCTTCAGAGCATATAAATATTTTTAAAAATGCCTCTGGGGGCCGGTACCGTGGTGCAGTGGGTGCAGTGCTGGCATCCCATGTGGGCGCTGGTTCTAGTCCCGGCTGCTCATCTTCCAGTCCAGCTCTGCTGTGGCCTTGGAAAGCAGTAGAAGACAGCCCAAGCACTTGGGCTCCTGTACCCATGTGGGAGACCTAGAAGAAGCTCCTGGCTCTTGGCTTCAGATCGGCTAAGCTCCTCCCATTGCAGCCTCTCACTGTCTGTAATTCTACCTCTCAAATAAATAAATAACTTAAAAATTTTAAAAATAAATAAAATAATTAAATTTAAAAGTGCCTCTAGTTTTTAAAGACTTTATTGATGTTATCTTTTAGTAAGATCACTTTTTAGAAAACAAAACTGCCATTTTGTTTTCTCACTTCTAGTTCAGAGTAAATATTAGTATTTTACTTTAAAGGATACTTTTCAACTGTTCACAAATAACGTAGATACTGTTAGGGCCAGCGCTGTGGCTCAGTGGGTTAATGCCCTGGCCTGAAGCGTCAGCATCCCATATGAACACCCGTTCAAGAGCCGGCTGCTCCACTTCTCATCCAGCTCTCTGCTATGGCCTGGGAAAGCAATGAAAGATGGCCCAAGTCCTTAGGCCCCTGCACCCTCGTGGGAGACCCGGATGAAGCTCCTGGCTTGTGGCTTCAGATCAGTACAGCTCCAGCCATTGCACCCAATTGGGGAGTGAACCAGCAGATGGCAGACCTCTTTCTCTCTCTCTCTCTCTCTCTCTCTCTCTCTCTCTCTGTGCCTCTCCTCTGTGTAACTCTGACTTTCAAATAAATAAATAACCCTTTAAAAAATAAATAATGGAGATACTGTTAAAAGAAAAATGTGTATGTCAAGAAAGAAAATATATTGTGCTAATATATTCATTTTCATGATTTTACCTTTATGTTTAACCAAACATTTCTCAGAGTTACTGAAAAAAGTACATGATTTATATTATTATTTTTATTTATTTATTCATTTATTCAAAAAGCAGAGCAACAGAGAGAGGGAAATGTAGAGACTGATCTTCTTTCTGTGAATTCATTCTCCAGATGGACTCAATGACTCGGGCTAGGCTAGGCCAAAGCTAGGATACAGGATCCCCATCTAGGTCTTGCACATCAGAGGCAAGGGCCCAAGTTCTTGGTCCCCCATCTGCTGCATTCTCAGGTGTATTATCAAGGAGCGGGATCAGAAGCAGAATATCTAGGAGTCAAACTCTCGCCCAATATGGGATGCCGTTGAGATGCTAGCATTCCAAGCAGCTGCTTAACCCACTGCACCCTTGCCAGCCTTGATTTGTGGGTTTTGTTGTTGTTGTTGTTGTTTAAGATTTATTTATTTATTTGAAAGGCAGAGTTACAGAGAGGCAGAGAGAGATGTCTTTCATCCACTGGTTTACTCCCCAGATGGCCACAATGGCTGGAGCTGTGCCGATCTGAAACCAGGTGCCAGGAGCTTCTTCCAGGTCTCCTACATGGGTGCAGGAGAGCTGGATTGGAAGTGGAGCAGCTGGGGGACTAGAACCGGCATCCATATGGGATGCCAGCACTGCAGCTCGTGGCCTTACCCACTTCACCACAGTGCTGGCCCCTGTATTTTTTTTTATACCAAATATACTACGTATATTCTCCAAAATAGACTTCAAGTTATTTTTATATTTAAATTTGACAAGGTAAATCAACTGGTTTCTAGTTTAATAATGTAATTAACCTTTCTCTATCCTTTTTCAGATTAAACAGTTACAAATGCATTACGGACACACTTCAAGAACTGGTAAATCAAAGTAAGGCTGCTCCTCAGTCTCCCAGTGTACCCAAAAAGCCAGGCCCCCCAGTTCTGTCGTCTGATCCCAATATGCTGAGTAATGAAGAAGCTGGACATCATGTAAGGGACACGGCATGTTTTTCTTTCTGACAGTGCACTGTGTTAGAAGTTACCATTTAAAGATGCTTGATTTTTCTCCAGAGGTTTGTAGGGTTAAAGTGTTGGGGTGCCTAGAAACAGAGCTTTAACTATGCTAATTTTTGCTGTTTTCTTTATTTTAGTTTGAACAAATGCTTAAACTGGCTCAGCGATCGAAGGATGAGCTCTTTAGTATTGCCCTTTATAACTGGCTAATACAAGCTGATCTTGCAGATAAGCTGCTACAGGTAAGAAATATTTTTATTACAGTACTATTTATGTTTTTAAATCACATAATACAATAATCTAAGCACATTTTTACAGTTACAGGAAATTCAGTTTCTTGCCCTGTGCCTACCTTTAGATATTAAAAGAAAACTAAGTAATGCAGTATCCTTCCTCAGGGGCAGAGTTGACTGTTGCTCCAATTTTCTTATTATTTGGAGGCTGGTTAGGATAATTTCTATTTTGGGGTACAAATCACTGAATTGAGTATTAGGAGACTTCATACATGACATTTTACTGTTGTGTCAGTGATCCTCAGTCTATAAAATGAATACATAGCATTTGCTAATTTCAAGGATGCCTTTGCACAAAAATAGTTGTGTCATCAAAGTTTATTAGAAGATTTATAATAAGGTAAATTTTTATCAATCTAAAGAAACTGTTAAACTCTTCCTTTTAACTTGTAGTGAAACAGAAACATGTGTGAGAAAAAATTGCTTCTTTTTTTAATCTGTTAATGTTGAATTCTAATTTTGTTTTCATGAAACAAAGCACAATTATAGTTGTCTTAAAATACTATATTGTCTACTTACAAATGAGAAAATGGTCAGAACATTTGTCTGAGCAACTCTGCAATTTCCAGATCGCTTCTCCATTTCTGGAGCCACATCTAGCTCGAATGGCCAAAGTTGATCAAAACAAAGTCTGTTACATGGATTTACTCTGGAGGTATTATGAGAAAAACAGAAGTTTTAGTAGTGCTGCCCGTGTCCTGTCCAAGTTGGCTGACATGCATAGGTATGCTATAATATTCTCTTTGGGACGAACGTTTGAATACTGGATCCTATATGGTTACATCTGGATTTCTCAAATAAAACCTCATGCATGTTATATATACATTGGTAGAATTTTTTGTTTTTACTGAGATTTACCTAATGTTTCCAGTTCTTAACAAACTTTTGCTTTTAATAATGTGTCAGGGGCCAAGCGCCATGGCTCACTTGGTTAATCCTCCGCCTGCAGCGCCAGCATCCCATATAGGCACCGGGTTCTAGTCCCGTTTGCTCCACTTACAGTCCAGCTCTCTGCTGTGGCCTGGGAAGGCAGTGGAGGATGGCCTGAGTGCTTGGGCCCCTGCACCCACATAGGAAACCAAGAGGAAGCACCTGGCTCCTGGCTTTGGATTGGCGCAACGCCAGCTCTAGTGGCCATTTGGGGAGTGAACCAATGGAAGGAAGACTTTTCTCTCTGTCTCTCTCTCTCACCGTCTATAACTCTACCTGTAAAATTTTAAAAAAATTTAATTAATTAATTTAAAAAAATAATGTGTTGGAGGTACCAAAAGTATATTAATAAGACCCTCTTTATTCAGACTACCTTCTGAATCTTTTTTTTATTTTAATTTTTATTTAAAAGCCATAGAGAGATTTTTCCATCTGCTAGTTTGCTCCTCAAAAGCCTGCAACAGCCAGGGCAGAGCCAGGCTGAAGCCAGGGGCTCAGACCATAATCTGAGTCAGCCAGCAGATGTATTGTGAGCACCACTGATGTTTAAAATATGCAGGATTACATAAGTGAATAGATGACTTAAGGTGCTAGACAGTAAAAAAGAGATAATGTAGTAGAAAGTATCCAGGGAGTTGGGAGTTGCTTTGGTTAGGAGTTGCGAGAAAAGACCTGAGAAAAACTGTCACTTAAATTGAGACTAGAATAAGTAAGCAACTATGTATAGAAACAGAGAAAAAATGACTTAAGCACAGTAAGAATAGAGGGTGCTATGGTACTACAATATGCAGGTTTGTAGTGTTTTGTGCACGAAAGAGAAAGCCAATGAGGTTGGAGATAGTGAAAGAGCGAGTGCAAGAAACAAGGTTGTGGGATGCTGGAGGCAATTAGAGAGTTTTAAGAAAGTGTGTGGGGCAGGTGTTTGGCCTAGTGGTTAAGACATCTGCGTCCCATACCAGAGTACTTGGATTTGATCCCTGATGTGCATCTCCTGCTGCCAGCTTCCTGCTAATGTGGAGCCTACAGGCAGCAGTAATGCATCAACTAGTCAGTTGGTCCCTGCCACCCATGTGGATGATTCAGACTGAGTTCCTAGCCCCTGGCTTCAAGTTGGCCCAGTCCTGGCCATTGTAGGCATTTGAGGAGTAAACTAGCCAGCGAGAGCCCTCTCTGTCTGCCTCTTAATTAAATAAGTAGGTTTTTTAGAGCAATGACATAATTTGATTTTTGTTTTTAAGTGGTTACTCTAGATGCTGTGTGGAAGATGAAATGTAATAGAGGCCATATTAAGGTACAGAAATGAGTATGTAGGGTAATAAAAATTTTCCTTAACTTTTTCTTAGAAGGATCTTGGTTTTACTATACTTACCTCAAGTTTTAAGATAGGAAGTTACTTTTTACATATAAACAAAAAATTACTTTGTTTAAAATTGCAGATCACTCTTATTAGAAATGCAAGGTGTTTAGATTTATTTGAAAATAAATGACAATTTTTCAAGTTTCAGTTCATTTGGGTTAAAATAATGTATCCTACTTGACATTTGTTTCTTCAGTGCTTAAGAAAACATGTAAAAATAAGGGCTTTTCTCTCCTAGCACAGAAATTTCACTTCAGCAGCGGCTGGAATACATCGCTCGAGCCATTCTCAGTGCCAAAAGCTCCACTGCTATCTCGTCTATAGCTGCGGATGGTGAATTCCTTCATGAATTAGAGGAGAAAATGGAGGCAAGTGCTAAAGACGCGTAAGCTCTGTCCCCAGAGAGCAGCGGCCACATACTTATTCTACTCTTATTTCTTTCCCTAATAAAAATAGGTCTGTAGGAGTCATTATTATTAATTTCCTTCTAATATTTTTATTTCTTTTCACCTTTAGATATGTCTTAAAGAGATTTTAAGGATTAGCACTTAAATCATTAGTACTGAAGATTTTGTTATAATTTAGAAAATATTTTCCAGCATTTCTAAATATTTTTCCCATATTTTCCATCAGCAGATGGCTCCTGCATTCTGGAAGCTGTTAAGTAGATTATGAAGTAGAATAGGCTGAACTTAAACTAAGAGACTCAAAAATAGTATAATGGCTTAAATACAGAAGCTTATTGCTCATTTACACAAATGTACAGTGGGTGTTCCTGATTAGCAGGTATCTTTCCTCTATATGATTAGTTTAGTGACACAAATGCCATATTCTGGTTCCCTAGAACCTTTGCTATATTTTTTCCAAGAAGGAGGGGAAAAAAGCACATTGAGGAACATATTCACTCTTTTTTTTTTTTTTTTTTCTTTAAGATTTATTTTATTTATTTGAAAGACAGTTTCAGAGAGAGGTAGAGACAAAGAATGATGTCTTCCATCTGCTGGGTCACTCCCCAGATGGCCACAACAGCTGGAGCTGTGCCGATCCAAAGCCAGGATCCAGGAGCTTCTTCCCAGTCTCCCACGTGGGTGCAGGGGCCCAAGTACAAGGCCATCTTGTACTGCTTTCCCAGGCCATGGCAGAGAGCTGGATTGGAAGAGGAGCAGCAGGGACTAGAACCGATGCCCATGTGAGATGCTGGCACTTCAGGCCAGGGCTTTAACCTGCTGCACCACAGCACCAGCCCCAGCGCATTCACTCTTAAAAACCACAGCTCTGAATTTACTTAGTTTTCTTTCACTCACATTCCATTGAAGAGAACTTAGTTGTGTGTATATTATTTTAGCAAACCTTTAATCAGGTGTTAGGGGTCATTCCTTCAAGTACCTGCTAATTTATCACAAAGAAATTACTTTATCCTATTTTCTGCCCAAACTAGGTTGCTAGGATCCAACTTCAGATACAAGAGACTCTACAAAGGCAATATTCCCATCATTCTTCTGTGCAGGATGCAGTTTCTCAGTTGGATTCTGAGCTAATGGACATAACTAAGGTAATGAAAAAGCAAGTGGAATTCTTTTAATGATGTCTTTTTTTAAAAAAAGATTATTTATTTATTTGAAAGTCATAATTACACAGAGAGAGAAGGAGAGGCAGAGAGAGAGGTCTTCCATCTGCTGGTTCACTCCCCAGTTGTCCGCATCAGCCAGAGCTGTGCCGATCTGAAACCAGGAGCTTCTTCCTGGTCTCCCATGCAGGTGCAGGGGCCCAAGGACTTGGTCCATCTTCTACTGCTTTCCCAGGCCTTAGCAGAGAGCTGGATCAGAAGTGCAGCAGCCGGGACTCAAACCGGCACTCATATGGGATGCTGGCACTGCAGGTGGTAGCTTTACCTGCTATGCCACAGCACTGGGCCCAATGATATCTTAATTTCTAGAGATACCTTGGTTATTTTGCAGTGTGCTTTGCATTTCATGGGAAAGATTAACCTAGTACTATAAAATAAGATAAGTCATGCTTGGCAGCTTGTTGCTGGGCTAACAGATCACCAGTGTTGCATCTCACTCCAGCAAAGGCTAAGCTGCTTCTTCCAGTCCAGTAGATTTGAAGTACCTTTCAGCCTCACTTGAAAGCTGTGGAAAATCAGCTTGCCTCTCGCCTTAATAAGAGCAGCTTGCCTTTACTTAACTCTCCAAACCTCTGCCTGTACCACTCTGAGTGGTTCTTTCCCCTTCATTTCCAAGTACCTGGAAACACCTTGAAATATGTCAGTATTCCTGATTCTTCAACCCCTAGTTTAGACACCACTAACTCTAAAAGAAATGTCATTGTAACATCTCCCCTCCAACCAAGAAAAAAAAAATGACACATAGTCAAAATCTATCTGAATGTATTTATCACACATTCACTTTTTTTTTTTTTTTTTTTTTTTTTTAAGATTTGATATTTGTTTAAAGGCAGAGTGACACAGGTCTTCCATTCACTTGTTCACTCTCCAGATGCAACAATGAGGGCTGGGCCAGGCCTAATCCAGGAGCCAGGAACCCTGGCCAGGTCTATTGTGTGGGTGATGGGCCCAAATACATGATTGGTCATTGACTGCCTCCCAGGCACATTTGCGGGAAGCTGGAAGGGAAGCCCCGATATCCTGGAGTCAGACCAGGCACTCCCATACAAGATGTGGGTGTCCAGAGCAGCAGCTTTACTAGCTGCCCCACAGCGCCCACCCCCATCCACCATCCTTCATCTGGAGTTATGGCTTACTACATTAAGTTATTATATCTTCCTGTCATATTCTAGGAACTTTAAATATTTGGTTATCTTTAATTTCCTTTTTGAAAAAAATATTTTGTTGAGAGAGTGCCTGCTCATCTGCAGGTTCATTTCCCAAATGCATGCTACATCTGGACTGGGGCTGGACCTGGGCCAAGCCAAAGCCAAGAGCTGGGAATTCAGTTTACATCTCCTAAACGGGTAGCAGAAACCCAACTACGGGATCCATCACCTGCTCCCTCCCATGATGCACTTCAGCAAGAAAGTGGAATCAGGAGTAGAGCCAGCACATGAAACTAGGCACTCCAGTATGGATACAAGTGTCCCAACCAGTGTCTGAACTGCTAGGCCAAATTTATGCCCCTGGTTATCTATAATTTTCACGGAGTACTCCATTATTAATCTCTGAATGTTGACCTCTTGTTGAATGTTTAATTTCGGAATTTTCTCCCACAGCTTTATGGAGAATTTGCCGACCCGTTTAAACTTGCAGAGTGTAAACTTGCAATAATTCATTGTGCTGGTTATTCAGACCCTATATTGGTGCAGACGCTTTGGCAGGATATAGTAGAGAAAGGTGAGTGTTTGGTGATACACATATTAGCATTCATTACTTAGTAACTCAATACAGGAACACAAACTGCTAGTAGGGAATAGATGTAAAACTGATGAAAATCATCTTTGTCTAAGCAGAGAGTAAATGTAGGGCATCTGTGTATGCTAGGGGTGATTGTACATGAATATTTGGGAGGATGCTCAGTGAAGAGGATGTGTCATTTTTATGATTTGTGCTGCCTGGTAAAGGATACGGAAACGTCTTCCTCAAAATCTCATAAGCAGTAGCATGATAAGATGAGAGTGTATCAGACACTAGCAGAAACAGAATATATTAACTATGTGGGTTAGAATACCAGTTCTAAAGTATTTTGAACATCAAAGAAAAATTAAATAGCCCATGTATTACAAGTAATTTGTACGCCTCTTTCTTACAGAACTGAATGATAGCGTAACGTTGAGCTCCCCAGACAGAATGCATGCACTTAGCCTCAAGATTGTCCTCCTTGGGAAGATTTATGCTGGCACTCCTCGTTTCTTTCCTTTAGGTAAGCAGTAACTTTAGATGCTGACGTATTTTATTTTGTTCTGATGGTTTTTTTCAAAGATAAGGAACAATAAAAATCATCAGTGAATTTATTGCTATTTATCTTAGCAGTTTAATTCTACCTTCCAGAAAGACCTCCAAAGAATAGCAGAATTTATTAATGAATAGTTTAGTATGAAACTTTCTTTTGAGTAAATTTCCATGTTTGCATATTGTGCTGACAGTAAGTGATTATATTGTTGGTAGCTGTATACAGGCCTTGTGAAGAGAAAAAGAAAAATGGCTGATGATTTTGTGCCTAGATAATCTCATTGATTCCATCATTCTTTATCACATGGAGGGCATAGTTTTCTCTGAAATAGAAAAAAGTTACATTAAAATATTAATTGCTTGAACCTCTTTCTTAACCAAATATGCTGACTATAATTGTTAAGTAGCTTACCTTTTATGAGGCCTTTGCTGATCTAGGATGTTTTCCTCAGTTCTAAAACAAAGAAAGCAACATAGGTCCATCTGTAAAGTAGAATATTAAGTAAGTACTTTGTATTCCGAAAAATATGGAGAAACATAAGAATTTTCTACAGGACGGTGCCACGGCTCACTAGGCTAATCCTCCGCCTGCAGCGCCAGCATCCTGCGTTCTAGTCCCAGTTGGGGCGCCGGTCCTATCCCGGTTGCTCCTCTTCCGGTCCGGCTCTCTGCTGTGACCTGAGAGTGCAGTGGAGGATGGCCCAGGTCTTTGGGCAGACCAGAAAGAGGCACCTGGCTCCTGGCTTCTGATCGGCGCAGCACACCGGCCACAACATACCAGTCGTGGTGGCCACTTAGGGAGTGAACCAACGGAAAAAAGATGACCTTTCTCTCTGTCTCTCTCTCTCACTGTCTAACTCTGCCTGTCAAAAAAAAAAAAAAGAATTTTCTACAATATAACATTATTTGATCTTATTTAGTTAGTTGACACCAGTGGAGACAAAGAGCTCAAATCCTCTGGCTCACTCTCCAGGTGCCTGAAATGGCATGGGCTACAGTGGCCTTGGGCCAAAACCAGGAGATGGAAACTCAATCTAATTTTCCCACATGGGTGGCAGGAACCCAATTAACTGAGCTATGCTGCCCCCTAAAGCCTGCATTTGCCAGAAGATTTCAGGAATAGAAGCTGTTATCAAAGCGAAGCAACCCGATGGGAATTTGGGTGTCTTACATGACATTCTCACCAGTGGACCAAATGCCATCCCTGGATTACTTTTTTTTTTAAATGAACATTCAAACTTCTTGACAGACCATTTTTGACTTTCAAGGCTGCTTTCTTGTATGTAATAAAAAAAAAAAAGCCATATAATCATATCTTTTTTTAAGATGTATTTATTTATTTGAAAAGTGGAGAGACAAAGATCGTCTATCTTCTGGTTCACTCCCCAAATGGCCCAGTGGCCGGGGCTATGCCAGAACAAAGCCAGGAGCCAGGAGCTTCATCTGGGTCTCCCATGTGAGTTCAGGGACCCAAGTTCTTAGGCCATCTTCCGCTGGTTTCCCAGGCTCATTAGCGTGGAGCATCTAGGTCTAAACCACTGCACATATAGGATGCATGCCCCCCTCTTTGTTTATAAACACCATATTGTACATGATCCCTTTGTAGGATATTTTTGCTTTGATTTAGATTATTTTTTGAACCCAATAACATTCAGAGAAAATGAACCCTTCCCTTTTCTATCTATCTCTCAAAGGCAGACAAACTCCAGGGGACTTCAAACTGGATTAGAGCTTAAAGTTTTTAGAATTCCTGTTGCCTGTCTCCAAGTCCTTGAATGATAAATTCTGCAGATGACAGTTTGATAGCAGTTTTTTCAGTGATTCCAGGCTCCTGGCTTCCAATTGGCCTAGCACTGGATGAAAGATCTCTCACTCTCTTTCCCTCTCTCTCTGTAGCTCTTTTAAATATGTAAATAAATATTTAAATAAATAAATATTTATTAAAATATATTATATTATATATATATATTTGAAAGAGCTACAGAGAGGCTAAGGTAGAGAGAGAGGTCTTCCATCTGCTGGTTCACTCCCCAAATGTTTGCAATGGCCAGAGTTGGGCCGATCCGAAGCCAGGAGCCTAGAGCTTCTAGGTCTCTCATATTGGTGCAAGGGCCCAAGGACTTGGGCCATCTTCTGCTGCTTTTTTTTTGTTTGTTTGTTTGTTTTTTTATTTTTGACAGGCAGAGTGGACAGTGAGAGAGAGAGACAGAGAGAAAGGTCTTCCTTTGCCGTTGGTTCACCCTCCAATGGCCGCCGCGGCCGGCGCACTGCGGCCGGCGCACCGCGCTGATCCGATGGCAGGAGCCAGGAGCCAGGTGCTTTTCCTGGTCTCCCATGGGGTGCAGGGCCCAAGCACCTGGGCCATCCTCCACTGCACTCCCTGGCCACAGCAGAGGGCTGGCCTGGAAGAGGGGCAACCGGGACAGAATCCGGCGCCCCGACCGGGACTAGAACCCGGTGTGCCGGCGCCGCTAGGCGGAGGATTAGCCTAGTGAGCCGCGGCACCGGCCCATCTTCTGCTGCTTTTGTGGGCCATAGCAGGGAGTTGGATCAGAAGTGAAGCAGCCAGGTCACGAACCGGTGCCAATAAGGGATGCCAGCACTGCAGACAGCAACCTGACCAACTACGCCACAGCGCTGGCCACCATCTCTGTTTTCTAGTCTTTTTTTTTTTTTTTTTCTGGTACCTTTTTGTATTTTCTTTTTTTGTTTTCCTTTAAGAGTTACTTACTTATTTAAGAGGAAGAGTTATGGTTAGAGAGAAACAGAGGGATCTTCTGTCTGTTAGTTCACTCCCCATATGGCCACAACATGCAGAGCTGGGCTAGGCTGTAGCCAGGAGCCTGGAACACCATCCAGGTCTCCCATATGGGTAGCAGAGGTCCAAACACTTGGGTCATCCTCTCCTGCTTTCTCAGGCACATTAGCAGGACAATGAAATGGAAGTAGAAGAGATACAACTCAAGCCAGTGCTCATATGAGCATATGGCATGCCACCATTGCAGGCTGTGGCCTAACCCACTGTGCCACTACACCAGCCCCTCTATGTTTTCTAAGTTCTCCAAAATATTTTAGGGTTTTTTTTTTTTTAAGATTTTATTTATTTATTTAAGAGGTAGTGTTACAGAGAGAGAGAGGAAGAGACAGAAAGGTCTTGCATCCGCTGGTTCACTCCCCAAATAGCCCCAACTTCCAGAGGTGGGCGATCAGAAGCCAGGAGCTTCTTCTGGGTCTCCCATGTGGGTACAGGGGCCCAAACACTTGGGCTGTCCTCTGCTGCTTTCCCAGGCTATAGCAGAGAGCTGGATTAGAAGAGGAGCAGCTGGGATGTGAACCCACGTCCATGTGGGATGCCGGTACGGCAGGCAAAGGCTTAGCCTGCTGTGGCACAGTACCAGTCCCGAAATATTGTAGGTTTTTACACTCAAAAAATTTTGTACTTATTTATTTGAAAGGCTGAGATAAAAACAGAGAACTTCAATCCACTGGTTACTCCCAGATCAGCCAGGCCTGTGCCAGAACTGAGAGCCAGGTCTACCACACTGGTGGCAGAACCTAATTAATTGAGCCATCACAGCTGCCTCCCAGGATCTGCATTAGCAAGATGCTGGAGTCAGGAGTCAAAGACAGATCTCACACAGGCTCTACTATGGGACATGGGCATCTGAACAGCTATGCCAAACGCCTTCTGCACAAGAAGTGTATAATTTAATGGTTTTAACATGTTTACAGAGTTGTGCAACCATCATGATATGACTTTATCCTTGTCCTCATTAGTAGTTACTACTTTTTTTTTTTTTTTTTAAAGAATTATTTATTTCCTTGAAAGACAGACTTTCAGAGGGAAAGACAGAGAGAAAGGTCTTCCATCCACTGGTTCACTCCCCAAATGACCACAGTGGCAGAGCTGTGTTGATCCGATGGCAGGAGCCAAAAGCTTCCTTAGGGTCTCCCATGAAGGTGCAGGGGTCCAAGCACTTGGGACGTCTTCCGCTGTTTTCCCAGGCCATTAGCAGGAAGCTGGATCAGATGTGGAGCAGCCAGGACTTGAACTGGCACCCATATGGGATGCTGGCACTGCAGGTGGAGGCTTAGCCTACTATGCCACAGCACCAGCCCCTAGTTGTTACTTCTCATCTCTTCCCACCATTAAGCCCTAGGCAACCACTACTGTACTTTCTTTCTCTAGATTTTCTGGTGTATATCTTTTTTTTTTTTTTTTTTTTGATACGCAGAGTGGACAGTAAGAGAGAGAGACAGAGAGAAAGGTCTTCCTTTGCCGTTGGTTCACCCCTCCAATCCGTTGGTTCACTCACCAAATGGCTGCTACGGCCAGTGCTGTGCTGAAGCCTGGAGCCAGGTGCTTCCTCCTGGTCTCCCATGCAGGTGCAGGGGCCCAAGCACTTGGGCCATCCTCCACTGACTGCCCTCCCGGGCACAGCAGAGAGCTGGACCTGGAAGAGGAGCAGTCGGGACTAGAACCGGCGCCCATATGGGATGCCAGTGCTGCAGGCAGAGGATTAGCCAAGTGAGCCATGACGCCGGCCCCTATAATTGTTTCTAAGAAGGTTTCACCCTACAGACTACTTAGTTATGATTAAGACTTTCCGTTTAGGATCAACAGTTAAGAAAGGCCACTTTGTGGCATAATGGGTAAAGACGCTGCCTGCAATGTCAGCATCCTATTTGGGCTTCAGTTCGGGTCTTTCCTTCTCTGTCTATAATTCTGACTTTCAGAAAAAAAAATAGAATCCTAATTTCTGATCTGTTTCCCTTTCCAGATTTCATAGTACAGTTCTTAGAGCAGCAAGTATGTACTTTGAACTGGGATGTGGGCTTCGTAATACAGACAATGAATGAAATTGGAGTGCCATTACCTCGACTACTAGAAGTTTATGATCAGTTGTTCAAATCACGGGTAAGGAAAATATTAAGCAAAACAATCATTTTCTTTAATTAAAGTAACTTTCTAGATAGAGTCAGATGTTTTGGTTGCATGTTTATAACTGTTATCACTTAATCTAATATAGTTGTAATAGAAATTTTTTTCATTGTTTGAGTATTCAAAATTATACACCAGACTTTTTTTTTTTTTTTTTTTTTTTTTTTTTTTTTTTTTTTTTTTTTTGACAGGCAGAGTGGACAGTGAGAGAGAGAGACAGAGAGAAAGGTCTTCCTTTGCCGTTGGTTCACCCTCCAATGGCCGCCGCGGCCAGCGCGCTGCGGCCGGCGCACCGCGCTGATCCGATGGCAGGAGCCAGGAGCCAGGTGCTTTTCCTGGTCTCCCATGGGGTGCAGGGCCCAAGCACCTGGGCCATCCTCCACTGCACTCCCGGGCCACAGCAGAGAGCTGGCCTGGAAGAGGGGCAACCGGGACAGAATCCGGCGCCCCGACCGGGACTAGAACCCGGTGTGCCGGCGCCGCTAGGCGGAGGATTAGCCTAGTGAGCCGCGGCGCCGGCTATACACCAGACTTTTAAAACTGATAATGAAAGTTGCATTGTTGTATATCAAGAATAAAATGAATTTTTAAATAATAAACATAATCATATGTATTTTACTCTTGGAATAAGCTAAACTGGGTATGGAAAAACATATGACATTAAAAATTATGATTTTCTTTTCTTTTTTTAAAGATTTATTTATTTATTTTAAAGGTAGAGTTGCAGAGGCAGAGCGAGAAAAAGAAGTCCTCCATCCACTGGTTCACTCCTCCAAATGGCCGCAATGGCCAGAGCTAGGCTGATCCAAAGCCAGGAGTCACGAGCTTCCTCCAGGTCTCCCACATAGATTAGGAGCCCAAGGTCTTGGGCCATCCTCTACTGGCTTCCCAAGCCATAGTAGGAAACCAGATCAGAAGAGGAGCAGCCAGGACTTGAACCAGCACCGATATGGGATGCCAGCACTGCAGGCAGTTGGCTTCACCTGCTACGACACCATGCTGGCCCCAAATTGTCATTTTCTTTAAAAGAACAAAATAACTATTTATTCATGTAGCCTCATCAAAATATCTGTGCTTATAGATCTTTATCACAATATTGAACATTATAAGATTATACAAACATTTTTGTTTTTAATTTATTTGAAAGGAAAAGAGATCGTTTATTCCACTGATTGATTCACCAAATGCCAACAACTTCCAGAGCTGGGCTAGGCTGAAACCAGGAGCACAGAACTCCATTTGAGTTTCCCACATGGGTTGCAGGGACCCGAGTACTTGCTGTCATTTGTTACTTCTCAGGATCCACTAAAAGGAAGCTGTCTGAGGTGAATGCTGTGACTTAGTGGATAAAGCTGCCACCTGCAGTGCCAGCATCCCATGTGGGTGCTAGTTCAAGCCTGGGCTGCTTCATTTCCAATCCAGCTCTCTGCTGTGGCCTGGGAAATCAGTAGAAGATGGCCCAAGTCCTTGGGCCCCTCCACCTGTGTGGAAGACCCAGAAGAAGCTCGTGGCTCCTGGCTTCACATTGCTGCAGCTCCAGCCATTGCAGCCATCTGGGGAGTGAACCAGCAGATGGAAGACCTCTCTCTCTCTGCCTTTACCTTTCAAATAAATAAATCTTAAAAAAAGGGGGCTGGCGGGGGAGCCGGGTTGGAAGCAGAGTATCTATGACTCACACTGGCATTTCAATATGGAATGCAAGCATCCCAGGCACCACAACCATTTATGCCACAATGGTCATCCCTAATCTGAGTTTTTACTCAAAGGATAAAATATCCAAATAAAACCTCCTTGAACTAGATGGTGTCCTTTTTTTCTGTTTTTGCTTCTCAACGGTTTTTATTTGTTTACTTTAAAGAGTTACAGAGAGGCAGAGACAGAGAGAAATGTTTCCATCCACTGGTCCACTCCCCAGATGGCCACAATGGCTGGAGCTGCGCCAGTCCAAAGCCAGGAACCAGGACTTCTTTCAGGTCTCCCACACAGGTGCAGGAACCCAAGGACTTGGTCCATCTTCTACTGCTTTCCCAGGCCATAGCAGAGAGCTGGATCAGAAGTGGAGCAGCCGAGACTCAAACCGGTCCCTATGTGGGATGCCGGCACTGCAGGCGGCGGCTTTTCCCGTTACACCACAGCGCTGCCTCGTAGATGGTGTCTTTTACAGTAGCATCATGCAGTGCTTTGCAAAGCACTTCTATGTGTGTTTCTTCATTTGAGCCTCCCAATAAGCCTATAATAAAAATGAGCAAGAGTAGTTTCTTACATGCAAAAAGATTAGAGCAGAGACATTAAGTAACCTGCTCCAAGTCACATAGCTAGGAATTAGTGAAGTCAGAATCAAACTTAAGATTGTGTGACCACTATTTTATTCTTTTATTATATCAGATTAAGTCTGCCTGAGTTCAAAGTAAAAGTGTTATCACAGCCAATAGAAAAAGACAGATTTTTCTCTTAACCTCAGATTCCTAAGCAAGATATTTACAAATTGGGTTCATAGATCAAATACTCTTCCTGAATAATACCACAATATTTTTTAACGTTATTCAAAATATTAACCATAACCACACATATGTTTAGTACTGCACATATATGCTCTGTAATAGCAATAATTTTACTTAGACCCTGATGACTGCTTTTAACATAACAGTGGAAAATCAGTCGGAGCTAGCTTAGTGCACAGCAGATTCTGCTTCCGATCCAGCTCCCTGCTAACATGTCTGGGAAAGCAGGGGAGGATGGCCCAAGTGTTTGGATCCCTTCCACCCTTGTGGGAGACACAGATGGAATTCGAGGATCTTGGCCCAGCTCCAGCTTCTGTGGCCATTTGTGGAGTGAACCAACAAATGGAAGATATTTAGTTCTCTTGCTGTGTAACTGTGCCTTTTAAATAAATAAAATAGATCTTAAAAATGAAAAATAAGTTGACACAGATTGGCTTCCAATTCATTATGTAATGTCTTTGTAGGATCCATTCTGGAACAGAATGAAGAAGCCACTGCACCTTTTGGATTGTATACATGTACTATTGACAAGATATGTTGAGAATCCTAGCCAAGTTTTAAATTGTGAGAGGTAACTATAAATTAAATATTGAATTCTAGAAAAAGCTTTTAAGCACCTCTAATAAATATCTTTGTAAAAAAGTTTGGAGAGAATGTGATAGCAATAACTATTTAAATTAGATTGATCAGCCTGTGTAAAAAGTAGTTTTTTTCCCATTTTCCCACACTTGTCAATTGTTTCTGAACTCTTTCTGCTTTGAATTAATGACCTATAACCATGACATTTTAATTATGCCTATGTGATATTATTGATCATTTCGGTAGATATTTTAGTAACAGGAATCACCCCTGCTACTTCCTTTTCATTATAGCCTTCAGATGAAAAATGTTGGTTATATGGTAATTGACCTTCCTTGTAAAATTCTTTCTCTATTTTCATTTATTTGCCATTTACTTTGTCATATAATCCTTACCCTTCTGTGGAACTCTTAAGTAATATTAGCAGAAGTTGGAGGGAAGAAGCCTTATAGAAGGAAATGTTTCTGAGTTATCTGTAGTTGATCAGGTGTCTTTCCTTTGCAGGAGAAGATTTACCAATCTCTGCCTGGATGCTGTTTGTGGTTACCTGGTTGAGCTCCAGTCAATGAGCTCTTCAGCTGCAGTACAAGCCATTACTGGGAATTTTAAGTCTCTTCAGGCAAAGCTAGAACGGCTTCATTAATATTGTAATGTAATTTCATATGTGCATTTTGATTTGTAAAATAAAAGCTCAGCTGGGTCCAGACATCAGGTGTTCTAAATCTAAGATTTTAAGAACAATTTTAATAGAAATGTGTTTTTAATAAGTTGCTAATGTCTACAAATAGTACATTTGCCAAATGACTTATATTTTATGACCACTATTTTTGTTGTCCAGTAATTGGGTTAAAAAACAACTGTGTAGCCAGTAAAGCCACCACCTACAATGCCAACATCCCATGTGGACGACAGTTCAAGTCCCGGCCACTCCACTTCTGATCCAGCTCCCTGCTAATGACCCGGGAAAGCAGTGGGGTATGGCCCAAGTGCTTGGGCTCCTGCACCCACATGGGAGAACTGAAAGAGGCTTCTGACTTCTGGCTTCAGTCTGGCCCAGCTCTGGCTGTTGGGGCCGTTTGGAGAGTGAACCAGCGTTTCTCACTCTCTCTATAACTCTGCCTTTCAAGGAAACAAATCTTTAAAAAATAAAAACAAAAAACACAACTGAAATAAGATTATAATCTTAACGCAAGGATAAAATTATTTTAGAACTCTGGTTTTTAATTCTGTTGCCTGCAGAAACTTTGAATTTGAAAGTTTTATTATTCCTTTTGAAGTTCCTCCAAGGATATAGATATCAAAACTGAAACAGGCCAGCTAAACAAGTCTGTACCCATAATACTGTATTCCACAACAGTCCTTAAATAGGCAAATAACAGTCTAATCAAAATAAATTTTTTATATGTTGGGTTCATCTTTGGAAGATTTCCTCCAGCTACTAGTCAGTTGAAGATTGACATATATGTGTTTGTTTATTAAACAAGTGATAAACTTGCAACTAATGTTCTGTGTCCTCAAAATGTATGCAGGGAGGTACTTCCCATTATGTCTACCCAACTCTCTGGCCTTGTGACTGCTGATTCCACCAGAGCCCTTCTTAAAGTGAATGCTTCAGACCTTGAAACCAGCAGCATCAGCATCACCTGAGAATTTTAGAAATTGAGATTTCTGGATCCTACCTCAGACTTACTGAGTCAGAAACTACCGGGCTTTTAACAAGCTCCCAGGGAATTCTGGTGCCTGTCAAGTTTGTAAACCATTCTCGTGGAGGATACTACAGGATTGAAATTTCCCTATGTTTCCTCCTCCCTACTCTACAATCAGCAGGCTTTACCCAAGCTACACAGTATGCAGGTATAAAGCAAAATTGTTAGTTATGTAGTTTTTAATTAGCCTTTAACAGCTTTGGAATAACTAAACCAAGTGACCCAAAGTCATAGCAACCAGGGAGGAGAAGAGTGGGAATGACCACAGTTAGCACAAAAGCTAAAAGGTGGGACTCTCACTCTCTCCTTTATAAGAGTAATTAAGTTCTGCTAGTTGTCACTAATGCATGTGTAATAGTTTTTAAAATATATCTGGAAAATTGTTCATATACACTTAACTTTTTACAGAACATAGAGTTCTCCATGTTTTTTCTCAGAATTAAGCTTCCTTTTTCCTTTGAGGTTCTAACATGTAATGAATTGAATATTGCTACCTCTCAGAATTTTCAGCTTTTCAGTTTTAGTTTAATCTTTTTGAATGAATATGTAAAATTAATATAAGCTAATATTATCAGTTCTGTAAATTTAAGAGTCTTGTTATGGCTATGTAAAGTGAAGGGATTGCGTAAGTGCTATAATTTAAGTGTGATTCCATTTCTGCAAGGGATACATATATATAACTCCAGTTTTATGTCAAACACATTTATACACTAACATTAATATATATGTTAAATATACTCAGCTCACAATGTTGAAAGTCATCTTTTATAAGGGCTATCCACTAGCATATTAAATGGTCAGAGGGGCCGTCACTGTGGCATAGCGGGTAAAGCCACTGCCTGCAGTGCTGGCATCCCATATGGGCACTGGTTTGAGCCCCAGCTGCCCCACTTCCAATCCAGCTCTCTGCTATGGCCTAAGGAAGCAGTAGAAGATGGCCCAAGTGCTTAGGCCCCTGCATGCATGTGGGAGACCAGGAGGAAGCTCCTGGTTCCTGGCTTCAGATCAGCCCAGCTCCGGCCATCATGGCCATCTGGGGAGTGAACTAGCGGATGGACCTCTCTCACTGTCTCTCTGCCTCTGCCTTTCTGTAACGCTGCCTTTCAAATAAATCTATAAAAATAAAAATTAAAAATGAATGGCCAGAAATCTGAACTCTTATCCCTTTTATTCACATCAAACACTTTGAGAGAGTTTAAGAATATAATATTGCTCATAGCAGATACTCACGATAGCTTTGGTGGGAGCTGGGGCAAGATTCCCTAAGGGAAGAAATTAAGTCCCTTAATGTTTAGTTCTCTAGAACCTTAGCATCCATAATAATAATCTGTATGGCTTTCACAACAGATCGAGTTCCACCCCCTGCTTGACGCGGTTCTGGCAGTCAGTGCATCCAACATGGAGCAGTATTGTTTTAGCACATTTGTCCACTGGGTCAGCAGACTTTTACTCAACATGTTTCTTTGTATTGACTATTAAACAATTAGTGAGGGTACATCAGAAAGTTAATGGCAGGGCTGGCACTGTGGCATAGCTAGTAAAACAGCTCGCTGTAGTGCTGGCATCCACATTGGTGCCAGTACGAGTCCCAGCTCTCTTTAAGGCCTGGGAAAGCAGCAGAAGATGGCCCAAGTGCTTGGGCTGCTTTACCTGCATAGGTGACCCAGAAGAAGCTCTTGGCTCCTGGCTTTGGATTGGCATAGCTCCAGCCATTGCAGCCATTTGGGGAGTGAACCACCAGGTAGAAGATTCCCTCCCTACCTCCCTCCCTCCCTCTCTCTCTGCCTCTCTCTAACTCTGCCTTTCAAATAAATAAATAAAATAAAATAAAATAAAAAGTTCATAGCAGGGTGAACTTAACAGTTTAGAGATGAACCGGTGGATAAGGGCTCTTCTGTGTCTATGTCTCTCAAATTTAAAAATTAAATGGTTTGTCAGAAAATGGAATTAAAAGATAACTTTATTTTGGTGTAAAAGATTTTTAAATCCATGTGTGGTATTTCCATAGTATGCATTTCCATGAGGGTTTTGTTGTTTTATCATATTTGTAAGAAAGAGGGAGAGAGCAATTTCATTGCTGGTTCACTCTCCAAATGACCCAGTGGCCACCAGTGGCCAAGACCCAGTGGCTGGGTCAGAACCAGGAGCCAGAAATCCAAGTCTCCCATGTGGATATCAGTTACACAGTTATTTTAGCCACCACTGATGCCTCTGAGTCTGCAGTAGCAGGAATCTGGAGTCAGAAGTCAGAACTAGTATCAAACCTAGGTATTCCAAATGGGACACAAGCATTTTAACTGCAGGGCTGTGCCACCCAACCCTCCATAAACTGAAAATTGCTTTTAGAGACAGTGATTCATTGCTTAACATACTCTGAAACAGTGCATTCATTGTCGGCAATGAGGAGTCACTCTAGCTTGGCTAAATGGTTAGGAAAGAGAAAAACCTAATTTGACTTAACTTATTGATCCTGATATCTGTGAGATAGATGTTCAATGTTTCTTTAATTGTACCCGACTTACAGGTGATTTCTTCATAAAACATCTGTCTACTAACCACATAAACTTAAATGTTTTATTAACTTCATCTTGACTTTCACTAGTTACTTATTCTCAAGTAATTTTCTGCCTCCATTTTTTTATCCTCCTGCTCATGAGAGGAAAATTGTAGTGATACATCAAGGAAATTAAGAACTACAATGTTGAGATCAGTGCTGTGGCACAGTGCATTAATCCTCCACCTGCAGCGCCGCCATCCCATATGGACTGTGGTTCTAGTCCCAGCTGCTCCTCTTCTGATCTTGTTAAGGCTTGGGAAGGGAGTAGAAGATGGCCCAAGTGCTTGGGCCCCTGCACCCGCATGGGACGCCTGGAGGAGGCTCCTGGCTTCGGCCCAGCTCCAGGCATCGCAGCCATCTGGGGAGTGAACCAATGGATGGAAGACCTTTCTTTCTGTCTCAGTCTGTAACTCTACCTCCCAAATAAATAAATAAAATCTTTAAAAAAAAAAAAAAAGGTTTTGGAAGTTTATAATTTCCTTTCTATTTGCTATCAATGCCTTCATTTAAATTCTATTTGTAAAACATTCTTCAGAGTTTTATGAGTTCTCTAGCAAAACACTGAAACTATTTTGTTCATAAAAATAAAATTGAAGTTGAATGGTGAGACTTAAGTCCAAAATTTTTAATTACTGTCAATTCACTTCCATTATTCTGCTTCAAATAGTTATAAAAATATTAAACTATTGTTTTTACTCTTACTTCGAACAAAGATTATTTCTACAGCATTACAGCCTGTTTGAAATTAAGCATTTGTTTTAAAGCTATGTCATCTTTTCTCTGGCAGCTTCTATCAGCAGGAGGACTAACTGAAATCAGTCAGTTCACCACGTGGGATTCAGGAGTCTCACATCCTATCTCCAGTCCACCCTTCAATGCTATCCTAGAGCCCCTCTGCCAAAATACCAGCGAATCTGAACCCAGCCCTCTCTCCCTACCCTCTGCCCACACTGCTTCCTCTATTTTCTACCTGTCTTTACTAAGAAAAAGTAGGGATTATTTAAATTATTTCCACTGCCTCCAAATCCAACTAGTCATCAATTTCTTTTTTTTTTTGTTTTGTTTTTTTTGTTTGTTTTGGTTTTTTGTTTGTTTGTTTTTGACAGGCAGAGTGGATAGAGAGAAAGAGAAAGGTCTTCCTTTTGCCGTTGGTTCACCCTGCAATGGCTGCCACGGCTGGCGCCGGCGCACCGCGCTGATCCGAAGGCAGGAGCCAGGTACTTATCCTGGTCTCCCATGGGGTGCAGGGCCCAAGTTCTTGGGCCATCCTCCACTGCACTCCCAGGCCACAGCAGAGAGCTGGCCTGGAAGAGGGGCAACCGGGACAGAATCCGGCGCCCCGACCGGGACTAGAACCCGGTGTGCCAGCGCTGCAAGGCGGTGGATTAGCCTAGTGAGCCGCAGCGCTGGCCAATTTCTATACAAATCCATATATGTCCAATTCAGGGTTTATTCAGGTTATCCTGTTTCACGTGGAGTCCTATAATAGTGTCTGGTCTTCCTACCGCTAGGTTGACCCCCGCCTTCATTCCTTTTTCCACATTCAGGACAGAGTGGTCTTTTAAAAATGTAAATCCTTAAATATATTATGTTCCCTTCCCCCTCAGAATAAGTTATATAGTCCTAGGAAGGCAGATAAGAATTCCATTGCAGTTGAGCAAAAGTAAACATTTCAAGTCAATTTTACCAAAAAATAATTTATTGGTCTCAAAGCTAAAAAGGCCCCCAGATACAGAGCTGCTTCCACATGGCTAGGTCCAGATCCTCTGTATCATCAGAGCTTTCTCTAGCTCAACTCTGCCTTTCTTTTCATGTTCACTCTGTTTTTGCAGTTCACTGCATTCCACTTGGGAGAGTAAGGGCAGTGTAACATCATCCTGTTAACTGTAACTCAAAGGAGATACAATTTAACAGCAAAGTCCTAGGAACGGCTCTGATTGTCTTGGGCTGTCATACTCAGTCCTCAGGTATAATGGTATAGGATCATCACCCATGCCATATGGGACAGGAAAGAATAGCTTCCCTAAAGAACTGGATACTGGACACACATCACTTTACTACATCTCTCATTTGCATTCCAAAAAAACTCCATTAACCCAGAGCAGGATAGACAAAAATACCCCAAAGCATATAGTAGTCACATTAGCGGACTAGTAAAGGACATCAATGAAAAATGCACAGCTAAAATGACACTTTTGGTGACACAATAAGTGTTTGCTTACTAAAGTTGCAAACAAAAATATATACCCCTTGTACTCAGTATGATATTGGAAGTAATGAAAGATGTAAGATCGGCTAAGAAAGTAGAAGTAGGGGCTGATACTGTCGCACAATGGATTAAGCAGCCAGTGTGATACTGGCATCTGATACCAGAGTCCTGGCTGCTCTGCATCCAATTCAGCTTACTGCTAATGTGCCTGGGAGAGCAGTGGAAAATGGCCCAAGGACTTGGGCCCCTGCCACCCAGGTGGGAAACCCAAATGGAATTCCTGGCTCCTGGCTTCAGCCTGACCCAGCCCTTGCTGTTATAGCTGTTTGGCTATTTGGGAAGTGAATCAGAGAGATCTATCTTGCTCTCTATCACTCTGCCTTTCAAATAATTTAAAGGAAATCAGAAGTGTTATTATTCAAACAACAAGATGTGTCTGTAGGAAATATTGAATATACAAAGTATTAGAACGCATCAGCATAACTAACAAGGTAACAAGGTACATGGCCAAGGTACAAAGATATATATTATACATCTCATATAGCAACACATAACAAACATTTTAAAATAATGATTAAAAGTGGCATCAAAAACCATAAGATTAATTTTAGCAAAAAATGTATAAGACCTGTGCTGAGGCCAGCTTCGTGGTATGATGCAAGCATCCCTTTTAAGTGTTAGTTCTTGTGCAGGCTGCTCCACTTCCGATTCCACTCCCTGCTAATGGTCTACTTGGGCCCTTGGCCCAATAAGGCAGACCCAGATGAAGTTCCTAATTCAGACCTGGCCATTGTGGCCATCTGGGGAGCAAACAAGCAGACAAAAGATTTTTTTATTTATTTGCAAGTCAGAGCTACACAGAGAGAGGGGAGGCAGAGAGAGAGAGAGGTCTTCCATCCACTGGTTCATTCCCCAATTGGCCACAATGACCAGAGCTGCGCCAATCCGAAGCCAGGAGCCAAGAGCTTCCTCTCGGTCTCTCACGTGGGTGCAGGAACCCACACTTGGGCCATCTACTGCTTTCCCAGGGGATAGCAGAGAGCTGAATTGGAAGTGGAACAGCCAGGACTCGAACCAGCACTCACATGGGATGCCGGCACTGCAGGCAACAGCTCTACCTGCTATGCCACAGCAACCCCCCTGTAGCTCTGACTTTCAAATAAATAAATAAAACTTGGGGAAAAAAAGCAACATTTATTATTTTTTCAAAAAAGACCTATATGCTTAAAGTTATGAAACAGTTCTGAAAGAAAATTTTCATGAACAAATTTTCACCCCTTAGATGGCTGCATGGCCTAGCCCAGCCCCAGTTGTTGGAAAGTGAATCAGTAAATGGAACAAAATTCATGCGTTAAACACTAAAAGTGATTAACATCAATTCTCACCAAGTTGAAGTAAGGGTTTAATACTGTTCCAATCAAATTCCCAACAGACTTTTTCATGCAAATTGACAAGCTGATTCTAAACTTTGTATGGAGGGACAGGCATTTGGCTCGGCTGTTAACAAACCACTTGGGACGTCCTCATTACATATCAAGTGCTTGTGTTTGACAAATGAGGCTCTACTCCCGATCCCAACTTCCTCCGAATGTGCAGCCTGGGAGGCAGCAAGTGGTGATGGCAAAACTAGTGGGTTTCTGCCACCCATGTGGGAGATCCAAGTTGAGTTCTCAGGCACTGTCTTTGGCCTAACCCAGCTCTGTCTGTTGCAAACATTTAGGGAGTGAACCTGCAGATGGGAATATTCTGTCTGTCTTTTGGCCTTCCAAATAAATAATTTTTAAAATTTATATGGATTTGAGAGGTAATAGAATACCCAAAGTAGTTCAAAAAAAATAATATTGGAGAACATGACCTAATTTCAAGGTTAGTTATAAAGCTACAGTCATGATGATGGTGAGGTGTTGGTGTAAGGATACACCTAGCAATGGAACAGAATAAGTACAGAATTTTCATAGATGCACACACACAAGAATACTTCAATAAGTTTGTGGAAGGCATTTGGCACTGCTTGGGGTGTCCACACCACATACTGGGGTGCCTGATTCCGTCCTGGCCCAGTTCCCATCCAG